CGACTATAAAGGTACAGACGGCATGCCCCTCTGATGATAAAGTGAAATACTCAATGGAGAGTAGGCGACTGTAAATGTATAGGTGGCCTGCCCCTCTTAAGTAAGAATAAAAATTAAACATGGAGAGTAGCCGACTGTTTGTCAGTAGGCATGCCCCTCTTAGGTAAAAATGAAAACTGAGTATGGAGAGTAGCCGACTGTTTGTTAGTAGGCGTGCCCCTCTTAGTACAAAATTGAATATTAAGTATGCAAACTTTTATTAAGTAGCCCTTGACTATTTATATCATTCAAAAGAAATATTTCTTAAGATTATCTGCATTCCAAGTTCGAGGCAACGGTTGGCCGTCTGGTGTTTCCAGACGGTAGGTACCGTCCCTGACCTCTTCACAGATTCGGTAGGGTCCTTCCCAGTTGGGAGTTAGTTTGCCAGACTCATTAGCCCTTCCAACTGCTTCCATTTTTCTAAGTACAAAGTCCCCCACTTTGAGTGGACGCCTGTGTACTTTTTTGTTGTATGATCTAGTCATTCTCAGGCGGTAAATCTCATGGCGCAAGACAGCATTGCCCCTCCTTTCAGGAAGTGAGTCTAATGCCAGGCGCATGGCTTCCCAGTTTGCCTCTTCTTCATATAGCATTACTCGAAGAGTCGGCTCGTAGTGTTCTATTGGAAGAACAGCTTCCGCGCCATAAGTTAGGAGGAATGGAGTTTCTCCAGTCGCCCCTTTTTCAGTCGTCCTAATGGCCCAGAGAACATGTGGTAATTCATCCGCCTATAGGCCGCCTGCTCGTTCAATCTTTTTCTTGAGACCGTCTGAGATGATTTTATTAAAGGCTTCTACCTGGCCGTTTGCTTGTGGACGGCCGACAGATGCAAAGTAGTGTGCAATTCCTTGGTCACCCAACCAGCTTTTGAGAACAGGCGTCTCAAATTGGGGACCATTATCAAAAACCATAGACATGGGAACCCCGAACCGAGTGATGACATTTTTCCAAATGAATGAAATTACATCCTTCGTCTTGATTCCCTTTACAGCCTCCGCCTCTACCCATTTAGTGAAGTAGTCGACGGCAACAAGTATGTACCTCCTTCCGCCTGTAGCAGGCGTATATGGACCCAGAATATCCATGCCCCACTTAGCAAACGGTAGTGGGCTATGAATGGTAGTGAGGTCAGTAGCCGGACGGTGAATTAGCTTGCCAAACCTTTGGCACTTGTCACATTTTTTCACCATCTCCATTGCATCTGCTTCTAAAGTAGGCCAAAAGTAGCCCTGCCGCCTTGCCCGTTGAGAAAGCGTCCTACCGCCTATATGGGAAGCACAGTAACCAGAGTGAAGATCGTCTAGTATCTCTCGTCCCTTTTCTGGAGTAACACACTTTAAGAAGGTTTGAAGGTACCCCCTTTTGTGAAGTTCTCCCTTTATTATTTCAAAACTGGTTGCTCGTTTTTTCAGTGCTGCCGCCTGTTGATGATCATCCGGCAGGGTACCCTTTGTCAGATATGCCCTGATTGGATCCATCCAGGTTGAGCTTCTGTCTAAGATTCCAATAGGTTCTTCCTCAATGCTTCTCCTCTCCATTACTTCCCAAAAAACAGTTCGAGGAGTATCACTGGAGGCGGATGATGCTAATTTTGAAAGTGCATCCGCCTGGTTGTTTTCTGATCTCGGCACTTGGGTTAGATGGCAATCCTCAAGGGAGCCGACTGCTTGTCGGACCGCCTGTAAATACTTGATCATGGCCGGATGGGTTGCTTCGTATTCGCCATTATACTGACTCACTATCAATTGTGAATCGGAACAGGCGTCTATTTTTCTTGGTTCCGGTTGTTTGCAGAACCCTTCATGGGGACCGGCTTCTCAATTGAGATCCGTCCCTTGATTTCCTTTAGGATAAATTGGCTATCCTTGTTAAACGCATACTTTGGGGAGTATGGTTTGAATTCTTTTTTCTTTTTCTGGGCCGGCTGTTTAGAGGAATCAGCCGCCCAGACCTCTTTTCTCTTCTCGTCTTTGTTTGACGACTGTTTCTGTCGTCCTTCTCTTTTGTCGGACCTTCTCCCGTCTGACTGTTTTACCGTACTACAAAGATCATTCGCCTGTATATAAGCTTCCGCTTCAATCAAGGCCTCTTGAAGAGTCGCCACCCTCTTTCGGACCAAATCAAATTTGAAGGTCGACCCGTCTTTGAGACCTCTGAAAAAGTCAGTATAGGCTACTTCATCCGGTAACCCTTGAATCTGTATTCTCATCAGGTTAAACCGCCTGATGTAAGAACGAAGCCCCTCCTTCTCGCCCTGCTGAATTGTTCCTAAATCAAGGGTCGTCTTCTTCGCAGGGATGTTCATGGCGAAGTTGGAGGTGAATAAGTAAACAAGCGTCTTGAAGTTATTTACACAACCAGTCGGCAGGTTGCCGAACCATTGTTGTGCGATTCCTTTGAGAGTCGCTGGGAAACACTTGCACCAAGTGGGATCATCCAACCCTTGAAGGTACATCAGGTTGGTGAATGACATCAGATGGTCTTCTGGGTTAGTAGTGCCGTCATAGGCGCCCACTAATACATTTTTCACTTTGACCGGCTGAGCGGCTTCAGTAATTTCCTTGGAGAAGGCCGACGGCTGTTCACCAAGTCTAAGCAACCGTAGCTGCCAGTCCATAGGTTGGACATTTTTTGCTGCATGTCCACCAAACGGAGGTGGCTGTAAAAAATACTGTTGTTGCGGTACAAACGGTAAGTTTGGTACTGCCTGATCGCTATGAAAGCCGGACTGACGGGAGGTGCCGCCTGACTGACTCTCATGATACGAATGAGTATGCCTCATCGAGGTATTTCGCAGACTGTCTTGGAAGTTTGAAGTAGAGGCCGACTCTGACAATCGGTCACTCTTCTTCTGCTCTAGCAGTAGCCGAGCGTCTGTGTATGTTTTCCTCGACCCGTCCGCCTGAATATGACGAACATGTTTCCTATTTCCTGGAGTAGGAAAACTGTATTTTGTGAATCAAGGGCAGGTGGCTCCCACTTCCTAGATTTAGGATGAGGGGTCGCCTCTCGCCCTTGAACTGGCTTCCTCTTCCGTGAAGTGGAGGGTTTCTTAGCCGACTGCTCCTTGTCCAGAGCAGGCGGCTTCTTGTTGATAAACTCTTGAATTTCTCCCTTGAAGTCCCTCATGAAGGTCATGAGTTCGTTCCTTGTGATGGGAGCAGACCCATCAGTCGGCTGCTGCCAAACAGGCGGTGCGCCTGCTGGCTCGCTTCCAGTTTGAAGATGATCCCGTTCCCTCCTTTCGGTATGACGGGTACGTCGGGTCCTTAGGGTCCCGTCTGAAGCTGTGTGAGCTTCAACTTCAAATTCATTCTCAGTATCGTGGTCCGACTGAACTAGAGGGTCGTCCAGGGGACGTCTCTCTTCAGGAGCCGGTACAAACGTGGATGCCATCTTAAAAGTACTCTCCCCACAGACGGCGCCAAGATGTTTCGGGGTTTTCTGATGTCCTGCGGGAGAGTTACAATTCCGAGACTGGAACCGGACGCCTGTACCTGCAAAACAAACGGATGCTCCGGATGATTGGAGATCCGCCTCTGACGGTCAAGTTAGTACTTGATTAAGGAGTAATTAATGCGGAAATTAAAGTGATTGGGTCTCTCTAGGTGAGAGAGTTTAATGTGTGTAATCTCGTAATTTCCCTTAATGAGGATTAAGGGAGGTATTTATAACCTCGGGAAACGTGCCAATCTAGGTTTAGGTTAACCTTGGGCTGATTGGGTTTCCCACGGAAGTTGGGCCTAGGTGACCGGTTATCCCAGGTGTCATGGGAAGGACACGTGTCGTGTCGTGTCGTGTCGTAATTGGTCCATAGTGGACGAATCATTGCTTGACACGTGGCAAGCTCCTATTGGCCCATGTGACGGACACATGGTGGAACCTGATTGGTCCACTTGTCAGATGGTGATTGGTGGGGAAAAATCCCCTAATCACCCAACATACCCTTACTTTTTCACACTTACTTTTTATTTTATCTTACACTACATGGACAATTTTGTATTTTTACGTTTCCCTCTTTTACTTTTTTCCACTACCAAATTTTGCCTCCAAAACCCTATGATGCAATAAAAAAAAACGGAGGAAGTAATAAAAAAAGTAATAGTGGGTTTGGGTGGGGACCATGAGAGAAGAAAAATATAATATTTAAAGGTAGCTTTTTGCCAAAAAAGAAAGTGTCACACTTATTAAAACACAGCCGAATTTGATAAGTGTAACACTTATTAAAACACGGAGGAAGTAATAATATTAAATAATACAATAATATTAAATAGATAAATAAAGGAAAAAGTAAAGCTTTTTGGCTGGTTTTTATTTTCAAAAGGCAAATTAGTTGAGTGGCAAAAAAGGCAATCTTGGACTGTTGTTGGAAGTTGGAGCCTTAATTATTAATCTGAAAATTACTATAGTAAGGTACACTCCAAGCAAAATCTCTAAGAATATCTGTAGGTCCCATTTATTCATTCATTTGGGGTTCTTATTACTTTTACCACTTATTTTTCTTTAAAGAAAAGAAATACCTAAATATATTTGACAATTAAATGCATGGACCAAGCTTTATTCTTTACACTTGTGTAAAATATACAGAGATTTTAACATTAGTCACGAGCTTATGACTTTCGTTTCAATACGAGTTTTATTTTACATTTATACTTTATCTGTTTTTTTTTTTTTTTTTTTTTTTTTTTTTTTTTTAATCGATACTTAATTTTAGAAAGATAAGTTGAATGGAATAAAATATTATTACTCGTACGTAAGTATGATTTGTTGGAGAATTAAATTTTATAAATAAGAATTGAGGTAATAGTTTACTAAAAAGAAAGGGATGTGAGAGAAGAGTGCTTATCAATCCGGCCGGCCCATTTAGAGAACCCCTGAATAGAAGGATACCAATGACTACAATCGACATAAGAAGCTAATTAGTAATGACTACAGTGTACAAGCATAACAGAAACAAAGAAGAAAGCAAATACCAGACTATCTTATTTGTTATAATATATCAGTTGAAAAATATGGTGAAAGTAAGACAAGTAAATAGTACCTAAAGTCAAAATGGTGCGATTATATCAATATAGTACTGATTGATAGTTATATTATCCGTCTCACTAAGCTATATATGTTATTCGTCATCTTCGCTGCATTCTATAAGAACAGGAGTTTTTGTCTTTGCCTTTTTTGAAGCTCTATTGTCTTGTTCTTTATTGATTTCAGGATCAGGATTCTCTAATGCAGAGCTATGGGCAATTTCTTCAAGGATTCTACTTCCATACTTTCCACTTTTCACCTTCCCAATTATCTTCTCCAACTGCAGAGAACATAATATTTGTTCAGACACGTGAAGAATCTAAGTCGTCTATAAACTGAAAAAACAGCTACTGAAGAATAACATTTCTTAGGCAAAGATTGTATTTGAGCTACTGAAGGGTCAATCATTCAAAGCTTCAAACATATGCAACTTAAAATTGTCACCACCTGTCAGCAAAAAAGTTAAAATTTGCAAAATCGAGGGGTATATACTGAGACTTGCCTGTTCTATTGAATCTGGTTTCTCAGCAGCTAGCATGCTGATCTGCTGAGTAGATAATATAGAATGAGGGAATATTCCTCCATGAAGTGAAGCAAGTTCCTTACGCAGCTCATCCAGCCCGTATTCCAAATTGGATGATGCTGATTTCCGCTTAGCAGACTTCATAACCCCAGCTTTAATTTCCTTACCACAGTAGATTTGAAGCTTCACAGTTTTCATTCCTGCATAAAGCGTTTGAGAGGGAAGCTAGAATTTCAAACACGGTCATGAATAAAATGCTTGAAACTGATTAGCCAATAAAATGCTCATATCTGCACTACAGATGAAGGTGGCCACTAAGAGAAGACCAAAGATGACAACATGAACAGAATGCTTGAAACTTTTCGAATATCTTATCAGTTATCACTCAATCAGTTCCAACATTAAAAAAAGTACGATTTCAGAGAGAGATTCCACAAGACAAATTGATTACAGTGAAGAAATTATGTAAAGCTTACATTCAACTTCTCCATACAGGCTACAATTGCAAATAATTTGTTCCCACCACACCATTAAGCCCTTCACTCATACTGAACTATTCCATATAGTGAAATAACCAAAGGTGGGAAGTATAGACAACGCCAAGCTCGATATATAGCAACTTCCCATTCTAACCACAAAGATCTAGACAGAGAATAATTGCCAGCAGGCAGGGAATTTACCTTGTAAGACCTGTTTTCCCAATGGACCTAATGTCACGTAAGCATTTGTTGTGTACGCTGTGTGTTGAAATTCTTCTTTCTGCATACAATTATAAAAAGTGGTTAATTATATGCCAGTTAGATTCTAATTAGAGCACTTGAAAGAATATAGATTCCATATCAATAAAAAAAAGTAAAGAATCAAAAGGAATAGCTTTATCTGACTCCACAGGTGTTTTTATATACAAATACTTTTACAACAGTATGTCAGGTGCTAGGTTCAAGTCTTTTGGGGAATGTAGACAAGGACTTTTATACCAGCTCTTTATTTTGGCTAGAGTTTAATGTGGTATATGCACAACTTATCACAAGCTTCAAGTCTTTTGCAATATATTGATTTTCTTTCTTGACCCCAAACCATCATTGTCTCAGACTCTCAGAAGATGGAATTGTCATCTGTTCATACATCATGATCCTAGTTCTTAAAGATGAAACTCTTGCACTTGTAGTCTAGATATATTTCTTTAAATCTATTAAAATTTCCTGCAGGTCACACAGATTGGGTCTTGTCAGTATGTATTGCAAACAAAATCTGGACAAGACTTACATCCTTTCTTTTGGTAGGTTGACGTTTGGTTCTATTTCTGCTTCCTTCGCTCCATCTTTCCATCCAGTCTCAATTTCTCTCTCTTCCCTCTTTGTTCAATCCTAAATTTTTTAGGGTAAATTAGCTATCCCACAAGGTTTAGGCTATGGACTATTATATCCATTTTTATAAATGAATTACAGCCGGAGTTGATACAATGTTTCCAAAGCAATGGCATATTTATCAACTTGGCAAGCAAATGAGCAGGAGATATCTAAGGAAAACCTTTACAGGAAAATTACAGGCTCCTTACCAAAACACGATCTATAATTAGTTGGATGACAAGTTGCTCCATATGATCTCTTTTCAGGTCTGGATCTGGCAAATCAAACCATCATATTGAAACTTAAATGTGTTTAAAGCAATCAAACTTAGCCAGGTGCCATAGAACCATGAGAAAACAAGCATGCAATGTGAATAGAAAAATTAGAGATTTAAAACCAAGAAAAGTTCATGGTATATGCCAGGTATAGCAAGTTGTATGGCATGTGACTTCAATACAAAATTCACAGCTAAAGCTAGCAAGACGAACATAGACATGAGTGTATGACTCCGCAGACTCACTATAGCTAGGTCAACAGCACGTGAGCGCCTACTTCTCACAAATATCACATGTTAAAATCTGAGACTACTTGATAAGTGGCAGGCTTCATAACAGAGCAGTTCCAGGTGTTAAATAAATAGATCAACTCACAATTAGATACAAAATTCATAGCATATCATTACTCCTACCTCAAACTGGCTCCTTGCTTAGAATATACAGCGGTCATTTTATATTTGAAATGCATTAACACATTCACTAAGAATTGAGAAGCACAAGACATTTATATTAATCCAATACTCCATTATAACCCAAAATTGATATATTATCATCACTCTTTCTGCTCCATTAGCAATGTACATGACTAGATTCAAGTTGATAGTTTGATACAGAAAGACTATGAGAAAGTGGTTGGGACTGCAATGTCAGAATGCAAATACTATGGGCTATAAAGAGAAAAACTGTAAAAGTGTCTAGACCTCAATTATTACCATGTCAAGAGTTGAGACTACTATCTGATAACCTACGGCCGCCTCTCTCTACTCCTTTTTCTTCCAGCAAGGGAACTTATACAGAGTGTTTGGAGAATTGTTATGCTTTGGAAAAAGAAAGAAAAGCAATGGACACATAGCAGCATACAGCTATGGTTCTATACTAAAATCTTAAAGTTAGTGTAATAGACTAACCTAAAACGGGCAATATTGGTAGTCTAGTATTATTAGGTTAGAGCCTTTAGCCTTAGTATAAATAGAGAGAGAGAGGAGGAAAGAGAAGATAGGCAGAAATTTGTATTGAGGGAAACATTAGAGAGTCATGGCCTCAAGCCATTGTTAGAGAGTGATGGCCTCAAGCCATTTTTGAGAGTAATAGCCTAAACTCTAAAGCTATTAGCCTATCTTTTGTAAACCTTTTGCCATTTTCAATCAATATTCAAGCTTTAGTCTTAATTCACTTGCATTATTAAATCAGCAATATAAACCCAGAAAATCAGTCCATAACAGTTAGAGAGACTGACAATCAACAAGCAGACCATATTACTAGACCAGTACAGTGTTGATACTAGAAAATGATCAAGTTAATTGCTTTTCCTGAGAAATGAAATCTAGGGCTCCAAAGTTAAAATCAACAGTAAAATTATTACACTAAGCCAACAGGCAAATAGTAACCTAGGAAGTATATGTTACTCAACTAATCAAGGGCAGCAAACTAAATCATGCTTGGCTGCTTGCCATGTACACAAGTACACACATACCTAAGTCTTTCTGTTTTACTTTCATCTTGTCAACCAATTGCAACATTGTGACTCTCTGATCTTTTTCTTGTATACTTTGTATCAAAGAAATCACAGCTTTCGCATGACCTGCACAGGATTTCAAATTAGAGCACATAAGAGACTATTGCACTTATGAATTATATATAAACATTACAGAAATAACAGACCAATCAAAATCATGATAATCAGAGCAAAAGCCTTAATGTACTACTGTCAAGCAATTAGTAGGATGTTTCTCCGAGAATCACAGGCTCCAAATAAATTTCGAAAATGGAAGCACCCTGTACAGCAGTAAGACGGTACAAGGCACAAAGAGAGATGGAATATAGAAAGAACTGTGACAAAAGAAATTGAATTTCTATAAAAGAGAAGTTTACAGAAAAAGAAAATTGACTTTTACAAGGAGATGAGTCATCAGGAAACAACCTAAACTGTCAAGTTAAGAAAGAATGATTACTTGCACCACCGCCATGAGAGATGCTGAATAGACATGACAGCTTAGTGAATAAGCTCTCTCTAAGACCCAGAAGGTTGGACATCAAGATGTTTCCCATGTGTCCTTCGTACCCCTTGGGTGGTTGAAACATCTCCTACGCCTCTTAACTATTTATCCAACGGGTAATTACCTCAAGCCCTCAAGGCCTTCCCAAGTCACATATGGTTCAAAACCTGAAAGCCACCTTCTATGACACCGAGAGGCACCCCCAACAGGTAATTAAGTGTTTTTAAAAAAAGAAAAAAAAAAAAAAGAAAAAAGAACACACTCTGAATATGTGTATTATAACCTTCATTATTGGAGTTACATAGTATTTTTGAACCCGGAAAGTTTGTAGGTTAAAAAATGCTTCCCATGGGTCTCGTGGGACCACAGGATGGCTCTTTAGTGTTTGGAAACATCTACTTTGGCTCTTAACCATCCATCCAACTGGCTTTCGACACGTCCCTTCTCATTGCTCCATGGCCTTCCGAGGCCATTATTTGACTGACTAATAAGCGTTTATAGCTATATATAACCTCTAATGACCCTAGGATGCATATTCCGGAACTGCAAGTTGCATTAAGTCACCATCTATGCCATGCCTTCCCTACCTTAATCTTTGGCCATGACTTGTCCGGTTGTCCCTATAGTATCCTGGCTACTTAATAGATTGTTGTAGAAGAATATATTCCTACTGTCATGAAATTAATTATGTTAATGGTTAAAAAGAAAACTAGTACTACTGCTATCAATATTTGACTATGGTCAAAGTTTTTCTTTTAATTGTCTCAAAATTGATATATGATCTAAATTACTTAGCATAGCTAACAAAAAATAGCATCTATATCCCTTTAAAAGTAATAAGAGAGGTCATTAATGATAACAAGGGCAATTTGTGGATAAAATTTCTTTCGACTTGAGTTAGATATAAATGAATTCAGTCATAGCCTCATAGGTTCCTCATTCAGGTCAATTAAAATAGCAAAAAGGTTGACTATAGTCACAATAAATTATCTTATTGTGGACGAGGCTATCAATTTAAAGAAAGTCAGTTATAAGAAACGAAATTAAATTTGTCATTTATTAAATATAATAAATGTTTGCCTGGCCCACTGATCTTTTTGTAAGCTTGTAAATAAAATATTTTCTTTATATGACAATTTAAGGAAAGAACATTTCTGATAAAAACAGAATGATATGTATCGTAACACATACAGGAGACATCAATGTCTTTGATCTCACTAGAAGATACACAATTGTCACACATCCCTGCAAAAACAATACCAAAGCATTATGAGAACCAATCAGCATCAGCCTAAACTACACAGTCAATGTAACACTAGAAATCTCTAGGGAAGCTCATAATTTAAGAAAGGAGCAACAAAGAATATACCATTGCAATCTAGCAGTGGTTCAGCAAAATGTTTGAAAAATGCAGCTCGCCTGCACCCAGTCCTTGACTACAAACAAATTTCATTTCTTGAATATACAAATATCATACACATATACTAACAGCTAAAAACAAAAGAAGCAATATTGAAAAACAGTTATGGAGCACTTTTTCTCCAATTTAAAAAGAAGAAACAAATGGGCATTGAGTCCTCTGATCTCCCCATTGATATATAAATATAAGCATCTTTCTTTGAGATCCAACTACCTACTACAAATCCCAAATCCAGTCTTAAAATTCATGCTAGCTCCAGGATTCAGACTAGGTATTGTATTGCTTAAGATAATTCCTAAAGAAGCAAGGAACTGAAACTAGAAACAAAGGGAACTGGCTACTTGGCTAGTTTGTTTAATGAGGATTCATATGTTAAATCAACTAAAAGTTACAATCAACATCAAATTAAGAGGGGAATACTTTTAGTGACTCTAGGTCCAAAATCCAGGTATCAGAAACTGGGCCACTCGAAACAGGTACCTGGATATAATTGTGGAAACGTAACCGATTTGAGCTTTGAAGTTTTCAGAACATACAGCGGATCTACACGGCTACACCAGATCAGGGTCTGATCTAGTGCTGACCATCAGCGCTTTTGTACATCCTAAGGGATGTCATGGAGGAGAAAAGACTATTGCTGTCAAGTACCAGTCTCTGGTGCAACTTGCTCTTCTGGAAACCTCCGAAAAACCTAGTGAAAAAAAGTATTTCATCCTCCCCACCTCATGACCCTTTTTGGTTTTATGTACTATATTTTTTAAAGTCATATGCATTGCGGTTTCCTAGAATTTAGCTTCTTCAACTTGTTCAAAGGCATGCTCTTCCACTGTTTTTTTTTTTTTTTTTTTTTTCAGAACTGCTATGGCCTGGTCAGATACACCCTGTATTCATATTATTTAATCAACATATTCTTCAAATTGAAAGTCATGCTATTTGATGATTTAACAAAACAGTACCTGACAATACCGTACTATGTCATAGAGATTCTGCAGACCGGCGTTCTCATAGAAGACCATTGAACTCTGCCAGAGAAGCAACACATAAGGAGGGGGCGGGGGAAAGTAAATCCTTCAGTCATGATTAGTAAAAATAGATTGACAGATAGGGGACCCAGAAACTTTACCTGCCTAGGCATGTCAGCAGGCCTGTAGTAGAGAAGGCATTCTGCCGGAAGTCCATCACGTCCAGCACGTCCACTTTCCTGAAGCCAAGGGACATAAATTACAGCACAAATGTTTGCAGGAGAGCAAGTTCGATTTGAAGAAAGAAACCTGGTAATATGTCTCCATAGATTTGCTCAGACTGTGATGAATAACAAACCTGACTGCAAACAACACAATGTATTAGCACCATAGGCATTTATGTTATAAGACTAAGGAGCAAAAAGGGAACAAATTAACTCATAAACAAGGTAAAACAAGCATACACCCGTTGCAGACAAGTAAGACTGAAGAATGAAAAAGTGAATGAATAAAGCAAATGCACTGGCAAAATGACAAGGATATACTTGGGGTTCCTCTCTTACTAAAGCACCCAAGTATAGACAAGCTCATTGCTCGGCAAAGATAGGTCCTCTTCATACGCTCCACTAGTTCAACATAATATATAAGGATGGTATGTGTTAAATCCAATGTACCTTTACTACCCAGAGTCGCAAACCATCGATGCCCAAACAAATATAGCATCTTGAGTAAAGCAATATCTCACTGCACGATAACAATAGCTATCTAGAGCCTCCAAAGTGTTGTTGAGCTCCATACAGCATCCAAATTTATTTTTGGCATTCGTAAAGCCCCACATTGCTTTATTGGATCCCCATAACCAACTAAATTGAATATAGCCTTCAATTTGGGTTCGCTAGAAGGCTTTTAGGCTTGGTAGTGTATATGGTCTAAGAACCATCCTTACACCAACTCTATGTCTTTCCATTACTTTATGCCAGATAGCCATATGGCCCTGACGAAGCTTGGGTGCCACATGATGTCGGAGGGTATCTAATCACATTAGGAAGCTTTTTCCATAACCCACTTCAGTTGTACCCATTCTGCAGCTGCACTGGTGCCATATATGATTTCCAATGGCCTCCAATGACCCCTGAAGGCTTCCTCCATAACCTACTCTAGTTTCGATGTTGGTAACATTCAAGGTGGGTTAAACCAGGGTTGTTCCAAACCAAGTGTAGTTTATGATCCATGGACCAGGTACTTAATGTAAAGTCATAACAACCCTGGTATCTGGTATGACTCCTAAGGAAGCATTAAGTCATTCTTAGCATCATCATGTGCTTGCTTAATTTACGTATAAGTTGCCAGAGGGTTTGCTGTGAAATTAAGGAGCGGACTTGATGAAACCTTCTGGAGTGGAATTTCCAGCAAAGAATACCACAATATCAAGAAACTGAGTAATATGAATGGGAAAGGGGTGCATACTATTCAGCAACAATTGTCCTCAAGCTTATCAAGAGATAGTTAAGAAAGAAGAATTCAACAACATAAGGAAGCACTTAGCAGTGTATACAAGGTAATATCAATACGAACCATCAGGTTTGTTAATTCCCATGCCAAATGCCACCTGAAAGACACAATCACAGTGAAATAAGGCAGGCATTCACCCGACAAGTATAGATGATAATTAAGTGAATTATTTTGGCTAGCATCTTACTGTCCCAACAATGACCTGTAATTTGCCATTGCTCCACCTGCATCGTGATGGAAATACCAACAACTTAAATTAATATATGTCAATAAGCACCAATTCCAGATCCATCACTTATTCATCAAAAAACATTATAATAAAGACTACATATTGACTTAAATGAACCTAGATATCAAGGTTCATAAAAAAAACTGTGAAAATGAAGGGTGATCTAGCATACTCTATTGACACCGCAAATTTATATTGCATCAATTGATATGCACATACAGAGAAGTGATGAGTCAAAGAATGGAGCAATGAACAGAAAAGAAACAAAGGCAACAAAAGTTCACATTAAAAGGGCAACAAACCCAAAAGTAAAAGCCATAAGGAATTAGAATCAACATCCAAAAAGATAACATATTCTCATGAACAAGAAGTAGCAAAACCTGTTATGATTATACATAATCAATCAATCAATCAAAGCCTTAATCCCATAAGTGGGGTCGGCTACATGAACTAAATTTGATCATTCCGTGTAATCATCAACAAAGATCTTATTCCTCCATCCCTTACGATCTAATGCCTCATCCTCATGTACATCCATATACTTCATATCCTTCCGAACTCCTTCCAACCACGTCATTTTCGGTCTCCCTCTCCCTCATTTAACCCCTCCATGGTCCCACTCTTCCACTCTTCGTACCGGTGCACCCTTGGGTCTCTGTCTTACATGCCCAAACCAACGCAGATGATTTTCCTTTGGTTAGTCTGCCACACCTACCTTCTAATTCTATCTCTTAGAGTGTTCCCGCACTCCACCTTAATATTCGCATTTCCGTAACCTCCATCTTTTTAATGTGCTCCTTCTTAGAAGCCAAACATTCTATACCATAGAGCAACACTCGTCTTATGGCAGTCCTGTAGAATTTTCCCTTCAACTGTAAGAGAATGCTTTGATCGCATAACACTCCTGTGGCCGCTCTCCACTTAAGCTACCCCGACTTAATCCTATGGGTCACGTCTTGATCAATGTCACCATTTTTCTGGATGATCGACCCAAGATATTTAAAACATTCGCTCATGGTCAAGTCCTTTCCATCCAAACTCACCACCTCATTGCTTGACCCCCTTTGAGTACCAAAGCGACATACCAAATATTCAGTCTTACTCCGACTTATCTTAAACGCTCTAGATTCCAACCTTTGCCTCCATTGCTCCAACTTGGCATTAACTCCATCTTTAGTTTCATCCACCAAAACAATATCATGCGCAAATAACATACACTATGGGACTTCATCTTGAATTGGTCTAGTTACTTCACCTAGGACTGTTGTAAAAAGGAAAGGGCTTAATGCAAACCCTTGATGCAATCCAATTGTAATAGGAAAATCTTTTGTCAACCCTCCACATGTCCTCACATTGGTTGACACATCCCGATACATATCCTTAACTAGGTCCATGTACCTTCATGGGATACCTTTCTTCAACATTGCCCACCAAAGTACCTCTCTTGGCACCTTGTCATATGCCTTCTCTAAATCAATAAAGATCATATGAAGATCCTTCTTCTTTACCCTATAAACTCCATCATTTTTCTTATCAAATGGATTGCTTCCATAGTGGATCTCCCTGGCATAAAACCTTTGTTGTTTATGGCAGTTTCTTTGAATATGATAGTTTTCAATTAAAAGAAGTATTTTGTATAATCTTATACAAAATACTTCTTTTAATTGAAAACTATCATATTCAAAGAAACCGCCATAAACAACAAAGGTAAACAAGACCCACTTATTGTGCTCAGGGAAGGGATTAGTCATTGAACCCACTTAAATCTGCTTAAAGCTAGAATCATTACAATTGATTACATGTAAAAAGGTCTGAAAAAAGAGGTGTTTTGAAAACAATTTTGAGGTGTTAAGTGGCAAAGGTGACTATATAAAAGGAAGCAGTTAGCAAATCTTATAAAGCTAGTAATAGGGTAACAACGTACATCAGTTTGTGAGCTGAGATAGTAAAATTAAAAATTGGAAAGAATAAAAAAAGGAAAATTTAACAGGGAAACAAAAAGGCCAGAACCATGAATTGCTATGCTGAATGATTGATGCATAAAAAATTTAGACCTTACCGCATGTGAACATTTTCACGGTCTCTAACTTCCATATCAGCATGGTAAAAATCAGCTTTAATTCTCTTTTCACGTAGTTCCTTTGCAACCTATTTTCCAGAAAAAAACAGAGAATTGTCAGATACCAAAAAAATTATCGTTCACAGTATACTATCTATTGTTGAAATTAAGCCGTATAACTGACCTGCTCACATTCTTTCCTAGAGAAGCAGTAAACTATTCCTGATTCATTATTTGGATATGATCCACTAATAAAATCAGCAATTTCATCAACCACTACCTTTCCAACTGATGACTTCTCCCTCACCTGTGCAAGAAAACAGAAACAATCATTGGAAACTCTGGCAGCCAGGCAAATAAGAAAACATAGCACTCACATGTCTACTGACCATATAAAACAAATTTGGCCTGTTCACACTGCTAACAAATTTTACACATTTTTGTATATGCAACATCTCAATCAGATCAAGTTGGACTTTCTTTGTAGCAGTTGCCTGAAAATAATAAGAGAAAAGATCAGGTTAAAAAACATAAAAATTAATATATCGTGCACTTGATTCTTCAGCAAAAACAACTTGACAGAAAGAAAAAAAAGGGTAAGGATACCGTTAAAGCAATAACAGGAACTGTTGGAAATTGAGTCTTCAAAATACCAAGGTTCTTGTAGTCAGGACGGAAATCATGACCCCACTGACTGCAGCAATGTGCCTCCTGCAAAAGAGGGAGTTACTGACTTGTGCTAACAATTTCAGCTTTAACAAGATTCATTATATATGGCAGCAATAAACACAGTTAGCCAAGAATTTTGGGATACATCAAACTTATAAGTCATTCATATTCCCTAGATTTAAAATTTATGGGAGGAGAAAATAATGCAACACGAAAAAAAAAAAAACAAAAAAAAAAAAACGAGCATTTAAAGACAGCAGAAAAGTTGCAAAATCTTGTATATGCGTGCCTCAACAGACGACCACCATTCAAACATATTCTATTTTACAAGAAAGACTTTTTTTTTAATTTCTTATCTAGAGTGCACCAAGCAAATGACCGTCTTAATTTTATGGAATAGAGTACAATATATGTTCTTTTTTGGTTAGGAAAGTGGGAGGGAGTTTAGTAAATTGCTGTAGTTCTTTTATGATGATATGGTAATTTGTTTACAGCACCAGGTACAAAGTAAACACCATATGTCAAATGAGTTCCAACTCTCAAGGAGGAATTAGCAATCCCAACTCACATCTATTGCTATGAGCGAAAGACGGCCAGCATGGTGGCACTTTTCAAGCTTTGACATAAATCTTTTACTCTTAGATATCTTCTCTGGTGTGACGTACAATATCTTGAGGTCTCCTTCATTCTTTTCAAGAGCCTTGTATATGAACTTCTCATCTTCCTTGCTAGTAGTCGAAGTCAACATGTATGCTGGAACACCTAAAGCAGTCAGGCCCATCACCTGAAGCAGAAATTCAACATTTTATAGCTAGATTTGTTTGGTGGCAAAACAATGAATGCTTTGCTTCATGCAGCATTAGCGTATATGATTATACCTGATCTTGGATCAAAGAAAGCAGAGGACTGACTACAAGGCAAACCCCATCACGAAGTACAGCTGGAAGCTGGTAACAGAGACTTTTGCCACCACCTGCAGCCATAATCACCAATACATCTCTACCACTCATGACTGCATTTATTATCTAGTAATATCGAATTTACAGAGTCAGACCATGGTAGAAAAAAGTAGATTCCTGGATATAGTTCAACATGGAGAAAAATAAAGTCGCAACAATGGAAAAATTCGTTGCATTGATTTTATTATTAATAAACTAAAATAAAAGAATATTGATGAAAAGCCTGAAATATAGAGAAAATCCACCAAGACAAGCATTTCAATCTACAAAAAAATCCAAAAACATGAAGAGAACATATTACTTACATAGATATAATACCTTTTTTGTAACACACCAAAAAATAGCCAAAGAAGCAAGAATCTAGACTGTTGCTATCTTTTTGTTTTTGTTAAATTTTTTTTTTTTTTGGGACTAAGGCTTTGTTGTTGTTATAGTTGTTGTATACGACCAAAATGGTATCTGAATTTTTAGGATAAAGACACTGAGCCCAGGCTAGCAATTCTTCAACCCAAAACCCATTACTTGACCCTGATGCACACAATATATCCTCCTAACTGGAGGGGTCGCAGAGCTCTGTTGTGACCCCACTCCTAACCAGCAACAGCACACAAATTAAGCTCAATTTCACAGTTTCCCAAAAGACCAGTTAACGTGACAAACTGCCCAGCAACTCTTTCACCACTCCCATAGACATATATATGCTGCTCAAGCCAGCCATGATACTTCTGTAATTTTACAAAGATTAAGATATGAGATGCCTCCCAATGTCTTGTACCCTTGTAGAATATCAAATCTCAACCACAACACTATTGATTCATTGCAAGAAAATAAATCATTTGATAGAGAGATCTATCAAACCTCATTTGCTTTGTGAGAATCTAAGAAAATAATTTAAACTGGACTTCACAGCCTAGAGACTAAATTCATAATGCTGTTAAGCTAATGGATTTACAACATAAAAACAAAGACTTCAGTCACTCCACAATGAATCTGGCAAACCCTCAAAGCTCAAGCTAAATAGACCATGCATTATCAACCCAATTCAACCTAATTTGGTCAACAAAAAGGCAAAAATTTACAACATTACTGATTTTAGAAAACTATGCTTCCTTTAGATTAGACAAACAAGTTGATAACGTATTTACCTCCCGTTGATTTGCACGATATGAAGAAATGCCAAAAATGTTTAGTCGGAGATCCTCAGCCTCAGAATCCCAACCAAAAGACCCCGACCAATCCTCTGGAGCGGTTGAGGCACCATCGTTACGGTGGCTACCTGATGCCTCACAATTTTCAAGGAGTGCCTTTAGTTCAGATTGTCTGGCATACAAATTTTCTTGCTGATCTAGCAGTAGCTTTATTTGATCTGCAGATCCATGCAAAATAATAAACAGGTATTACCATACCAAATTAGATGACTTATACTCAGGTATCCACTTCCTGTTTCGAAGTAGTTTTTTCTTTGACTTTTAAAGATAAAATTTGGGTTGTAGGACAACATATATTGATAATCCATATTAAATAAGAAGAACATACGTAATTGCTATTCTATATATTGAGCACTTTCTTATATTTGTGATAATTTTGGACAATAAATATTGAGATATTAAACATCAAGGTTCGGACTTGTAAATTGAAAGTGAAAAGTGTTAAGGAGGGAGCGACGATCTTCTGGCAGGCTTAAAGCAACTGACACTTGACAGTTAGAAAACTTAACTTAACAGAACAGCATTATTAAAGACTGCCAAACAAAACTTTCAAACCACAAGGCCACAAAAAAATAGCCCCGATAAGCTTATATTACAAAATTCAAATCAAGCCCAAGATTGGACAAGGATACTGCAAGAAATAAGACGGAGGGGTCAAATGGGATTATTTTTTTCCCTTTGAAATTTATAGCATCACTGCATGAAATTCTCATTTTCTTCTTTTTACGTTTCGAAAACAGCTCGATAGTCAATACACTGCTTTGGTCTCTTGCTCACTTTAGGTCTTTAGCCTATGCCTTTTGTTAGGCCCTTCCTCTTAGGTTACACGTACAAAAAACATCATGATTACCCTAGCCATTGTTATTCTCTCCAATTCTTATTATCTGTCCATTTACCCAACTTTTCTTATCATGCAATATTTGTCACTTAAATCAATTAGCAACACTATAAGTCGTCATTTTGATACCGGATGCGATATTACTAGTCAATTTTAAATACCAACACAATTACTAACAAATCCTTAACATGTGTTGATGTGTATAATATTATAGCTTGGAAGACTCTTACTGCTTCTCTTTGTTAATTACATTTTAAAGTTCTCGGAATAACTCCATATATATAAAGACATCAAATGAGCTAAATTTCGGAATTCAGAAATCATAACATACCCCAATTATTTAATGGGTGCTTCTAACATGTTCATTTATACACTATCTGCAAACAATTGTAAACACAGAAAAACCAGACCCCCAAAACTAATTTCTATCAAAAATCTAAGCTTCATTTACACAAAAAGCAAATTACCCAAAAACCATCGTCTTCCACAACTAAAATGTACCTTTCCTTCAAATTTTCTGGTTATGCAAAATTTGACATTAAAGATGTAAATTTTATAATGTAAAAAATAAAATTAAAAAAAAAAAAAAAAAAAACCTAAATTACCCATATATAAAATGCAAAATTATACTGCAAGTTAAAACCTGAAAAATAAACAAGAAAAGAAAAAACCTTGAACATCTTGAAGCTCGGCTTCCACATTCAGCAGCTCTTCCAGAACTTCATTGGTGCAGTCCATTTCCCAAATTTCTCACTATTCGTGTATGTAAAATTTGTATTGCAACAAAATTGGTATTCTTCAATCAATATAATTAACCCCTAAAAATCGAAGATCAAGAGATTACTGCCCAATTAGATTTGCGAATTAATTGTAAACTGGAGAAAACGTTATGTTATTTATGCTTTATGCCCTTGTAATTTATCGGTATCAATACTTTAGGCCTTTCGGCTGCCCGAATCAATTAAAAAGGCCACAACCATTAGCCCATTCTTATCCGGGTTTTTCTGTTTTTTTTTTCGGGTTAGTTGGATCATAAATTTTAGTAAAAAAAAAGTGAAAATTTTCAGTGGTAGTCATCAACTTTTGTTTATTTGCATTAGTAGCCACTTTATATTTGAATTATATTTGGTAACCTTCAACTTTGAAAGTGTTACTTTTGTAACCTGATGTAGTAAAAAACATTAAAATAAACGTTAACTTTGAATTATAGTTAGGAAAATTTAACAGGAATAATCCCACCTTTTGTCCGTTCTCCCAGATTAATCCCACCTTTTTATTATTCCTCATTAATCCAACCTTTGCCCCCCTTTTTCTCACAGCAACTCTTGGAGGTTGACTACCAGTACAACCGGTTACAAGTGTTACGTGGCACATCCTAATTGGTTTTTTGTTTTTTTTTTAATTTACTTTTTTTTTAATTAAGAGAAGAATAAAATAAATAAAAAGAAAATAAGAAAGTAAATAAATAAAGAAAAAGAAACAAAAAAAAAAAAAAAAAAAAAAAGACCAGCCATACAAATCCCCCCCAAACCGACCTTCCTCTTCCTTAATCATGTTGGTTGCTCACATTCACCATCATCAACATCACATAATCATAATCGAATTGGAGGTGGTGGAGACCAGCACTGCTGTCGGTGGTGGAGACCAGCACTGCTGTCGGTGATGGCTGTGAGGTTGTTTCACCGGCTGACGGTGTAGCTCCGTTGTAGTGCCGGTGAGGTCTTGTACTCACCCTACCCCTACCCTCACCAGCCCCGAAACCCTCACGCTACCCCCTCCACCAATTTGAACTCCTACCTCACTTCTTCCTAAGCTTTGAAAACTGGTGATTTTTGGGGTGACTGGTGGTTTTTGGGGTTGGAGGAGGAAGAAGGAGGGGGAGCGGTAGCGATAGCGGCAAGGAGTGGTGGCGGTTCAGGTTCGTGGCGCTGCTGGTAGTTCGTCAGCGCGAAGGAGAGAGAAGGGAGTTTCGTGGGTGGTCGTGAACAGCACCGTGGGGCTGCGGTAGGTCGGAGGGGGCAGGTGATCGAGGCGATGGTGGCGACGGCGGAGCTGCGGTGTTGGGCGAAGAAAATGGGTAGAGCTGCCATGGCCTAGGTTTTCATGTGGATGTAAGGTGGCTGAAGGGAGGAGGGGGTGGCTGAGATGATTTTTTTTTTTTTTACATATTAAAATTAAAAAAAAAAACAAAAAACCAATTAGGAAGTGCCACGTCAGCACTTATAACCGGTTGAAACGGTCAAGTGACCTGTAAGGGTTGCTGCGGGTAAAAAGGGGCAAAGGTTGGATTAATGAGGAATAATCAAAAAGTGGGATTAATATGAGAGAACGGACAAAAGGTTGAATTATTCATGTTAAATTTTCCTTATAGTTATTTTAATTGTTAATTAATCTTTTAAAATTATTAATTAGAAAAAAAAAACCCTTTCTTCTTTCCCCCTCCTCTACCCCCTTACGGCCTTACTGCTCCTCTCTCTCCTACCTTTGCTATATTTTTTCTCTCTCTTAGAATTCTCCCCTAAATTGTTTGATTAAAGGTAGATCTAAGCCTCCTCCTTGAAGCTTACTCTGACTCTCTGAGTTCTGTGAGTTTTCTCTCTTCCATTGAAATAGTTTGTGAGGTAAGATGGTTTTTGTAATCATCGAATATCAATATCCCTTTGAAGCGTATTCCACGTTCTCCATGGTGGTGATATTTGATTCGATGGCTGGGTGGGGATTGATTGGCCTAAATTGGAGCTTGCGGCGGTGTGGTGGTGCTGGCTGCGGGTTGGTTGTTCGGCAGCTACTATGTGGCGGTTGTGGGGAGCTGCCCCGTTGCTGGCTGGTGTTGCGGATTTTGTGCGTGAGGGAGCAGGAGTAATAGTGTGGGGGGACGGCTGTCGGGAATCGGGCGCCGACGGGAAAGGGTGGGCCGGCGCAGGCAGTGGAGGGGGAGAGGAGAGGAGAGGAGGTGGCGGGGCTGGTCGGGGGAGGAGTTTTTTTTTTTTTTTTTTTTTAAATTAATCGTAGGAAAAATTCATACGAATAATCAAACTACGACCCCTCTTCCCATATTAATCCCAACTATAGATTATTATAGTATAATCTAAACTATATGGGATACCTTCTCAAAATAACCCCGATGACCAGTAACCTATTAAACCAGTTTATTCTTGCTTTTTTTTTTTTTTTTTTTTTTTCTCAAGCCTAGCTCCTTCCATCCCACCACTGCCATCACGAGCAATACCTTTGCTTAGCTATAATTGCCATCACCAGCCACACCATAAACAACCACCACTAAAGTTGTCATTAATCCAAAAGATGCTTAAATATTTTTGGTCTGTAAAAAAATCGTCCTCTGATTTGACCATAGAGAAGTTTTTTTTTTTTTTTTTTTTTTTTTTTCTAGAGAAGTTTCTTTAATGTAAATAACTCTTCCATTGATTCCTTTCCATATACTTGAGCTTGATTTTTTTAACAACATGAAGATATAATTTTTTTTCCCATTTCCTCAAATGCAAACACAAGAATGAAACAAAATCACCCAACAAATTCCCAATATTCTACGAAGTACAATTTTTCCGACAATCGGAACTAATAGATGCAATGAATTAAGGCAATAGATCATCCTTTGGCTATGGTGGTGACTAGGTGGTGACTGGTGAGTTTGCAATGGCTGGAGTGGGGAAGGAAAGGAAAGAAAGCATAGGAGAGAGAGAGAGAGTATTCTAGACTTTCTTTTTATAAAAAAAAGCCTTTTAAAAATTATTTTCCTTTTGAAAATAGAAAAATGGGAGCCAATAATTAAAAACACATGGCTCAAATGACTTATTAAAGTGGTTTCATCAAGTCAGGGATCAATATAAGAAAATGCACTATATAATTTGGATTATTATAGAATAACCTTTAGTTGGGATTAATATTAGAAGAATGGCAATAGTTTGAACTATTCGTATGAATTTTTCTTTATTTCAAATTATAATATAACTAACTAGTTATATATTTTTTAAGTTTTATAAAATTAACCTTAGTTAAACTTAACAGCAAGTTAATGGTTTTTAACCATATAAGGTTACGGAAGTAACATTTTAAAAGTAGAAGGCTACCAAAGATAATTCATATATAAAGTGGCTACCCATGAAAATAAGCAAAAGTTGATGGCTACCAATGAGAATTTTTCTTTACGAAGATGACGATATTTAAAAGACTTAAAAAAAAAAAAAAATTGCAAAGAAGGTTATGACTTTGTGAATGTTTTTTTTTTTTTTTTTTTCTCATAAGATAAAGTTGACTTTTTTTTTTTTTTGGTGCATAGTTGGATTTTTTCAAATCAGACTAGAGATGTTAGGATCCAAAAAACATAAACAATCAATTCTCTTTAAGAGCTACAAACTTACAATATGGTGGTGTTATATTTTATGGAGTACCCAACTCTTGACATGGACCACATGGTTATGTAGGCTTGTGGCCGTAGTTATTTTATGTGTAACTGAAACAGTTAATATTATACTCCGACTTTACTAGTTTTCTACTAGGATGATGTGGATAAATTTTTTGACTAGAATTATAAATCTTAACACACATCATTAATATAAATATTAGTTTGTATTTCCTGTCATATAATCAAATGCACAAATTGAAAGAATGGATCTAGATGGATTCGAACCACCAACCTCCCAAACATAATTTGGGCGCTCTTTCCATTTAGAGCTTATAGATCATGATTCACCTCACATAACCTGAATTTTAACCAAGGCCTGGGCACCATGCTTTTTTTCATAACAAGACTATACCGCTCAAAAAAAAAAAAAAAAAAAAAAAATCATACTTCACAGGCTAACAGCACAACGCAGCTCAGCATGCTAAATAACCAACAAGTCTTACTTGCCTGTTGTTATTTGTTTCAAGCCCTCATCCTCTCCTACCATCCTTATCCAATAATTTGATAAGCTGAACACTTTGTGAGACTGTGAGACAGAATAGGCAAAACGAAAGATAAAGATCAAATAACCACACAACCAAACCAATTTCGATGAGCATCGTCTTCTACTCCCAGGAAGTGTAACACAAAGGAGCTTAAATTTAATAATACAGTAATTCGAGTAATAAAAAAAACAAAACAAGGACAAACTCAAGCAATTTCTAATCTATTAGTCGTATTATTAAATTGAATAATAAATAAGAAAAAGCAGGGAAAACATATCTTTGAGAAATAGTCTTAATAAACAATCAATCAATGAATATTATTGATAGCATTGAATCATTGACGTTGTGACATTAGCAAAACACATCAACCATCAACGAAAAATACTTCCAACTATTCTTGATTGCTTTGGCATTGAGAACATATTCAGAATAAGTGCTGTCATCACAACTACCAAAGCTTTCTAACGAGCATATTTGATAGTGCCTCATTGCTAGGCGAACCACCCATGCAAAACTAACAAACGGCTACAGTTATGAACTTGTGCAGATGAGATCTTCGGAATCAGAACAGCAACTTGGCCACATAGCATTAGAGTATCAACAGTCTGGCACCTAGAATGTACAAAACCTGTAGAAGAACTTCTAATACAAAAGTGTACAAAGAGAATGATACAAATTCTATTACACCACTAACTACAAACACTTGAAAGACTCAACACTATTGTTCTCAGTTGACAGTAATGTAAAATGCAAATCACAACCAAGAAAGATCAGGATTAAAAAAAAAAATCAAAAATTGCTCATTGGAAATAAAAGGTTTAAATTAAATTGAGCATCAAGTTGCCTGAACAGAATGCATAAGAAATAAACTTAGAATCTACCTCAAGGATTACAGTGGCATGAAGCTGTGAAACTAAATATTTACATGGTTGAGAGATTACCAAATAACCCCAAACGATATGATTTCATAAGTTATAATCTGTATGGGGTAACTACGTACACAAATATGAGGATTGGTGCAGCGTACACATATATGATGTTTGATGCAATACACATAAAGGAGGATCGGTACAGCGTACAATCCAGAGGCATATATGACCTATTTGTGCAGCTGGCAAGTAGTATTCCTAACTAATTTGCAATACCCTCAACAAATTGCGTGGAAGTTGCTTAATCAGAGTAGCTTATTCAAGAACATGGTTACCTATTCTTTGATAAATATATATGCAATAAAACTGGGATATGAATGTAGCTTTCCACTTGATGATCATGGAAGTTAAGCTAAAGTTCATGGAGAAAAATTTGCATGGGTAAGTCAATGAAGAGATGTTCTACATGCTCGACATTCTCACTATAAATTAAGTTCTAAATAAGCAGAATTTCTTAATATATAATCCGTACAAGACAATTGTAGGAGTCCTGATTTAGAAAGATTCGAAAAGCAGGGCTCTGTGCATGCAAACAATTTCGAAGACAACAATTGTAAGACGCATTGATGTCAAGGGACAATTGAAGAATAATGACACCACCTTAACCTTTGCAGATAACATTGCAATTTAAATAGTACTGAGTACCTAAAAGGGAAATTAGAAAGGATTTTGATATAAATAGAATTTGATAAATATACCTTGGCAAAATTGGATCTTGGCCAAATATGTTGTCCATCGAAATCATTTGACAGTGGATTTGCTCGATGTTGGTGGCAATAGTGGTGGAGTTTGATGATTCAAGCGCAATTGGGGTGCAGGGAAAGGGAGAAAAATAAAGAAAAACAGACACAACACACGCACACACGGTTGGGAGAGCCGGGAAAAACCCCGTGCCATCTCCCAACAAAACCACAAAAAGATCTTTTATTAACATTGATGACCTGCCAAGCAAGCGCACCCGACATGGCAAAGGTCGACTAACAAGACCAATTCACCAAAACAAGGAAAACACTCCGTTCTCCCCAACACACCGACCATACGAACTAATACTACCACTTTTCTCATCCACATATCACAAAACTCACCAATATACATATTATATGAACACACCATAAAATTGGGAGAGCAAAACCGCAGCGCAGCCATCTTCTTATAGCGCCCCATCAGCCTACTGAACCGTGCAGAACATCCGACAATCAATCAAGACCAAACCACTAGTCCACACATCAGAGCGTTGCAAAAGTCCTGGTTCCAACAAGCATCAGAGCATTGTAAAATCAATCGATTGTATGATTTCAATCAATACTAAAAATCAACATAATCAAAGATGAATCATGTTTATAAATTTATCCAACCGGGCTATCAAAGATGAATCACGATTCTTAAATTGCATGAAATCAATTTCATAGATGAACTTTTAATTCCAAATACAAACATATAAAAATTAAATTTAATATTCATTACATAGCAAGAGAGAATCAATAGAACGAAAACAACCTATATGCAGCAATCAAATTCTTGAAATAATAGCGATGTAATCACATCCAAACAGACAAAATAACCTAAATTCACATATATACATTCAATCCAAATACAAAAGTTCACCTAAATTGACATAAATCTTCGTAAATTTCAATTAAATTAAACAAAAGAAATAATGTTAAAATCAAACGATTAGCAATTTCTCAATCAAAAATTTGATGATCCAGAGAATTTAGCGATCCTATTCTTAATTGATATGATTGAATAACAATAATCAAACAGATAAATCAATTCAAAAAGAAAGGCAGAGACAACATACTCGAATTCTTCGTAAATTTCAATTAAATTAAATGAAAGAAATAATGTTAAAATCAAACGATTAAGCAATTTCTCAATCAAAAATTTAATGTTCCAGAGAATTTAGCGATCCTATTCTTAATTGATATGATTGAATAACAATAATCAAACAGATAAATCAATTCAAAAAGAAAGGCAGAGACAACATACTCGAATTCTTCGTAAATTTCAATTAAATTAAACGAAAGAAATAATGTTAAAATCAAACGATTAAGCAATTTCTCAATAAAAAATTTAATGTTCCAGAGAATTTAGCGATCCTATTCTTAATTGATATGATTGAATAACAATAATCAAACAGATAAATCAATTCAAAAAGAAAGGCAGAGACAACATACTCGAATCAAATTCAAATCTCCTACGCCAAACGAATCATAAAATTCTACCAAAATCAGGCGAAAAAACCGATAAATTCCAAGAACTCACAATTTCTACATATAAATTATAATTAAATAACTAAGATCAGATAATAAATTATACCTCCGTAATCAATCAAATCTGCAAAAATTGAAGAAATAATCGCAAATCGACGCAAATCAAATAAATCATTGAACAATTAGTCAATGAATTCGAAGAACGATTAATCAATGAATTTGAAGAATGATTAATTGATTAAGTTGAAGAACGAAAAATTGTTTGGAGAAATCTGATCGAGGAGAAGAAGACGTGGTTAAGAGGAGAGAGAAAAGGAATTAGAAAACAGAAACAGGTAAAAGTATCAGATATATATAGTGGATCAAGAAAAGTAATGGACGGTTGAGATTGCATGGTTAATAGGATGATCGGACGGTTGTGCGTGCAGTTAGTTGCTTAGAAGGACTTGGTATTGGCGGAAAAAAGGGGCTATTAATAGGGTGGATAGAGTTTGGCGGTTTAATTAGGCCACGTCATTAGGGTGCAAATAGTACGTATTAGGGTAGGTAAACGCAATTTCTGTTTTTTTTTTTATTTATTTTAAAGAAACGTTAGACGGATAATTTTATTGGCATAATCAAGATACGTCAAAGTACATAACAAATAAAAATTATCTTTTCCTCAAAAAAAAAAATCTAATCTTGTCAAATCAAAAAAAAAAATCTAAACTTATTTGAAATTTTTAAAACTTATCTGAATTTTTTAGAATTTAACTAAACTTATCTAAACTTATTATATCTTATTAAAATTTATTGAAAATAAGGTGAACAGAATAAGCTCTAAGGGTACCTAATCTAATACCTAGTTTACATAGGAAACCAATTGAAAACAAAATAAATAAAAGAAAAATAATAGTTATAGATTGAAGAAATTTAATTGGGAAAAAAAATAATACGGAGTAGTGTGTGGTTTTTTCTTCGGTAATAGTTAAAGATTGTATTGAATTGGTAGGTAATTTTGTCTTTTAAAATATGCGGTGAAAATTAGTCTGAAAACGTACAAAGTATACATAAAGAAAAATAGTGAGAAGTAATGTGAAAACAACTTTATAATTGGATTCCTTGTGGGTGAGAGCAAAGAATAAAAGTGCAAGATGCTAAAATTACAACTCCATGTTTACCAAAAATGCATAGTGTTGGTAAAGTATACGGAGTATAAAGGATGGTATAAAGAGATTTTTCATTTATTTCATTGACTAATGTAGCAAAATGGAGGAAAATCAGGAAATAATGATTGCTATTTTCTTTTCTCATCCAAGTCAATAAAACATGTCACAGAAATTAAGTACTGTATTGAAATTTCACCATTATACTATTATATAATATTTAAGTTTTATATACTTGTATACTTTAAAGCAAAAAAAAATGTCAATTAATTATTTAATACTCTTATTCTCTTTTATTGTAATTAAATAAATTTTTAAAATACGAGTATGCCTCATTAAAGCGACATAATAACGCAAGTATAAAGAACATATTATCATAATGGTGTTTTTGAAAATTCGTTACATGTTCTTAATAATAAGAGGTAGGAAAACATAACATAAATGCCTTAGTAGACATTTTTGTATTATTAACACCTACTATCATAAATCGATCCATAATTTCAACAACTAATCCGCCTGCCCGCCCGCCCACACCAAGATCAAAGAGAATGAAAGAGCACCACAACCTACTTAATCAATTGCTTATAGCAGAAGCCCACACAGAACCTGAGACATTGCTTGAATTGCAATGCAAGTCCAGCAAAGAAAGAGAGAAATCTCAGTAAAAGAATGATGTGAACGTCAATTTATTTACACGCCATTAAAAAGGCAATTCTCAATTGTGTGTTGTGTCTCATCTGACATAACCTTCCCACCTTACCCAACAATGAAAATACCATTTCAACCATATAATACACACTCTGCAACTCTCTGTACATAAAAGCCTAACTCTGAATACAGAAAACTTCTTTGTTCAATCTCAGACCAAAATATAGGAGGAACTCCTCATCACTAAACTCGCTTCACACGGATAGGATGGCAACAAAACCAGATTTCGCGCAGAAACTGCTGCATGACCTACGGCTTAGGAAGCAGCGAATGGCCACTGCTCAGAACTCAGGTAAATTTAGCTTTGTTCATGCAATTGTTGCAACAATACAGTACAACTATAAGGTGCTGCATCTTATGCTGGTTTTTCGAATACTAAATCAGTTTTTGTCCTAGTGCTTTACGTACATATATATATTGAATATAGCATTTCCTTCCTGAAATGTGTCCTAAATTTCTGATGTCCTAATGTGTATCAGTATCTGACATATCATATTGACTAGAAGTCTAGAAACCTACCTTAATTCTCATGTTAATCTTTTGTATGTCACAACTCACAACCATGTACAGCAAAACCTTGGCAGCTTTGTAATTAGCCAAATTGTGATTCATTCTGCATCTAACAAGGAACCATAAGCTGTCCGATTCCAATGAATCACCTTTCAGCTTCCAACAATCAGTCAAGAGTAAGTTTTTGAACCAGAAATTCAGCAAGTTTCACATTTAAAAGCAAAAACAAAATCAAGGCATGCGATCACAAAATTTAGGATATTCAGCATGCACTTATAGGTTATAGCTATTGTCCACACCATTAAAATGGATTTACATATGATATAGCATGAAACATAACTATTTAGTCAGCCATTGCTCCAACCAATGACTAGTATGTATACTCCTATATAATAAAATGACTGTGGAGTTAGGAGTGCTATAAGCCTATAATACAAATATAATCAGGCAGATAGTCACTTGTTCTTGGCAACTAGACCAACTAGTTCTGACACCAGACAGGAGAACCTTTTAATAAAATATGGTTGATGCTTTGTTGATTTGGAGTGAACAGATATGTACGGAAACTCGAGGCAAAACTTAAAAGGATCCAGGGGAACAAAGATACTTGAGACAGTAAGTGTATATAGTAGTACATCTGAATAATACTCTATGCAGCATTAAACAGTTATAGAAGTACCAGTAGCAACCAAAACAATTTATTTACTGCAGGTTGGTCCGAAGATTGGAAGCAGGTACAGGAGTAGCAGTAATAGCCAGAAATCCCCTGGAACTACACAGACTGCTAATCAGATGGTCCCTTATGCTGGAGGCCAACATTCAGGACAAGTGGCCGACCTATCTATGGCACTATCCTATGCTTTTGATAACAGAGGGAAACTCAAAAGATTAGACATTGCAAGCAACGGTGCAATGATGAATTTGTTGCAGCAAATAGGAAGGAGATCAATGCAGCAAAGTCTAGACATCCAATGGCAATCAGCAAACCAATTTCCAACCCTTACGCACCTCCACATTGATGAGATAGCAAAGGGAGCCCGAAAATTGAATCAAATACTTAGAGCCTGCTCTAGTGGCATCAACATAGATGAAGGCTCCATAGATATTGGGAAAGATCTTTGGAAAGGAGCAATGGAGTTGGAACAATCTCTCAGAATGCTTGTGAGCTTGCAGGAAGCGTCAGAAAACACAATGAGCCAAAAAAGGAAAAGCCGCCTTAAACTGCTTGATGAAAATGGAGATAGTGAGGATGACAGCACTGTCAGCTCAGAGAAACAAAAGCAGGTAGAGCGACCAGTGTTCTCATTTGACAAGCCTACTAAGAACTCTAAAGCAAGTGTACAGACAGATTTGCAGAAAAAGCTTTTAGCTCTTCCTTACCTAGAGGATCCAAATTCTAATCCTGAGAGGAACAAATCCATGACCCCTAAAGGCACTCATAGGCGTTCTGCTAGCTGTGGTTCAGAAATCCAATCATCGCAGCTAACAAATTCCTCAAAACCGAAACACAATGCAGCTAGACTTCCTAATGTTGTTGCAAAGTTAATGGGACTTGAGGAGCTTCCACAGAACAAAGTTGCCACAGACAGTCCATTTTCCCACCAAGGATCAAGGGAACTGGTTTCGGTTCATACTGCTGAAAGAAACTTCAAAAGTGCTGGCTTAAACACAGAGTACACTAAAAATGCCAAAATCCAAGTTAACCAGAACAAAGTGCACAGCAACAAAATAACAATACTGACAACTCATAAAATACAGCTGCAAGAAGAAACATACAGATCAACCAATAGTCAAAAAATGATAACTGGTCCAGTGAAACCAAGGTGGAATGAGGACGAAGGAGAGGGAATCAAAGACTACATAAAAGAGTCAAAAGCAGCTATCCTCAAAATAAACGAACTGCAAAGTAAAACTATTCACTTGAACCAGGATGGTGAGAGCCAAAAAGACATCAGAAAGGAGGCAAAAGTCAGAAGCATTAAACAAAGGCAACAAGAAGTCGCATATGCCACAGAAACATTACAAAGAATGGTAATGCCAGAAAATAGAAATTTGATCGTGGCAGAAACAATGCAGTCCTATACACCTGATAACTCAAATGCTCGTGAAACACCAAAGACAGCAGCAACTAAACCCCTAATTCCTCAACAAAAGCAGAACCGAGATATCCTCAACATGTCATATGAGCCTCAAGGAAAGAAGCCGAAAGCAGACAACAGAAGCCAGCTGGGGGAAAGAAAAAAGGAAGGCAATGCAGAAAATGTACAAAACTCGAGAACTATAGGAAGAGAATCGAAGCATATGCAGAAACAGCTGCCCATCAAGCAACCAAATGCTGGAAAGAAAAACGCAGAAGACATTGCTCTGGCAGATTCAAAAGCAGCATTATTGAGCAGCAGGCAAAAAGAAAATCCAGTCAGAGATGGCAACTTCATGAGCTCAGAAGATAAAAGAAATAGCTCAGCGAGTTTGAGATCAGATGAAGATGGCTCCTCAACAGATGGGCTATCTGAATCACACATGACAGAAGTTTGTGCTAGGCCAAATATCGATGCCAAGTGTACCCATGATTCACCCAAAAAGGTGGTAGGTGACATAAGACCACCCAAAATTAGGCCTAAGCCTGTGGTGAAGACAAAAGAAGATATCACAAAGACAGTCACAACAAGGACAGCAGCTAGGGCATTAAGGCCTCAGAGACCAACATCGTACAGACTGAAGCAAAACAAGGTTGACAAGATCAATGTTTCAAGGACAGCAGCAGAGGCAAATGAAAGCATATCAAAACCAACTGAAAGCATACCAGAAAATCATGATACGAGCAAGCCGCCTGTATATGAGGAATCTCAACAAAATGTAGAAGTTGAACAGACAAGCACCAAAAATCATACAATCAGAGACAAACCTTCACAAAGGCTGAAGAGAGTTAATACTCCAGCTGACAAGGTAAGTTCGGGCATGATAGAGCTCTCAATAATGCAAACTAGCATACTCAAGTTCTAGGCATAAAATTTTAATGACACGCTTCTACCATTTAACTAACATGTGCTTTACCATGCATATTTCAGGATGAGAATACTGTATCAACAGTCATTGAAGATCAAAGAGAAAAACTGGTACCTGATGAAGCAGAAATCATGCACCAAATAACAGAAAAGGGTAAGCAATTATAAGCCTAAAATTCAAGAGAAGTTTTTGAAAAAGAGACTCCAATTCCCCAAGAAAAGAATACACCACCAGAGACTAGGGGATGTGTATCCTCTACAATTTTCTGATCCAACCAAATCTAATCATTTCCTATCCATGTTCAAACACCCCTTTAACCACAATTACAAGAACAGCGATCAATGCTATTGGTTAAAGAAAGAAACAATAAAGCTTATCATATATCCTATAACTCATCAACTATTATCATTTTACTATCTGATGAAGAAAAACAGATTTTTCGACATTAATCTACTGGTATATGTTTTTACCAAAAAGAAACAGATACTAATCCTTCACATTTTACTGCAGATGGCCAAGAGGATTGCAATAATAACTCCTGTAATCAACAACAGAAGCAGCAGAAGCCTATAAAGATGGTAAAACAAGAGCCACTCACAGAAGATGAGCTGTTCTTGAAGCAGAAACTCATAAAGAGCCACCTTATTCTCAACACAGCAGAAGCTCTCTTCAAGCTTAACATTCCCATCAGCATTCTTAATTATGCAAGTGATCAAAATTGTGAAGAGAAAGATAGCAAGATCATACTGGACTGTGGATATGAATTGCTGAAGAGAAAAGGAAGGCAAGAAATTTTCACCAATATCTTTAAGTTGAGGTCTCTGGATGATTTGGTGAGGCAACTGCACAAAGACTTGGAGGCTCTGAGATTTTACGGAAGAAATGGAAGGGATGAATATGATGATTATGCAAACTGTATACTTAAACTCCTGGAGACTGATATTTACAACAGGCATCCTGATTTGAACTGCATGTGGGACATTGGCTGGAATGAGACGACATTTCCGTGTGCTAAAATGGATGAGGCTGTAGGTATTATAGAGCAGCTAATGCTTGATGAACTCGTGGATGAGTTAGCAAATGACTGCTTATAATTTCATTGTAAAGCATCTAATGACGAAAAGTCTGTTTTTTTGGAAGCGATTCATAAGATTTTCCCTTCACAAATACACATTCTGATTTTGAGTTGTTGCTGAGATTAGGAAGGCTTTCCAACCTTACATTTTCAACCTATCAAACTTTTTTATCAAAAATTTGTGAGGAAAAGCAATTTCAATGATATAAAGCCGTTTATAAACCATCACAAAATCAGCATATCCATTCATGCAATTTGCACCCTAAGGAGCTCTCACATACCTTCTAAGATTAAAATTTACAAGTATCCGCAGATATTCAGTTCAACAGTCCTTACTTAAGATGACTCTTCTTACTGGGCTCAAGACCCACGGAAGCTGAGTTGGCAACTTGGCAGGCGGTAGAGAGGAATCCAGGGTAGCCATTGTTAATAACAGGATTGTAAAAAGTAAAAGTCGGCCACTGAGAGAGAATCAGAGAAGTTTGAAGAGGTTGCAAACATAGAGCTGTTTGCCTGTGTTTCATTGTGAGGGTTATAGTCGTCAATAAAAACGATCAAATTTAGGATAAGTTTATTGGCAAGACTCACATACAATACTTGTGTTTTTTGCAATAACGTAGTGCAACACTTTTAAAAGATTACGTGGTACGATTGGATCGAATAAACCCTTATGGAATAAAAACTCGGCTGAGTCTTGAGATGAAAACTCATCTTAATACTCTACAAATTAAAAAAGAATTTTGTTTTGAGCTGCCAACTCATCAGCTCAAAATAGTAATTGATATTTTGATAATGAGTGTTAATATTTCTTAGGAGTATAAGTGAGTCTAAAGTAAGTCTTGAAATAATGTGTTAAATTGGAGAAAATTTAGTATGAGTCTAAATAATAAAAAATAAAAATAATTTAAAGTTAGTTGAAAGTTAACGTGACGGGGTCTGGTGTGTGAGTTTGGGTCTTGGGATAAACTTACCCTAGTTGATTGTCAAATTTTACTGCTCTTTATAATTGGGTGGAAATTAAGAAGGCCTTTGACTTTTTTTGACTTTTTAATTGCATACCCCATACCTTTAGCTCTTTTCTTGTTAGTTCCATTTATTTACGAAGTTTCAAATGCATGTTTAGAGCACAAATTTCTACAACGGCGTTTATTACAGGACTTGATATATATTCACAAAATTTCTCAATTAAAATGAGAGAAACCAAGATAAAGTACAAGTACAAACGCTATAACATACTGAAATTCCTTTTCCCAACCCTCCACACCACCCTAACTGTACAAGTCATGTACGGAGTAACGTATTGTTCCAGCAAGATGACCGTCACAACTCACTAACTTTTTCTTTTCTTTGCAAATAATGATATTAAACACACAACAATGTGCTCATATTTATCTTGAATTCCTGATCAGTGATCGCTGAGCAATTTGAAAAGGCAAATTCTGCTATTTAAAATAGGATTCCCACATTACTAGTAGAAAATCAAGATGCTGGGGCGGCCGGAGCACAATAAAGTCCAGCAGTACCATGCGTGTAACCTGTTCTTAGTCTGGCAATATGATCAAGTTGACATTGCAAGAGATAATAATACAAAAGCACTACTTCGTATTATATAACAAGAGTGTAAATGTTATACAGAGGAGTATAAGTTAGGGTTAACAAACTAACAAAAATGTTTAATACAAAGATTAATAAGAAAAAGAGAAAAAATAATCAAAATGGGTACACTCTCCAGGTCTTTTCTTGAGCACCTATTAGGGGAGGTTAGAGCAAAGCTGCACATTGACAAAAACCAAAAAAGAGACGAACAAAGTACTGGACACTCAATCCTAGTATTTGAGCACCAGTAAGTTAGTTGGGTTTTCAAACCAGATTTTCAACCAAACGACTACATAGCTTAAGACAATGCCACTAAACATAATAATGTACTATAAATTTGTACAGAAAACAAAGTGTATTAATGCACTATCGTATATTATTGAGTTCTTGGAGCAATCTAAAGGCAGAAGTGCTGCTTATAAACGATGATGACAACTCAAAACTTTACCGGGCTAGTGCATATGAAATAGGGGTCATCAATTCGCAGATCATCACAACTCACAAGGCATAATTTTATTCTTCATTTACTCATCACAAGTTAATATGTCATGCCTCCTAGACTTAGATTTCCTCAATTGAGCAGGTCATATAGCTTTTACTAGCACCCTAGCATACTTAAAAGAGACAATACTAAGGTACAGACTTTGAACATACAAAGGGTTATCCCAAATATAAGTCATCCCAAAACATAAGTCAATCCAAAACGACACCTTGCAGGCATTCTTTTCCCCGACCCCAAAACCATCAGGGCCATACCATACCATTAAGCAAGTTCCTAAAGGCTCCTGCTAATGTTATAAAAGCCATATGCTGTAAGCAATTTCATTTTCGCAATGTTAAGTTGTTGCATCTTATGAGCAATTGGATAGAAAACCAAATTAAGGTAAAAAAATAAACAATATCACAGGAATATCCAGCAGGTAAGCAACCCTACATTTCACAGTCTATCCAAACCTATGAAGTATTACCCAATTCTAACAAAAATAAGCTACAAGGATTCCCTCAAAGAAAAAAGCTAACCACAAAAGGAGAATCATACAAACAAAACCGCAACCTTCTAGAAAATCATATTTAAAGCTAGAAATTACCGGTTTGCTATGTGCTCAAAATTTGTGTGTTCAAATTTATATGCTGCACCCTCTCAAAACATATTATCCTGCGTTTCAAATTCACTGTTTCTGTTGTTCAAGTAATGCCAAATACAATGTTGTAGGCCGAATTAAACCAAAAAATACATATAAGGCAATTAACACCCTCTTCTCTGTTTCACTGTCTTGATAGAAACCAAAACAAATATACCAGTCATCAAGGAAACAATGCTTTGTGCACAGACAAGGCATAACATAAACTACTGAAATCGTCAATGAATAAATAGAAGATTCACATTTCAACAGTAACCAATAATCAATTCCACGTCTCCCTCACAGATTACCAATATACGCACTTACCAACTCACATCTATCTTATGTGCAATTGTGATTGCAAAGGAACTTTATTCAATAAATTTAAAATAGTTGCATACTAAAAAGTATTTGCAGCCGAAAACTTATAAAATCATAAAAAAAAAAAAAAAAAAAAAATCAAATATTAGTGCTGACACCTAAGTCACATGTATATAGTTGTAAAAAGAATATTTGAAAAGTAACTTAGATTTTTATAAAGGAAGAAATTTGTGGAAAACAACCTTGTAAAATACACTTACAAAATAATACCTTAAAAAAAATACCTTTAATATAAAAAATATTGTAATAATCTACTTTATAAAGCATAGAAAGTTGTAAAAATGTACATTTACCAGATTTCACTATTTTCCATCGTGGACTCTTTTTTTATTTTTTGCCTATATTTTCTTCCTTATACCCTCCATTTCACCCAAAATTTACCATCTTCCTCAAATTTCTTCATCTCTCTTCTCAAAGCCCTCATGCCTCATGTTTTTATCATCCCTCAAATCCAAATTTCTCTCCCTTGTTTTTTAAGAAGACCAGACCATTAAGAAAATAAAAAAGTTTATATAATACTTCACCACCCGAAATGGACAGTGGGTTTTGCTTCAAATTAAATGGTTTGCAAACCCTTTAAAGAAATATTACTCATTTGTTATAGATGAGTTATAGGCTTCAAAAGGTTTTGCTTTTTAGCACGCCGAAAACAATCAAACTCCCAAATTCCGGCAAAAGGTATCTTTTTACAACACTCTATGCTTAAGTAGGTAGTTTATCACATCATTTATTATACAAGGTAGTTCTCACAAAGACCGGTTCTATACGGTAGTTTTCCAAAAAGTTTCCTTATAAAAAGCATACAGAAATATGTAAAAAGAAGCTTATGATATTCTTAAAAGAGCAGGAAACAAAAATTTTATCTAAAACTGACAGCAACCTCCCAAACCCCCCACCTTCTCCCCTTTCAGAAACATGGGTAATAAAATCATGGAAAACCGTGAGAAGAAAAAAGAAAGGAAAAAAAAAAAAAACCTTCGCACAAAGAATCATCAACTATCAACAAAGATTGTCAATCTCCAAGAGGGTATATCATATATACAATAAAACATAAGACAGCTAGTTGACAAATGAGAAGAAAAGAAAGTACAATATCGACACAAATAGTATAAACCCAGTAGCAGGATCAAATCACTACCAAACCAAACCTAACTGGAATATGAAGTAAAAGATTACATATTGAAAATAGTAGCATATGACTCTGCTTAAGATAACCAATAGAGAATACAAAGCACATATGGCAAGCCAAATCCATATAGACCTACATCCTATAAAACCTTGAAAAAAAAATAAGTGCCTTCTAAAGAACTTAAATAAAAAGGAGTAACAGTCTATCTTGCAGAACATAGCCACAAATAACTACCACTTTTGCAGCTAAAAATCTACACATGTAGCAGCAAGACATGGGCAGCAGTCCAATCAAGCAAACGACACATTCATTTGTCAGCAATCACGAAATCACCAAAACCATTTAAGCAATTTGCGCCCAAGGAGCTCTCAAACACCTGAACCAAACATCACATTGCCAACTTAATTCAACATTCAAGAAAAATCAATCATATATACGTATTAATTGGAAAAGAATAAGCTAATAACCAATCTAAAAACACCTAGCATTTAACTAAGCATATTATCTCATGTCAGCAGATAACACAGGTAAGCACAGGTAATCAACCTAGCATGAATTCTATCAGTTTATAATAAGTATATACTACCTCAATAATAAGAGGGTGGCATTCTCTGATACATCCCACCAGGAGGGGGGCCTTGAGGAGGACCCTGTGAAGGAGGGTGGTTCTGGCTCATATACCCACCGCCACCAGACGAAGGAAGCCCGTAACCACCACTACCCTCTTGATAAGGGGGTGGCATTCCCATAGAGCTCGGTGGTGGTGGCATCCGATATGACGGATACTCTCCAGAACCCGGATACTGTGATTGCAACCCATACGGCCCTCCAACAGAAGAATTATAACCACCACCGCCACCAGGACCATGAGCTGCCCCCACTCCCATTCCGGGGCCTGAATTAGGACCGAGCCCGTAATTTCCATACCCTCCCATCGGGCCGCCAACGGGTGGATTTATCGAACCCGGCATCCTATCACCACCACCACCCATCTCCCCAGGCATAACAGGATTCGGCCCACCTAACTTCCCTTTCTTTCCATCTTCAGCCAATTTACACATAACTTGGTGCCCATCAATCATCTTCATCGGCTCCATCAGCGCCATCCTCGCACCTTCTTCGGTCTTATACACGAAAAAGGCGAACCCCCTTGCTTTCCCACCTGGTTTATCAAACCCTAAAGGACCCTCCTCAATCTCCCCAAACGCAGCAAAGTAATCAAGCAACCTCTCCGCCGAAATCTCATACGGTACATTCCCCACATAAATCTTCCTCGTCGCTTGATCCTCGCTATTCGGCCCTCGGCCCGCAGAAGCCAAATGCGTCACCGTCATACGCCCATCAATCTTCTTGTTCGGCTGCCGCAAAGCCAAGAGCGCACCATCAACATGCTTAAACGTCACAAAACCATACCCTTTGGACTTCCCAGTAGTCTTATCAGAAATTACAACAGCTTCATCGAGTTCACCATAAGATGTAAACAACGATTTGAGAGATTCAGTGGTTGTACTCGGACCAAGACCTCGAACAAAGAGCTTCCGCCGAGAAACGTCGGAATCAGCTAGCGCGCGCGCAGCAAAGAGGACATCAGGGTGGCGAACAACGGCGTCTTGGAGGAGAGAGCGAAGTTGGTCGGATGTAAAAGGCTCGATGAGTTTGCGAGCATCTTCGGGAATTAGGGTTTGGGTTTGAGAAGGTGGTTGTAAATCTGGGGTTGCGTCTGAAACGAAGGAATTGCCATTTTCGTCGGCTTTGCGTTTCTTGGTAGCATCCATTGAAGAAGATGAAGGAATCAAAAAACCCTAACAATGGCGGAGGAGAGAGAAAATTGGGGGTTTAGGAAGAAGCGAATGAAGAAATTGGGGAGACGATACAAGTATAAATAGTGGTGGAAACTGAGTAGACCTTTTTTAGGCTAACCTAGGTTACCTAGCCCAATAAGGTTTTTTTTTTTTTTTTTTTTTTTTTTTTTTTTTTTCCTTTGTCATAATGGAAATTGGAAAGCAATTTTTTAAATAGGAAAATAAAGTTAAATTCAATTAACCACTTCATCAATAACTATATACTAAAAGACATACCAGTAATGACACGTATCATTTTTTGGTGTGTCCAAAAAAAAAAAAAAAAAACTATTTAGGAAACAAATCTTATATATAAATAGAAGATTAAAAAGATTTAATGTATCCTTGCACTATATATATTGATACCATAAGATAAAGTTAAAAAAATAAAAATCAAATTCTTAACATAATTTGTGACATACATAGTGCTATATACTACTCTTACAATTTTTACAACAAGGATTATTTTTTTAAAAAAATATTTGTGTATTTAATTATGTTTGAAAAGCTTGCTAGGAAAGATATGAATTTTTTTCTAAGCCAGTTGATTATTGAGAAGAAAAATAAATACCGCGTGAGAGGGAATGGATTAATAGTGTGTAAAAAGTAAATCTATTTACGAATTAGATACATAGTTGTAAGATATTCGTTTGGTTAAAAGAAGAAATGATATAAATTAGTTAGTGAAATATATATAAATATCCATATATGTGTATTTTAAATTATCTATTTTGCTAATAATAAACTCTTTCATAATTAATTCATTTTACAAAGTAGTAACTTGAATAGATTTTTTTTATAATTAAATATAATGTTAATAATTATAGAGTAGTTATTGAAAATTACCGTGCATGGCACGGGATCTAACCTAGTACTTCAAAATTTATGACATTCTTAAAATAATAAAAGACGAGTTTGTTTAAATGGTATAGTTATTATTTCTTAAATTCACTTTATTATATTCTTTGATAATTTCGAACAAAAATTTAAAAGGGGGTAACCACATGTAACATCCTAGAAATTCTTTTTCTTAAAAATACCTGTTTTGCTCTTTTTAAATACGAAAAAGGAAAATAAAAAACATTACCGCCACCGTGAAAACGGCTAAGGCAAATATCAAAGACACACAACGGAAGACTTTCTTTAAAACCATTCAAAACAAATCAACTCAAAAGTCAAAACCAAATGAAAGTAAGGTCAAACCAAAGTTAAACAAAGTCAAATAAAGTCAACCTACAACTTGGAACCATTGTAGGCCCTTAAAAACCAAACAATACTGAAAAACCTTTACGTTAGTCTCATGAGCATGATAAAATAAATAATATTCAAAGCAATTAAAACACATCATATTCCTATGGAAACTAAGCATGATTCGCTCTTCACTCATCACCTGAAAAACTTCTCTCTACTTGTCCCCACTACTCGCCATTAGAAATGGGTTGACGTAGGGCCAAGGTAATGACAAGGCCAAACAAACATACAAACACACAATCAGCAATGCTGATTACATAAGCGTAACTAAAACACACTAATATGCTTTCATCCTATCATCACACAACTTACCTTGTTGCACCTGTTTACAAGCATACAACGTACAACACAACCACTCAACAAATAACTAGTCTAACTATTTAGCTTGATAACGCATCAAACGGGTTTCCCCCTAACTTGCCCTAATAAAGGGGTACTAACATGGGAGCTAACCGTGCCAGTATAAAAGAACCATTTTTAAGTGGCGGAATTCCTGCGCATAATAAAAAGGAATATACAGCATCCTGTACTCCCAGTAGAAGTTATGGTCAAATATAAAGTCGCATAACTCCCCCCATATGTTCATACTCGAGGTATATACGTTCCAAGAGTTTTGGTGCGTAATCTCTTTCACTTTACGTTATTTACATATTATTAGACTTGGTGATGACTTTCAACCATAACACAATCCAACATTATAATCATTCAAGCAATCAAATATACCAATTTAAATTCGTGAATAATTAGTGACCACATAACTTTTAATAGTTGAACCCTTTTTAATCTATCTCGGTGTTAAATAACACATTAAGCACATAAAGCACCACAAATCTTATCCCTTGGTGTTTAGAACACCTTAGGTGCACTTAGGCACCAAAATATACTTTATTCCTCGCGTACATAGACATTTAAATAGCTCCTTCCTCGTGCTTATAGCATCAATAAAAATTATATGAACCATAATAAAATTCCTTTTCAATACTCTAAACCAAATTAAACACTTAGTTTAATTAAACATGCTCTCAATCATGCCAATAATAAAAGTGTGGTTCATATTCAACATGCCAACATAATTAATTCTAATCATCGATTCACCACAAATAATTCATACTTCACAATTCATTCACCAACATCAATCCATAAAATAATTCCAATCAATACTTATCATGATACTACCTTGGAATTAATTAATCAAAGCCTAGCATGCTTCTACATACTCAAATAATTACCAAGTACGCGAACGTACCTTGAATACGATCTCAAAATCGCCACAACTAAATAAAATCACTCACTTGGAAATCTCCTACAATCCAAAATTACAAAGAGACATTAATACCTATTTTACACAAATTTCCAGCAATATATACACTCCTTAAATCACTCATAAATCCTTTAAAACAAGCTGAAATTTAATTTAAAACCCTTACTTTTATTCCCAATTAATGGGTAGTTAAAAATCCTTTCAAGAAACATAATTATAGCTTATATATAAAAATTCCAGTTTTATTAAATCATCTAAAATTGTTGTAATTGTGTTTTAAAACACTTATTTCAATAATTTAAATCACCCATAAACAAATTGCATCAATATACATAAACTTAGAAACCTAGGGTTTACAATTTGGGGCTTTTTAATTCAAAACCAAATCTAAAAATTTAATCAAACATCATAAAAATCATCACAAAACCCAAAATCAATAATTAAATCAAGGCTAGATTAGGATTAAAAACAAAAGAGCATTTTTTTTGTTCGAACACCAACAGCCACGACACACGGCTGGGCTGCTGCCGCGCCCGCCGGTGTCGCCGCGACTGCTGGCGTGTTTGCTGGTGGCTGCGGTGACCGGATAGTGGTGGTTGCGGTGGTGGCCGGCCGGCCACGTGTGTAGGGGTGTGTAAAAAAAAAAGAAAGGGGAAGGGGAAAAATAAGAGAAAAAGAGAGAAAATAAGAGGAGTAGAGAGTTACCTTTGGGTATTCCCTAATATATCCTTCAGATGAAGTTATCTTTTAAGGCTGTCGAGAGTCATGACAGATATGTGGGGCTTTCAACTTACATTGGTAGTTCTAAAAAGCAGGTGTTCCAAAATATTCAGGATCAATTCTGGAAAAAAATTGATGAAGGGGTAGAAGGAAAAGTATTTATCTCAAGCGTGCTGTGAAGTTTTGATCAAGTCAATAGCCCAAGCAATTCCTACTTATACGATACAATGCTTCTCTATTTCGATGAGTATCCTAGGTGAGGTCGAAAAATTATGCCGTACCTTCTTTTGGGGATAGAAAAAGATGAACTCGATGGCATAGGACAAGTTGTATATCCCTAAGAAACAAGGTGGGCTTGGCTTCCGGAATATGAAAAATTTTAACCGAGCTCTCCTTGCGAAGCAAGCATGGCGTATACTTACTAATGAGGACTCCTTAGTGGCAAAAGTTCTCAAAGGCAAGTATTTTCACAACTCTTCTTTTATGAATGCCAAAATTTCATATATTTCGAGCTACACTTGGAGAACGATATTAGGTGCGCGTGATGTTCACTACTAGTAAACAGCTAATCAACGACGGAAATAATCCCTCGGAATATCCTGAAATTCCGTCGGAAATGCCTATTTCTGACGGAATTCCGTCGTAACGCACCGTTGCATTACATTTTGTAGGAATTTGGCTATATTCCGAGGGAATTTTCGTCGGAAAGGTCCATTCCGACGAATTTTGTTCTATCGGAGTCAAGTTTGACTAAATGGGAAAGTCCACCAGAACATTCCGACGGACTGAATTCCGTCGTTGTTACAACCTTCCGACGGAATATTCCGTCGGAAACAACTATGCTTTCGACGGAATTTCTGTCGGAAAGTTTAATGAAAAAAAAAACAGCCCACCTATCCCTAACCCACTACCCACCCACACCCACACCCACCACTCCTAACCCACTGCCCCACCTACCCCTAACCCACTGTCCACCCCCTAACCCACCACCCCACCACCCACCACTACCCACATCCCTTAACCCACCCCCACCACCGTAACCCACCCCACCCCTTAACCCACCGTAACCCTCCCACACCATTAACCCCACCCACACCCTTAACCCGAACCCACCCCACCGCCACCCCCTAACCCACCACCCCCACCCCGTAACCCACCCCACCACCCGTAACCCCACCCCAAACCCCTTAACCCCACCCCACTAACCTTAACCCACAACCCAAAACCCACCCACAAACGAAACCCACCCACAACCGAAATCCCCAGATCCACCTACGAAACCCACCGTAACCCACCCCATCTCCCAAACCACCACCGAAACCACCAACATCCACAACCACCACCATAAATTAAAAAAAAAAAAACAAAACCGAAATTACAACAAAATTAATTAAAATTAAAAAAAAAACACATACCTTAATTCGACCACAAAACCTCGAAATTGGGTTTACAAGGTCAAATTCGACCATGAAAACTCTAGATCTAGAGTTTTCATGGTCGAATTTGACTTGAAAACCTTGTGTTCTTGATGTTGTTGATGGCGACAATGACGGAGTTTGACTTGAAAACCTCGAAAAATAGCGTTCGTTGGTGGCGTTGGTGGTGTTGTGGATGTCGACGTTGGTGGTTAGTGAAGAAGAACGAGAGAGGAGAAGAGGAGGGAGAAGGAGAACGAGAGTAAAGGGGGGGCGTAGAGGAAGAGAAGAAGGAGAAGGAGAGTGGAAGAGAAGAAGGAGAAGGACAGAGGAAGAGAAGGAGGAGTGAGAAAAGGTGAAATGAGAAAGAAGGAGGAGGAGAGAGAAAAATGAAAAGGTGAATGAGAAAGAAGGGGCGGGTGACTGTTAAGGGTTTTTATTTTATTTTATATAATTATATTCCGACGGAATATTCCGTCGGAAATTTAATGTTCCGACGGAATATTCCGTAGGAATTTTGATGTTCCGACGGATTTTATTTCCGTTGGAAGTTTAATGTTACGAGGGAATATTCCGTCGGAAAGCCTATATTTTCCTACGGATATATATTCCGTCAAAACTTTCCTACGGAGTAGAAAATCCGTCGGAATTTCTGATTTTTCCGACGGAAATACATGTCCGTTGGAAACCGTCCGTCGGAATTCGACCTATTTCTAGTAGTGGTTCTTTCGAAATGCATTAGAAAGGTTGTATTCGAAAGATTGTGGGAAACGGTCTTTCTATAGATATATGGAAGGACCCATGGGTGCCTAGCCTACCTGGGTTTCGTGTGTTGACTGACCGTATATCTAATGAGGATGGTCCAGCCTGTGTGCGTGATTTGTTGGATGACAGAGGGATTTGCAAATTCTTAATTCCACTTTTGATCCATTAGAAGTGCAGGAAATTAGCAACATTCCTATTCCTCTCTTTGACAGGCCGGATACTTGGACTTGGAATTGGTCCAAGGATGGCAAAATTTCTGTCAAAATTGCTATAACAAGCTGAGTATGGAAAGTGCTCGTGAAACTGCTACTACCTCTTCAGCCACCATTTTGTTTGAATGAAACAACATCTGGAACGCAGATGTCCTCCCAAAAATTAAAAATTTCTGTTGGCGTGCTGTGAGAGGGGAAGTTGCTGCTCGTGCTACACTGGTCAGCAGGGGTATGAATGTGGACTCAATTTTCCCAATGTGTGGGGATATGCAGGAATCTATATTGCACATGCTTGTGTTCTGTAAAGAGGCAAAGCTATTATGGCTTTACTCCCCGCTAAGATTGGATGTGGAGAAGTTCAATGGTGCAAACTTTGCAGCATGGTGGGGTGAGGTGCGAGCTATTATTAAAGACCCTTCATAGTGGAATATTTTCTAGTGTACTTCTTGTGGAATATGGTTACGCGGAAACTCTTGGGCTTTTGAAGGTAAAAAGAAGGACATGATGGATGTCATTCACAGGGCTGTGAGCATGGTGGGTGAGTTTGAGGATGCCAATGCGGAAAAGTGTAAACGCTCCATATCTGCTGAGACCTTGGAGTGCTGCTGGAAAGTCCCCTCTTCTGGTATAATCAAAGTGAACTCGGATGCTGCCATTTTCAATACAAATCAGGTGGGTTTGGGAGGTGTGATACGAGATGAGATTAGGGATGTGGTTGTGGCTACGTGTGTGCAACTTGCTGGCAGATTCGAAGTAGAGGTCGCTGAGGCTATGGCAATGAGACACGCCATGAAGATTGCTATGGAATCTGGCTTCTTGAAGATTTGTTTAGAGACTGACAACCTTAAGCTCCACCATTGTCTAAAGAAGGGTAGAGCTGACCCGACTGAGTTTGGATTTATAATTAAAGACATTCTCCTGCTAGCTAGTTCCTGTCATGCTGCTTCTTTTGCCTTTGTGAAAAGAAATGGCAATCGTGTAGCCTATAGCTTAGCCAAGCTTAGTTGCAAATATGATGGTCTTAGAGTGTGGTTGGAAAAGTATCCTGTTGAGATACATGAGCATGTAATGGCTGATTTAAGCCCTTCTTCTACTTAATAATATTTGCTCGATTCCCGTCAAAAAAAAATAAAAGAAATATTACAACATAAGTTCTACAAAATGACAAAATTTAAATGGCAAATCCAAATTAGGCAATTACCAGTGGCTCTCTTTCTTGAGTAGTGTGGTGCAGGAACCAACATAACCCATGTGATACCAAATTTCTCATCGCAGAATGCTTAAGATTTTATATATATAGAGCTTTCTATTCCAAAGAGATAGACAAAGAATACTCTACTATCACTAGATTCGATACGTTTATAAGTTTAGTTAAGTTGATGGTGAGCTAATCGTTTGATTAGACATAGAAAGTATTACTCTATGTTAAAGTTGTGATATCAAGGGAGTTTCGTTCCTTGATATTGTAAAACCCCGTATTTTTATACGTATTTTAATTCAAATCATTATTTTATAAAACATTTAAATAATTTAAAATGAATTATTCATGATATTTTATTAATTTGAAAAGAATTATTTTAATTAAAGGTCCATTTTTATTTATTTAATTGTTTTGGAAAATTTTTATTTTATTATTTAGAAACTTTAGGGCATATTATTTTATAAAAGGGTTAAAGTCAATGGAATTTAAAGAAAGTCAAAGGACTAGTTTGGATAGGAGAAGGGATCATTAAGAGTAAAAAGGGAATTTAAGCTTAGGAGGGTTTTAAAGAGAGGGTATAAATACCCACCTTATAAGCAAGTTAGATCTTGCCCAAGGTGGAGAATACCTAAAGATTAACTCTCTCTTTCTCCTCTTATTTTCTCTCTCCTTTAATTTTCCCCCTCCCTTTTAATTTACACACATCACTACTCACACACACCACCACCATGGTGGCCGGCTGCCACCACCACCACCACAGCCGGCCGCCGCCAGCACAGGGCCGGCAGCAGCAGCAGCCGCGTGGAGGTGGCGCCGACCACTCTCCCCTTCCCCCTAGTTGTGCGTGTGTCTTCAAAAAAAAAAAAAAAAACTCTTCTTTTGTTTTAAAATTATTCTAGCCTTGATTCAATTATTATTTTTGGGTTTTGTGATGATTTTTATGATGTTTGATTATAATTATTATATATTTTTCAGATTTAGTTTTTGAATTAAAAAGCCCCAAATTGAAAACCCTAGGTTTCTAAATTAATGTGTGTTGATGGAAATTGATTGTAGGTGATTTAAACTAATAAATTAGATATTTTTAAACATAATTACAACAATTTAACATATTTTTATAAAGTTGGGATTTTTATATAAATGTTAAAATTGTGTTTCTTGAAAGGATTTTTAATTACCCCTTAATTGGGAATAAAAGTAAGGGTTTTAAATTAATTTTCAGCTTGTTTTAGAGGGTTTAAAAGTGATTTAAAAAGTGTATATATTGCTGGAAATTTATATTAAATAGGTATTAATGTCTCTTTGTAATTTTGGGTTGTAGGAGATTTCCAAGTGAGTGATTTTGTGTAGTCGCGGCGATTTTGAGATCATATTCAAGGTACGTTCGCGTACTCGGTAAATATTTAAGTGTATAGAAACATGCTAGGCTTTGTTTAATTAATTTCAAGGTAGTATTATGATAGGTGTTGGTTGGAATTGTTGATTGGATTGATGTTGGTGATTGATTTGTGAAGTATGAATTATTTATGATGGATTGATAAATGGAATTAATTATGTTGGCATGTTGAGTATGATCTACACTTTTATTATTGACATGATTGAGAGCATGTTTAATCAAACTAAATGTTTAATTTGGTTTGGAATATAGAAAGGGAATCTTATTATAGTTCATACAATTTTTATTGATGCTTTAAGCATGAGGATTGAGCTATCAAGTGTCTTAATACACATGAATAAAATATCAGTGCAGTGCCTGTGTGCACTTAAGGTGTTCTAAACACTGAAGGATAGGATTTGGGTGCTTTATGCACTTAAGGTGTTATTTAAAACCGAGGTAGTTTAAAAAGGATTCAACATTAAATTATGTGGTCACTAATTATTCAAGAATTAAATTGGTATGTTTGGTTGCTTGAGTGATTCATTATGGTTGATTGTGTTATGGCTTAAGAGTCGTCACCAAGTCTAAAAATACGTAAACAACGTAAAGTGAAAGAGATTACACACCAAAACTCTTGGAACGTATATACCTAGAGTACGAACATATGAAGGGGTTATGGGTTTTATATTTAACCATGACTTCTACTGGGAGTACAGGACGTTGTATTTTCCTTTTTTATTATGCGCAGATGTCCAGTCACTTCATGTGGCATTTGCCTACCCGGTTAGCTCCCGGTGAAGTTTACCTCAATTTAATTGAGGCAGGTATTTGGTGGGAAACCTGTTCGATGCGTAATCAAATTAAATAAGCAATTTATTTATCCGTTTCTTTGTTGATTGTGTTGTGTGTTTGAAAACAGGTGCACCAAGGTAGGTTGTGTGTTGATAGGATTAAAGCATGGTAGTGTATACTGTTTACGTTTATGCCCCCTCAGCATTGCTGATTGTGTGTTAAATGTTTGTTTGGCCTTGTCTTTATCTTGGCCCTATGACGACCCATTTCTAATGGCGAGTAGTGGGGACAAATTAGAAGAAGCTTTTCAGGTGTGAAAGCATATTCATGATGGGCATGAGTGAAGAGCGAATCATATTTAGTTTTCATAAGAATATGATGTGGTTTGTTGCTTTAATTATTATATATTTTGCTTGTGAGACTAACGCAAAGGTTTTCAAATTTTTTATCTCGGTTTTATTAAGGGCCTACAATGGTTTAAAGTTGTAGGTTGAACTTGTTTGACTTTACTTTCATTTGGTTTGCCTTTTTAAGTTGACTTGTTTTGAATGGTTTTAAAGAGAGTCTTCGGCTGTGTGTCTTTGATATTTACCTTAACCGTTTTCACGGTGGCGGTAATGTCTTAGAATTTCCTATTTCGTATTTTAAAAGGACAAAACAGGTATTTTAAAGGAAAGGAATTTCTAAGGTGTTACAGAGATGGCCCCAAATTTTTTCGGTTAAATTCAGGTGTTTTACAAGATGATCCTACTTGAACATGTTAGGTAATATAAAAGTCAGTATCATATCCACGTAAGTCATTGACAACATCAAAAGTGTATAAAGTCAACCACATAAGAAAGTATACTAAAATCCTAAAACAGAATGTAATAACTTGTCTCTTTGGCATCTCAAAAGGCATCTTAATTGATTGATATATACAAACTTACACATCCCAGGAATTTGAAGGGGTTATAAACAAAGGGGAGCAAATATGTAATGGAAATGTAAGAACAATCTTTGAAACATCACAAAAGCAACATTTATTGAAGCATAAATATATAGCCTATATCCACAAGTACTGTCTTATCATTTACATGTTTATGCAGTGTTTATCCTCCATGCCCCGCTTCTGAGTTTATGCGACGTTGCAGAGTTCAAACAGCTTACAATCTTGCAGGGACTGAGCTTAGCGGGATGGCTGATGTAAACAACGGTACCTTTCCATAAAGACAAACGACACTCTACGTTCTACAATGAAAACTCGAAATGAAGCTTAAAGTTTAAGCCTAAGCAATCTTGATGCCCCCCTTTTACTTCTTCGAGGAACTGATATAACTTCTTCATCATTCACAGATTTCCTCTGTATTGACAGTAGTAGTCTTCTGATCCCACCAGGTTTCCTATTATCCTGCAATTTCAAGCCGTAAATAAAAGTCAGCTTTCTATGAAAACATTGTTGTAATAACTATAGCTCCACAAGTAACATTCACCTGGAAATGGAAAGAAGGATTCCGAATCAACTTGGGTGCGACAGAGAATCCTTCACGAACGGGCATGACTAATGTACAAGAGATGCATAAATGTGTTAGATCATAGACCAAAGAAGCATGAAATCAGAATTCAAATTAAAAACAGAAAAGTGTGTTACCAGTGATTTCTTTGGGTGTAATGTCAAGTGGTGACCTTGGACTCGTACCTAGACGAATCTTGTTAAAGCTTGTATACATGAAAAGTGGCATTTCTTCGATAGTCTTGAACTCAGGCTCACTAAGAACTCCTTTGATATTGGTTGGCTGATCAGGTTCCCTAAATAAGCACAAGATCTCATCAAGAGTGTACAATCCTAATATGCAGTTTACCAAAACTATTCTGGCAATTTAGAACCCAATGTGTTTGCTCAAAGGAAAATAAATTGAACTGAAATATACTGCTTTGATCTTCGTATACCTCGGATGGGGAGGGGATGAAGGGAAGGAGGATAGGAAGGTTTAGGGAGGAAAATGTGGCTTCATAAAACGAAAACATTCCCGCGTTCCACACTTGGGAAAACTATTTTCAACCTCGGCGAATCACATTCACCCCCCACCCCACACCCACCCTCCCTTTACGTATCAAACAGAGGAATATGTGAAAATAAATTTTCATAGAAAATAATTTTCCTCCTAATTCCAACCAAACACTAAAACAAAGAGTAAATGCATGTTTACAATTTTTTCTTACAAAAATCCACATAAAAATGACTTGAAAAAGGGTACCTCAAGTCCGACCTCAATTCTTTACTTGAATCAGCTGTTTAAAAAGCAAAGATAAATCAAATAATTAGTTCCAGCTTCTTCTCATAATCATAATCGGAAGACATTTATAAAAAGACACACACGCGCGCACACACACAACATACATGGTGGTGAGATATATCGAGGGTAATATCTTGGCAAATCCTTAGTCCATCGTATCTTAGTCAGGGTGAAGTTGTGATTGTACTGATCACATGAATCAAGTTTCTGTTCCAACACCAAGTAATCGATTTTACAATACAGAAAAAATAAAAATGACACTAACATCAGTACTTAAGCATGAAGAAAGTTTAGCCTTCATATTACTAACCTGTTTTAGACAATTAATTCGTCGCTCAGTTTCATTAGCGCGGTCACTCTTTTGAATGCAGCCATCAAGACTAGCAGAAACACTTCCAAGGTGATCAACAACTGTGACAACTGCTCTACATAAGTATTCTTTTGTATTCTCCAAAACTCTGCATCAACCAAAAACTTAGCATAATTATATACAACCTCCTTAACTTTCTGCAAATGAGTTAGGAAAACTACGACTCACATCGCCTTATCCTCGGAATTCTTATAAGATTTCTCAGAATAATCAGCAGCAGTATGGATCTGAGCCCTCAACTCCTTTAACTCCTACACAGTTTTGTTGAATTAGACAGATAATTAACCAAACATAATCAACAATAATATATATGACAATATAATAAGCTCTCAAAATTCTGAAAACTGTCTGAAGATTAAGCCTAGAACACCTGAGAAATATAATAATATATGCAGCGCTAAGGGCTGTCTGTAAGACGCGAATATTAAAAACAGTAAACATTAACTAAACATAAATAACACCGATCAAAAGCATACCTTAAGAGACTTGAGGAATCGAAGAGAGTCATCAGAAACAGCTCCGCGATTGCCATTTGCATGAATGCCAAACTCCATTATTATTACTCAATCTCTCTTTCACTCTTAGTTTTCAAGAGAAGATGAAGAATATATTATGAAGAAATATAAAACTGTAGAATGAAGTATTAAACTGTTAAATAATTCCTTTAATATTTTCTCATCCTTCAAAAATGATTGACGTGTGTTTTCTGGTGATAGGAAGAAAGTTAAACAGGAAACTATAGGCTCGTGATTAATCTGGCAGTTTGTGACAACAATACACAAATGCATGGAAGTAAACAAAAAAACACATGGCCCCAAAAATCCACTTCTTTAACCATTAATGCTAAATAATTCTAAATAATATGAAGAACCCGTGAACTTATGTTTTTTCACCTTGTCTTTGTCATGATAACTTGAAAAGTAGGTAAATTAATCATTAATCATTACTCATTTAGCATTTATATATTCCTTAAAAAATCGAAATTGAAAAAAATATTCACTAACAACATTCTATGAAATACTGTAAAATGCTCTACTAATCTTACAATTCTATGTGTTACACTGCACATATGTATGTTCAAGTAAGAGGAAGTAACAAACCAGTCCGAGTGTCAAGTGGGATGCAAACTAGACTAAACTAGATCAGACTAGGCGAGGATGGGCTAGGATGATAAAACATAGGCAAGAAATAGATAAGGTTTTGGATGGACTGGTCCATTTCAGGCTCATTGTTTGAAGTATTTTCAATGGTTTGAATTTTTTTACTAGAAGAAAAGCTTACTCAACTGAGTCCAGGCCGGAAGTGGGCTTAGTAAGGTTGCTATATTAAATAAGCTTGAGCCCATGGACCGCACTGCATGGTAACCAACGCATACCGATTTAAATCTGGACTGAGCTTTCGCCGGACTGAGGCCAGGTGTGTCGGTCCTTCACCAACCCCAATGGTGTGGACGTGTGGTGACCTCAATGTACAAGAGTTGTGAAGATGAAATGTAAAAATTCTTCGTAGTATAAACTTTGGAGAGAAATCCAATAAGATTCTCCAATATATATTGATAGAAAAAGAAGAGCTGCTGCTGAAATTTACGGTTCCTTGAGCTAACTCATGTAATGACACTAAGATGCTATTTCCACAATCCCAAAACATGTGTTCGCCAGTAACCTAGAATGTAAGGAGCTTCAATCAGGCACAGCATCAGGAATTGGCGGTTGCCAGACCAGAGAGCAAGGACAAGTAATATTTCTCCATACCCAGATACATCAGCAAAACTTTTAGCTTCACAAGACATTAGATTGCTGACTTTAAGTAAGCAGTCTTCCAAAATGTGAAGAGTAATCATGTTAGGTTATATCACGTCATATCTGAAAATCTATCACACACCCAGCATGATTCTCAGCAGCCTTTATAGCATTCAAGAACGGGAGATGGTCTAATTTTGATGATGTAGATTCTGATAGCGTATTTCTGAGATCTCTGTGACTTAAGAGAACTACTATGTCAGTTTCCTGCTTACTACAAGTTGCTGATAGAGCTTTAACCTGTTGAGAAGAGTAAGAATTTGAGCCAGTATCTGTAATAACACCAATCCAGTATCTGTTTTCAATCAAATCTGCGGTAGAAGGTGAGACAAACCTCACCACTGTTCTAAGCTTATGCAAAACATAATACACTCGGTCGGCTTTACCAGCTTCAACATTTACTCTAAGAAGTGCCTCCAGTTCAGGCTCTTCAGGATAAACACCATTCTCCAACATGTGTTTTTCGACTGCAAAGGCTTTCTCAATATCTCCATTGCTGGTGAAAACAGATAAAGCAGGACCATAAGACCTCAGTTTTGGGGTTATCCCAATTGAAATCATCTCCTGTACCATATCAAAAGCCTTGTCTCCGTCACAGCGTCACCCACGCCCATTGCCATTCTAGCAACTGAAGTCAAAGCAGCCTCATTCATCTGCACCTTATCCAAGCACATTCTCTCATAAATTTCAAACCCTTTTTTACGGGCATACTTCGTTACATCATCGCTTACCCTAATCTCATTTACTTCTAACTTTTGAGTTTGATCTTTTCTATCTCGAGCTTCATCATCTATATCACCATCTTCCTCCTCACCAATATCTAACTTCTGAGGGTGAACTGTATCTAAACTCCTACTGCCACTACCAGTTTTAGCCAGTCGAACAACCCCCATTGCAGCACTAGAACAGAGATACAAGAGCACATTATAATGGTACTGCCCCATCTTTACCCCTTGCTTAACCGCTGAATCATACATCACCCCTTTTGGAGCACATGCCCAAGCTATTCCTCATATGAAACTCTGGTGAATTAACCGTACACTTCTTAGACAATTTCTCCTTCTTCTTTACCTTAGAAGCATCACCACCATCTCTAACGGCACCTCTATCTACACTTCGATTAACAACATTCGACATCGAATTAGCATCTCTAACACTTCTAGAAGAACCCCCAGAACCCTTTTGACCCCTTTTTTCAAGACCACTATAATCTCCCCTAACATCCTCCACATTACTATTTATAGCAACTTTTCCCACAATCTCCTCCATTTTTCTCTCCCACTTTCTACTTCCCCTCTTAGCCGAAGAAATTTCAGACCCATTTTCACTTCTCTTCCTAATATTCAATTTTCCACCAGATTTTCTATTATTTTTGCCATAATCTACAAACCCTCCCCCATTTTTTTCGACATAATTTAAATCTAACTTTGATGATGTGGTGTTCCAAGACAAGAAAACGATAAATTGTTACTCTGTATAAGAATTCAATAAGTCTTATTTCTTTTTATTTGTCTCATATGCTCAAGAAACTCTCATGTTTTTAGTCCAATAAAAGTAGGCAAACGGATGAGTAAATTTTTTTGTTGGATCTCACAAATCACAATAATACTCTCTTAACTTCTTGTGGTAATTGTACATGGAGTAATAAAGAAGTAAAGCATCTTGCTCATAATTTTAGCATCACGGGGGGAAGCAAGAAAATATGTCAATATTTTGGAAAGGACAATGATTTATTTTGTTGTATTTTTTTTTATATGCATAAAAAGTATTCCTTTGCGTCCTTTTCAAAAAAAAAAAGGATTTAACCTAAGGTCTAGATGAAATATGAAAAGACTAATTCACCCTTAGCTAATTTGATTAGAAAAAACAAAATAAACTGATGACTTTTTTTTAGCTACTTAGTTTTTTTTTTTTGGCTAGAAACTTAGTTATGAGATTAATCAAAGGATCTTTTATAATATTGAAAACATTTTTCAAGACCAAATCCTTTGATTAATCTCTTAACTCATAATTTTAAAAATTGTTTGATTAATCTCAAAACCTTAGCAGCTCATCCTACAACTTTGAGTACTGATGTGGATTCTAACCCCTTGTTTAGTCAAGATTTTAGAAAATCCACAATCTTGAAGTAACGATCCAATCTTGAAGGATTTCTTTAAGATTGAATAAAAACGAACCGATATTTCTCCTCACAAGATCACTCCTGAAACTTATGATTCGAATCCCCAAATTAATTAACCCACTCCTGGACGCTAATTATTTTGAGATTAAACTCTTAGCCTACTCCTAGACACTAAGTGTTTAATGTTCTAATCTTCAACCAACTCCTTGAATTGAAAACTAGCAAAAGAATTTGTAAGCAATTAAGCAAAACAAACAATAAACTTGTATTAAATTTTCTGGTTTTGATTGTGTTCTTCAAAGCCACGAAAATAAGCTTTTAAAAGCCTCAAAAGAGGTCTCCTAGTCCTCCTAGAAGTAGAAGATCTAACCTAGATAGGATTCTAATAATCCTACATAAGATAGAATTTCAATCCTATCAAAGATAAGATTGCTAGGTAGTTTATTCCTAATCAAACTCTAACTAACTAAAAACTTTCCTAATCACCTTATGAAGTTTATAGCAACTAAATGACAGAAAAATAAACTTATCCTAATTGCTTAAACCAAGAAAAACCCTTTCAAGTGAAAGGTAAAAACTTGCAAGCAAAACTCTAGAAAAAACTAAGTAAAGAAAATCTTTCTTTTTGTACTGCCGCCGAACCACCACCTCACGCGCCGCCATCATCGACACGCGCCCCACCGCCGTGTAGCTGGACTCAGGCCGGAGCTAGGGAGCCGGCGCGTGGCACCCAGATCGGCGCGTCGCCGCCGCTGCCGTCGTCGGAACCCAACTGGACCTTGACTTCTTCTTCAATGGCTGCGCATGTTAACCATTCTTGATTCTTTACTCCAAGCTCAAACCCTATTGGCCTTAAAACCAATATGATTGGCTCTTCAAAAGAATTTCCCTCTTGATCCACATCATTCTCCCCCTCTTCAAAAGAATTTGTCCTCAAATTCGCATCATCCATGTAAGGAGAACAATTCCATGAAACCATCCAAATTCGACGAATACAAGCCAAAAGAACTATTACCTCAACGCTAGCAATTTTAAGCAATGTAACAACATCACCACGAGCAAGGCAATATTTTAGAAACAACCAATTCTCAATTTGGTCCTTGGTCTTCGAAGTTGACCATAAGAACACTTTAGGCTTCATGATATTTTTCTCATGTATGACTAACAATTTCTTCTCTTTATGCATGCCTAATGAATCCACCACTTCTAAAGAAACCATTAAATTATTATCTTGATTCACGAATGGCTCCTCAATAGTATCAAAAACCTTTTCCGACACCACCATTGGTAGATCATTATGAATAATCTGATCTTGAACAACGTCACACACAATTGGAACATCAATTGTTTCACTCACCTTTTCTTCGAGCTCTTTAGCACCTACATGTTCCTCTTCCTTATCCTTTTGACAATCTTCCTCCATCTCTTTAACTTTAACGCGGCATGGAATAATAGTTAAAGGAATAAGTTTGAACCTCTTGTTTCCCACCTTGACCGAATATGTGTTGGCCACACCATCATGTTTAACATGTCGATCAAATTGCCATGGTCTTCCTAAAAGAACGTGACAAGCACTCATAGGAATCACATCGCACCATAATTCTTCCTTGTAATTACCAATGGAAAAGCTTACTAAGGCTTGTTTCTTCACATGAAGTCCCTTAGAATCATCAAGCCAACTCAACTTGTAAGGATTCTCATGTACTCTTGTTGGAAGGTTGAGCTTAGTAACCATTTCTGTGGACGCCACATTAGTACATGAACCACTATCAATGATCACCTTGCATGATATATCTCCTACTTTGCAACGAGTATGGAATAAGTTTTCCCGTTGAGATTTGTTAGGGTTTGCTTCGGCATGGAGGATCTTCCTTACCACAAGCACCTTTTCATCATCCTCGGGATCAATCTCCTCGTTCTCTTCCTCACTACCTGTTGCCTTAGTTTCGGATTCCTCATCGTCACACTCAAAAACTATGTGTTTCTCTTCTTCTACTTGTTGTTCGTACTGTCTTATTGTGAGAGTTTTCTTGGAAGGACATTGATCCGACCTATGTCCCTTTCCTTGACATTTGAAACACCTAATTCGGGCTTCGAACTCTTCTTTAGATATCTTAACGAATTTCTTTTCTCCACTTGTTGAGCTTTCTCCCTTAGACTCGTAGGAACTCGGTTTAAAAGGCTTGAAAGTTTTGCTTGTTTTGGTCTCTTGTGAGAACTTGGTACCAAAACTCTTTGTACTTGTGCTCTTCTTATCTTCGAGCCAATGACTTTCAATTTTTAAAGCTAGTTTGCACACATCATTGAATGACTCATAAGTACTCAATTCAATCTTCTTAGCAATAGGTCGATTAAGACCCTTAAGGAATCGAGCAATCCGCAATGGTTCTTTCTCATCCAAATCACAAAGAGAGGTTAGTTTATCAAATTCAGCAATATATTCATTAACACTCTTAGTATCTTGTGTCAACATAGTGAGTTTCACATATAGAATTTGTTCGAAATCATGTGGAAGGTATTTAGAACGCATCTTCCTTTTCAAAACCGTCCAAGTCTTGATTTTTTCTTTCCCAGCCCTAGCACGTCGTGCTTTCAAATTATCGAACCAAATTCCCGCATTCTTAGTGAGTCGTATATAAGCAATTTTGAAACGTTGAGAATCATCAAAACCTTTATAATCTGAAATTTTCTCTAATTGTCTCGCCCACTCAAGAAAATCTTCGGGGCTTCCTAGACCCGTAAAATCATCAAGCTTGATACCTTTATCATCAATCTTATTCATATTATGAGTATCAACATCACTACTAGAAGCATCACTATCACTATCATGCCGTTTTTTCTTCTTTTTCTTTTTATCAAGCAATAGTTGTGAAAAAGCATTAAAACGTGCCTCCGTATTATCTTGCAATCTTGCAAATTCATCCATGAGTTTGCTCAAAGCTTCCTCCATAATTATAAGACAAAAACAGACTTAAAAGAACCCTTATCCACACAGGTATATCCCACAAAAATCGCAACACAACTTGGAACAAAATCGCACACAAAGAGCAGTAAGTATTAAATCGGACCAAAACTGACACAGTTGCGGAAAACAGTCCAGTTTAATAGCAAACGAACGCGAAAAATTTCGAAATTTCACAGGCAGAAAGTAGACAAAATTTCACTCAAAATCAAAAAAAGAATCACCTGAAAAGACCTTGTAACGAAGGAGAACGAGCCTTCTGAAGTTGACAGAAAAACTGGTTATCCGAGAACAAGTGCGATTTGATGAACGAAGTGTTGAACGATCAAAAACCCCTGAAATCTGATACCAATTTGATGTGGTATCACACAAGCTCTGATACCAATTTGATGTGGATTCTAACCCCTTGTTTAGTCAAGATTTTAGAAAATCCACAATCTTGAAGTAACGATCCAATCTTGAAGGATTTCTTTAAGATTGAATAAAAACGAACCGATATTTCTCCTCACAAGATCACTCCTGAAACTTATGATTCGAATCCCCAAATTAATTAACCCACTCCTGGACGCTAATTATTTTGAGATTAAACTCTTAGCCTACTCCTAGACACTAAGTGTTTAATGTTCTAATCTTCAACCAACTCCTTGAATTGAAAACTAGCAAAAGAATTTGTAAGCAATTAAGCAAAACAAACAATAAACTTGTATTAAATTTTCTGGTTTTGATTGTGTTCTTCAAAGCCACGAAAATAAGCTTTTAAAAGCCTCAAAAGAGGTCTCCTAGTCCTCCTAGAAGTAGAAGATCTAACCTAGATAGGATTCTAATAATCCTACATAAGATAGAATTTCAATCCTATCAAAGATAAGATTGCTAGGTAGTTTATTCCTAATCAAACTCTAACTAACTAAAAACTTTCCTAATCACCTTATGAAGTTTATAGCAACTAAATGACAGAAAAATAAACTTATCCTAATTGCTTAAACCAAGAAAAACCCTTTCAAGTGAAAGGTAAAAACTTGCAAGCAAAACTCTAGAAAAAACTAAGTAAAGAAAATCTTTCTTTTTGTACTGCCGCCGAACCACCACCTCACGCGCCGCCATCATCGACACGCGCCCCACCGCCGTGTAGCTGGACTCAGGCCGGAGCTAGGGAGCCGGCGCGTGGCACCCAGATCGGCGCGTCGCCGCCGCTGCCGTCGTCGGAACCCAACTGGACCTTGACTTCTTCTTCAATGGCTGCGCATGTTAACCATTCTTGATTCTTTACTCCAAGCTCAAACCCTATTGGCCTTAAAACCAATATGATTGGCTCTTCAAAAGAATTTCCCTCTTGATCCACATCAAGTACATAACATTCTGAGACCTTATGTTAGATTGCAACTATAAAGGCGGTGGCATTGCTGTTTTAAATACTCTTAGAGTTAGCATAGATAATTGTTACATTGTTCATTTTATGTCCGAGGGCATTCGAGTTGAGAGTGGACACGAAACTCTGATCTGAAGTTCCTACTTGGGACAACATATCACAGCCGGGAATGATCCGGGTGAAAGAAACTTCACAGGCACAACAATAACCCTTATGGGAAACGACAACGTTGTGAATGATGTCGTAATATTTTCAGCTAATACAGGGATTATAGTATCAGGGCAAGCTAACCTTCTGTCCGGGGTGCATTGCTATAACAAAGCAACAGGGTTTGGAGGAACCGGAATCTATCTGAAGTTGGCTGGTCTAACCCAAACAAGGATCGTAAAATCTTACTTGGATTATACCGGCATTGTAGCAGAAGATCCGGTACAACTTATTATTTCTAACAACTTCTTCCTAGGAGATGCATACATTAAGTTTAAGTCTGTCTAGGGTGTTGCAAATGGTGTCAATATCGTCGACAACATCTTTGCAGGGTCCGGAAATGGAATTGACATTGTACAATTAGATGGTCCCTTTGGAGATGTTGATCAAATTGTAATTGATCGGAATAGTATCAAAGGGATGAGTGCTAAGGCTACCATAGCAAAGTCAGCAGTTCAAGGGAATGGAAGCACCTACACTGCAGATTTTAATGGGATTCTTTTGTTTCCAAATCTCATAAAACATGTGCAATACACGTTAAGTACAAGTGGGAATGCCTTCCCTAATTGCGCTTTGCGTAATGTGTCACAGAATCGGGTGGTTATCGAGTCGAGTGTGGCTGCTCCTACAAGTGTTTATGTCATGGTTGATCAAGGATTTGGAGAGTGGATTTTAAGTGAGGATTCAGGCAGCCTTACTTCTTGTTTAGTTACTTCTATTTAACATTTAATCACATTTGAAACGCCTTTACCATGTAGAAAACACAAGAGAAATTGTAATGAAATGAAAGCATTAATTTTCTGGGAAGTATAGGCAATTCAACATAGTGAGAACATTTTTCAACCATCTCAAAATAATCATTCCATCCTATATTATATCCTAGGAGTTCCACTATTATTTATGTTACAAGATCTAAATTTTGATCAAGAATGATTTTAACAAAAGTTGGATTACTAAATAATACTATTATAAAACAATTATCAGGTAGAAACAAGTCAAACAACGGCTTACTCCATTTTAAAATCATAGGTCACATTTCAATTTCACACCGTCGAAAAATAATTGATCGATTTCTAGATTTCGTAAGTTAAACTTTGTTCACTTACCACTTTACCAGTACAAAAAAATTAGAATCCAGTGAGCTCCGACTCTTTGTGAGTCTCAATAGTGACATCACTAATAGGATAAGCAACACAAGTGAGAACCCACCCTTCAGCCATCTGGTCATCATCCAAGAAGCTTTGATCTGATTGGTCTACACTACCAGAAGTCACCTTCCCGACACATGAGGAGCACGCGCCTGCCCGGCATGAGTAAGGCAAGTCCACCCCATTCCCTCCTGCAGCATCCAAGATGTACTCATCATCGTCGCACTGAAATTCCTGGGTGCCTGAAGGTGTAATCAAGGTAACCTTGTGGGCAGCCATCGCGGTCATCCTTCCCCCACGAGCACTGGCCTTGAGCCCAAACACGGCCTGGCCAATGTTGGTAGGAAGTGCTGCCGTCATTGGCGGATTTTGCTGTTTTCGTACCAGCGTAGCTGCTACCATTGCTGCTGCTGCTGCTGCTGCCATTGCTACTATTGTCGGCACAGGTTTAGTGGAAAGGTTGGTTTGTGCTACAGGATGTAGTAGTAGAAGGGTGAGAGTTTGGATGGGTGCTAACCAATTCGCCACGTAGCGGGTTGACATGGAAGCTGACTCACTTATCACTTGGTGTGTGGTTGGTTAAGGTTTCAAGTTGGAGTGTGCCTACCATACTTTCATTATTGGTAATTTGGCATCATGCAGAGAAGCACCCCACTCTTGCGCGTTTATCTAATACGATACACACACCATTACTTAGGTAGTTAGGTGTGCCAATGATAATTGGTGCTCCACAAGTGTTTTTTAAGTAGATTTTCCTAATAATTAAAAAAAAAATAGATAAATAAAAGAAAAGAAAAAAAAGAAGATGATTTTACCCATCCCGATACCCTATGTTTACTCGAACTCGGGTACCCATGTCCAACACGAGTACATGTTCAAGTATCCAACTCGACTATTCTGTGAAAAATTTCAATGGTTTGAACTAAAATGAAGTGTCTAAGTATCCTACTCATGTGACTCATATCTCGAGAGTCCGACATCGGTAATTAAGGTGAACTGAAAAGTTTGAGTAACAAGTATTATACCCATAAATGATAAATTTATAAAATGCTAGACCAACAAGTAAAACTACATTTTTTTTGTTTTTGTTTTTGTTTTTCCACTTCTATATGGCATACTTTACTTGTTATTATAACAAGAGAGTCCATGTGATGTAGTACAGAGAGAAACTAAATTAAATTACCATCTAAAAGGAAATGAAACAATAATTTTTAAGCATCATAAGGATGTGGAATACTAATTAAGGAATAACATGAAGCATTGATTATTATATCACAATAGGCTGACTTAAAGACCAGAGCCATAATAAACCCATTGCCAAATTGAAAGACTCATCACTCGAACCAAACTCAATTCAAATGGCGTGCTTGTCACCTCTAAGGTCCATGAAGTTAAGGGGACATGATAGTGTCCATAAAACAATAGAAGAAGAGCACTATGACCCAAATTACAAATTTAAAAGTCATGCTACCCTAAGCTTACAAATCAGTGAAATTACAATTATTAAGCATTCATCAAACAACTTCTAATCTCAACAAAACAAGGATCCAATAGTTTGCAGGATAGTTAACCTAAGCCTCAGTTGCAGCAAACAAGCTTTTCACTTTAAAACAATGATCCAGATCTTTGCAACAAAACTTGTTTTCCTCAGGAATCAGGATGCAACAAACATGTTACCTAAGAACCTTCATCCCTCGGATCCATGTATAGATCAGATCTCCCAACAATAATTATGGGTATACTGCAAATTTACTGATTCATTCAATCTCTCTTGTAAATGGCAATGACACTCTCAAGGTGAATTCATAGTTCTTCCACAAATCACAGCCACTAAGTTTTGAACTTGAACCACAAATCTGGCCATGTATCAGTCATGACAAACTTAAACTTCACATGTATGATACAAATTGTAATAGACCTAAAGTAAGGTATAAGCCAATGTACCTCAGGTCTTGAACCATAAATCTAAAGCACAATCCTTTGAAGTGTGTTCACATATGTGTAACTTGAAAAACATACAAATAGTTTCCTAAACCTGCACATTTTTGAAGAACAATCAAGGAAAAAAAAAAAACCAACCCCATGATCACTAAAGCCCTTGCCTAAGTGTTAGAATCCACCTCTCCGTAACACTAAGGCAGAGTAGATTAAGCAATGCAAAGTAGAAGCAGCCTTGACCAGAATAGTTGAAAGAAAGAGGGGAGGGGTGTGAATGCACAAAGTCATGGCTTTTGAGTTGTTAATGGGAGAAAAATGTCAATGGGAAAACAATATTCAATCATACGGAAGGAACGTTTCTTGGATACTCTGAATCTGAACAGAAGAAGAAAAGAAGTTAGAACACCTACCAAACCCACTGGCTTGCGTGTTGTGCCATTGCTTGAAAACTCATAAAAGGATGCTCATTCAGTAGACAAAAAGATTTCCTACGAGGGAGACACCAGGCCATAAAGATGGATAACCAGATATCTACTGGTCCACTATACTTTCGCAAAACACTGCTACTATCCTGGGAACAGCAATGAGGGGGAAAAAATTACAAAACTTAACAAGGTACATTGTCTATAATTAGCAGGGGGAAAAAAATTACCAGTTCCCATGCTTCAAAACTATTTTGTTGAGAATCAAGTAAAACCTTTCTGTTACAATATAAAGAAACCTTTAAATTAAACTTTGACCAATCATTCATCCACTAATCTAAAACAACTATGTGTAAAATTTTTGGACTTAGGATTTGGGAAGAAGACGATAAGCTAAGCCAACCATCAAGTGAGCACATGATGCAACTACACTTAATAAAATAAGTTGTTGGATCAAGCAAATAGACAAAAGAAACACATAAATCGATCCATGTATCAAGATAAACGTTGACAGCTAAGAAACAAAACATGAACAAATGTGCAGCTTATTGCTCAGATGCAGAATAGAAAAGTATACGACAAGAAATCAATGAATGCAAAAGATATAGGTGCTGCACATAATAAAGATGGAGAATAAACCAAAATGACCATCAGAATCAAGATTTAAAGGTGGTTGCTAGAAGTCACCTTATTCCGAAATGTATATCTCGGTGATTACAATGACCAGAAACTCCATAACTATCAAATGTAATTACCTGCAAATTTCAACAGGAGATGAATTGAAAATAACAACACTGAATTACAACAGAAACGTGAACAGAAAGATTCAGAATTTCATTTGAATGACTTTAGAAAATGTACGCCCAAAAATCAAGTTCTAAGAACATGGAAAGCCACAAAAGATAGAAAGATGAATCTCACTGTATCAATGCCATGAGATCTGATGTTATCTTCAACAATTTTTGCAATTAAGGTGTGATTCCACACTTTGCCAAACCCATCCTAGTCACAGCGAGAAGATGCTATAACATTTGAAATTATCATTTAGCTGTACTACTATAAAGTCAAAATATTAGAATACTTTTGCTTTTCAAACCTGAAGCTCTGAATGGTCAAGTACAACCACTTGCTTCAGAGGAACCTGCACAAAGAGATTGATATCAAGCTCACATAATATGTTTTTGAATAAGGCCTAAATCAGTAACGAAACTACCATCTACCATGCTCACGAAGTAAAATTTAATCACCACAATTCCAGTAATCCTTTACAAAGTTATCACCAACTATCAACATTCAATGCAATATGATATATATGCCTCTAATCATCTATTGGCTACACCATTATGAAGTCAAATCATAAATATATGCAAATAATCACAAGGAGGCAGAATTTTTTTTCGGGTTCATCTAGGTAGCAACTCCAAGATAGGATAGCAATAAGCCAAACACAATATATCACCTTTAACATAGAGCAAGCCTTGTAGAGCTCATCTGTCCTAATTTTTCCCATCCCATCAGCATTACCTATATATATATATGAAAAAAGGTAAATTGTAACTCTGTACAAGAAAAGGATTAAATTGAATACAAAGTACTAAATTCTACTACAATTTCCTTTGCACCAAAGATCAAAGGAAAATTGGATAAAAAGGAAATTATAAAGCAAAAGGGAACAAAAGCAGAAGTCCGAGAGGCGTGAAGAAAAATGCATTTGAAGAATATGTTTGGAAACAGCCTCTATTACTCTTCAATAGCTAGGTGGTAAAGTAGTGTGCATTTGGCCCTCCCTCAAACATTCTATTGGAAGCTTAACCAGCGACAGACATTTCAAGAGAATTGGAACATAATTAAAAGCTACTAGGTACATCCAAGATCTAGAATAACACTTTGTTTGGATAAAAGGAAATGGAAGGGAAGAGAAAGGGAGGGGGACAAACTCTCTATTTTGGGTTAAGGATTGGGGGAAGGAAGGGAAAGGAGAGGTAAAGATCCATTTTCCCTCTATCTTTAATAAGCATCATCCCTCCAAAATTGGGGAGATTTGGAGGGAAAATGGAGCTCACCTCCCCCTCCCTTTCTTTTCCTTCCCTTCCTCCTCTTTCCCTCCCCTTACTTTCCTTCCTTATTTGCTATCCCAACAAAGCGTAAGAGTAGTCAACATTCAACAAACCAAAATATAAAGCAAGCAAAAATGATGCTAAAGCTCAAGATGAATATCTAGGGCTTGTCTGTAATTGTTCACTAACTAAGAAAGTCACAAGATGATGCAGTATTGTAGATACAAGCCTGTGGGTCTGAGCACAAAGTCCTAAAGTCGGATATATTGCATTACCAGTAGACAAGCATAAGATGTAAATATTATGCCCTCTTGATGTCAGATAGTTAATCGTCGGAGTGAAGAACCTGAAAAAATAGAATACAGTTAACATAAGTAACATGATACAGAAGTTTAATTTGTATAGTAGCGCATACCTAACAATGTGGGATCAAAATCAAACTCAAGTGACCCTTTGAACTCTGGTCACTCTTTTGGGGATCCCTCTTTCTTATTTACCCAAAAAAAAAAAAAAAAAACAACGCAGCAAAGAAAAATTTGATGATAATTACACTCCATTGCTTCTTCTTGATTTCGGAAAGTGCATAATTGAATGATCAAATCCTGTCATTTCATAGTATATACAAAAACCATTTTAAACCATGACAAGATAAACAGATCAACTTACATGGACTCATCATCAGGATGTGCAATCACAAGCGAGACAGCCTTCTTGTGTAGGGTGTCACCTAAGTAACAAATCAATTTCCATTTCCATTAGCAGATATAGAACACTTCACACATAATTTTAAAGTAAAATTTTAGAATTACTGTCAACAATGCAAATATATTTATTGCAAGCTATAATAAGATTGTACACATTCCCAATAATGTACTTGTATCATTAAACTAATTGAATTATATCAACGCTTTAAATTCAAAAACGACGCACCTACCAATGTTGAAGTATTGACCTTTTGTGGGGAAGTAAGATATGTGCAATATTTTACATAAAGAGGCAATCCAAATCACAGAAGCGGAGAGCACAATGAAGAACCAGTCCATTATTCAATCACTATTTCAACACTGTATTAGGATGAACTTTAATTAGATTCATAGTTTCATATAAGTTTAAGGATTATATTAACTATAAATCCAGGTATGTAAGCATATAATAAAAGAATCAATAATATGAAATACTATAATCTCTGTCTGATTATAAATGAAATGGAGTTGTATAAAGTCAATTACTTTATAAAAGAAAATCTGGGTAGTTTGTTAAACATCAAAATCTAAAGTAAGGAAAAAAAAATATCTCCATTGTTAGCACTTTATCGAACAGTTGGGGTGCATTAAGAGATGCCAATCATTCAATTTTTCAACAAATATATTTCAAATGGATTTATTTTAGCGATAATTCGACGTAAAAACCTTGAATTTTGTCTTGCAGACTATACAATTACAAAAAAATCGTCAATTATATGGCGAAAAATCTAAACTTGGGAATAATCAAAATGAAAAAAATCAGATTGAACCCAAAAAAAAAAAAAAAAAAAAAAAGAAAGAAAATTGAAATCCTATTGAATTGAAGAAGAAGAGAATAAACCTGATTTCGTCAGTGATTCAAAATTATGATTCAAACTTGGGGTGTTCAACTTGGTATGTTTGGGAGAAGAGAAAGGAGGGATATGAGGAAGAAGGAAAAAGAACACAATAGAGGGCAATTTAGTCAATTTGAATTTCTACTACTCAGGCTACATCCTTGATGAGTTCGATCCTTCAATCCCTTTTTTTTTTTGATAAAAGTCTAGCACCACATTTTATTAATCATTGGACAACTTGTCCATAAGAACGTAAGGAGAAATTACAGAGGGGCAAAAATTATCCCACACTTGTTCGCTACCGAACACTACTACACTAGAAAGGTGATGAGTGACAAAATTTCTATCCCTTTTAACATGAGACCAGTGCACATAATCGAAACTAAAACAAAGCGAAAAAATATCATCAAAAACCGAATCAAGATCGGTGAGAAATGTGGAAGCTTTTGAGAGACGAGTGATGATGTGTTGACAATCCGATTCCAAAATCACCTTCTTATACCCATACTTCAGAGCTAGCTTCACCCCAAAGAGTAAAGCACGACACCCCAAATATTCCGAAATTGGTGAAAGTTGGGATAAAAAAATGGTATTAATCCTTTATAAAATTATATGCCCCAATATTTCCAAATCATGAAATAAATATTTTCAAGATTGTTAAATAAATAAAAATAAATTTTTAATTAAAATAATTCTTTTTAATAATGAAACACCATAAATAATTCATTTCGAATTATTTAAATACTTTAAGGAATACTTATTTAAGTTAAAATATGTGTAAAAATACGGGGTATCACAGTCTACCCCTCTTAAAAGAAGTTTCGTCCCGAAACTTAGGTAACGAAATTCAATTTTTTTCCTCACTTTGTCATACTTTTGCTTTTAATGTCTCTTTGAAATCAAAATTACTCGAAATAACCGTTAAAAATGTGCAAAAAGCACAAAAATAACTATCACCTGGTCCGACGAGAAATGGTGAATTGTTTCAATTTCACTCCAAGGGTTTAACGATTAAGCTTGGCAATGGTGGTTGCGGCAACATTGATGATGGAGATTTCAACAATGGTGGTTCTTCTGCCAATACATTTGCTTGGATTATGGTGATTCTAAAGAGATGATTCTGCGAGTTTTAATCATGGTTTCAGCTTCCTTCTCCTCAAACATAACGTTAATACTGTCATTTCTCTCCCCTAACCATTCTCCTAAGATGGATGGGTCACTGTCCTCAATTTCTCATTAAGAAAAAATTAAATGTGTTTAAGTAGTAGCAAGCTGAGAATCTTAAGATTGATATGGTTTAATTAGTCTGCCAACCCAATCATACATATCAACGCTTACATATGTTGATGGTGGCACTCGAATTTGTGATCCCAATTCATAAGGTAAGTTTTCCATCATTTTTGGCTGTTTTACTCCTAATTTATTCAAAAGGATATATGTATGTTATATGATATGTTATTTTTATCATTTGTTTATATGGTAATTATATCTTACATCCTTTTTCATAAAATACCAACACGTGATCTTAAATCCGAGATATGAGAGTACTCGCTATCCTTTAGCATATCCCAAGTCACGTGGATGAATATCTAACGAAGACATAAATTTTGGCGCAGTTTTGCCACTGAAATTTAAAATTATTGTAAGGTGATTGATGACAAGGTTACTTATTGGAGGGAATAGTGAAACTCTGTCAAAGGTGAGTACATTTAGGTCATAGGTTTTCCCCGTCTAAACTAATGCACATTAACATTATTTCCCACTTAGTAAAGGCGACACGTCTGAATTATTTTAAGGCCCTATTGCTAAGCTAAATGATAATCAACGTACGAAATAACTCACATTGTTACAAACAAATGCTTATTTAAAAAGCTAATCCCACAATTAATACAAAATCAAATTCTATTATGACTTGTTATATTGTTCAATGTGATTCAAATTTGGATACAAATCAAAATCTAAACTTTTTACACACAACGTTACGAACATTTGTTACGTTCATTATTAAATACATCACAAACTCATATCAATCGATTTTATTAAAAAGTCTGCCCATGACATAATCACATGAAATATCCGACCCCATGTTGTGTCATTCAATTAGTTGACTCAGTCATCAGTGACCCATAAGCCTAATCATGATGGGTCATACGTGAACCTCTACCTAAGTACGAAGTAAAATCTGAGGTCATAGTGTCATACCTTTACTGCAAAAATTATGTCTTAGCCAAACTCATACTCATCACTAGAGGTGATCAACATCAGCCCGACCTAAAAATAGGCCGGGTTTGGGCAAGTCTAAGAACGCATTATTAGTTAAAAACCCAATCCCGGCCCAAAAAAGCCCGAAAAGCCCGCTTTGACATGACAAACCCGCTATTTTTTTGCAAGTTTGGGACACGAGATATGATGTTAAGGCTCGGCCCGACACTATTTTTTTTATCACCTTTACTCATTACTTATGCTACCTATGCCATTGCCCATTATAAACAATACTCGTAGCATCGTGCTTCATTCCCTAACCATACTGAACCCAACACCACATGCCCAACATAAATCCGACCCGTTGACACTCTTAATGGCCATAGTCCCTACTGCCAAAGCCATCACATCATCAAAACATTGATGCAAGCAGACAAGCACACAACAATTGACAGAAACCCACGTATTAGCTTTATAAGGCCGTTGTCATGCGTTGAAAGCCTGCTTCTTCCATTCCTACAAAATATTGTTAATCTTCTCTATCACTCGATAATCCCACAAATTCCTAATCCAAAAATTTAACCTTCGCCATTTCCACTATCTGTAAGTGCTCTCATCTTTCTATATCTGATTGTTTTCAATACCATTTTATATATTTATTTATTTTAATAATCCGGAATAAAATGCGTTAGATTTATTTAGTTCATGACACTTTTAAATTTATATAAACTATATAATAATATGAATTATTGGGTTGGTTGATTTGGGCGCCTTTGAATTGGATAAATTTTTTTGTTCTAAATTTTTGTATATCAAATACAGAATATGGCACCATCTACACTTGTATGTGACACAGATTCTTGGCAAAATTTGAAGGTAATTGTTATTGATTACACAAGTTTCCAATTGCTTGATTTTTAATTTTAAATTGTTGATTAATTAATTTTAAAAAATCATGTATAGACCCATGTTGCTGAAATTAAGAAGACCCATCTTCGTGATTTGATGAATGATGCTGACAGATGCAAGTCCATGATGGTGTATGTTTATCACACTTTTTTTTTCTTATTTGGATGTATGGAAATATGAGAATAGGATTGTTATTATATGGAAATTATATATTGTAGCTTATATTATATTGCAAATCAATTTTTAATAATGTTACGTTCTTGTTGTTATAATTGGTGTAGTGAATTTGATGGGTTGCTGTTAGATTACTCCCGGCAAAATGCAACTCTTGACACCACAAATAAGTTGTTTCAGCTGGCAGAGGTGGGTTAGAAGGCAATTTTCAAGATAATGAGTTTGTAATTATGATAAATTCTCATATAATTCTTATATTTAACCGAATGTTATTGTTATTCGGCAGGCTGCCCATCTCAAAGATAAGATTAATCGAATGTTTAATGGAGAGCATGTAAGTTCAATGATGATAATGTATATTGTTTGAACAAAGCTATATCTTAGGTTTCGCAAGAGTCACATCTTTTAATTGCTTTGGAAATTTATACTTTCTTGTCAAGCGAAGCAACATAATTTCTCTTCTGATTATTTTATTTCTATGTATTAAATGCCATCAGATTAATAGCACTGAGAATAGGTCTGTTCTCCATGTTGCTCTTCGAGCACCAAGAGATGCAGTGATAAACAGTGATGGGAAGAATGTGGTCCCTGATGTGTGGCAAGTTTTGGATAAAATTCGGGAATTTTCTGAGAAAGTCCGAAGTGGTTCATGGGTAGCTACAATCTTTTCTTTCTATTTAAATCCCTTGGCTTTTGGTGTCTGTTAACTTTGATTTGAGAAGAATTGATTAATTTTTATTTTTAGGTTGGCGTCACAGGGAAACCGCTGACAAATGTAGTTGCTGTTGGTATTGGAGGGAGCTTCTTAGGACCACTCTTTGTTCACACAGCTCTCCAAACAGGTTGGAACATTCAGGCTCTTCATAATTGCTTTAAATTAAAGGCTGACTGTAACCTACATTATCTCACATTTTCTTTTACTTGGATTTGCGACATATATAGAACCTGAGGCTGCTGAATGTGCAAAAGGGCGTCAGCTACGCTTGTAAGTCTTTAAAACTTCTGTACTTGCTACTATCCAGAAGCCGCGTGAAGCAAAGAAATTTTTTTTGGACATTCATGTATCATAGATACGTATCATACATACATACATACATACATATATAAATCTTTGCCTGCATCTAAAAAAAGGCCAAGGAGCTATGGGTTTATGGTTAACATCCAAGGAAAAACAGGGCTTTTTGTTGCTTCTAGAGCATCTTGAGGCATCAAGATGGTTAACTGAGATTTAGAGTAGCCATGCACTAATGTTATTGGGATAAATTTTCCTTCTTATTGGAAAAAGGTTGATATCACTCTTTATTGGCCCAACTTATGGTTCTAGTACAGTTGTTCTGTTATATCAAAATAAGTAAATTTGAAGAACAGCAGAATGTAGCAGATCATTAGAACACAATATTCTAACACATTTTTAATGACGATAGGAGATAAGGATTTTTTGGTCATTATGTGCATGTATCTAGTGGTCACTAGTGAGTTCTTGAGCAAACCTAAAGGTTGAGGCTGCTGATGATAGAAATGCAATAAACTATTGGCTTGCGTACTAGAAAACATCTCTTTATAAGATGTATGAATGGCTTATAAGCTGCTATTACTAGTGTAAAGTTCCAACATTCCCACTCATACGATGTCTGCTGTTGTAGGGCCTAATGCATCCTTTAATTTCTTATGCTGCAGTCTGGCAAATGTTGATCCAATTGACGTTGCAAGAAATATTACTGGATTGGATCCTGAGACTACTCTAGGCAAGTGTTATAAATATGCTTTTCTAGTCTTGCTACTGGAAATTTATCAGTTAAAATATTGATTTTTCATTGGGTAATGTAGTTGTTGTTGTGTCAAAGACTTTCACGACTGCTGAAACCATGTTGAATGCTCGAACACTGAGAGAATGGATTTCCTCTGCACTTGGGTTAGTGAAAAATGCTCAAATCATATTGCAATTAAGCTTTATAATTTAAATTCTGACTATCAAGTGTCTGGATTAAGCTGGAGCCAGTTAGCAAAATGTAGCTAACTATGCAGATGTGATTTTTTTTTTTTTTTTTTTTTTTTTTTTGGAGGGGAAGATTAACGCTAACAATTGTTATTGATGTTGAACCTCCTTGCAATCTGTTGTGCAAATCTACCCACCATCCACACTCCAATTGTACCCACCATTCTCTTGCTGCTGCTAACACCAGTGCACCATCAGAGTTTCTTACCTCAACGCCTAAGCCCACATACTCGCCCTCTATAATATGAGCATCAAAATTAAACTTATACATACCTGATGGAGGCCAAGATCACCAAAAAGCAGGAAGATATAATAGAAAAGTATCATTCTACTTCTTTGTGGCATCTTGGATAAGGCATCCATGGAATCTATGTATTTTCTGATGGATTAGTGGCAGTGTGCTATTGCACAATTAAGTCCTATTACTGTCCATTCTTTATGCTGAACTCTTATTTTTAGATCTTTTTTCTTCCCATGTGGTCTGATACTTGCATGGTTATGCTGTTATTGCAGGCCTGAAGCTGTTGCAAAACATATGGTTGCTGTTAGCACTAATCTGACGGTGATGCCATCTCTTTTTAAATTGAGCTTTATGTTTTACTTTCTTTGTTCATTCCTTGTCATATCCTACTTTAGGGACAATAGTTATTAATTTGATTTCATTGCTGCTTTGTCTGATTGGAATTGGATGTGAATCAAATAATTAAATCATACCCGACTCCATGTTTTTTAAGAATGAATTTTAATTAGTCTTTTGTTTAAATGGAAATTCAGGAAAAAAGGAACTATGAAAAATGTATGCAACAAGAAGAATTACTGTCTCTGTGCATAGTACTGGGTGTACTGGCACAGAGCAAGTGTGAAAGTTATCAATATAAGGAAGAATTCAATTCTACCTAGACTGACCTCTCTTCCACAGTTCCAAATATATTTCGAATTTGAAGACTTAATTCAGCTCTCTGTAACCTCATGACTTTTCTTTGTCTCTAAATGCAAACAAATCCCATTTGATTGTTAGTTTATGTTCCTGAGAGGGATCCTGTTTGGGTTCTACCAGGAATTGGAGGATGACCTGTTGGTTTTTAGTTAGTAAGTATATAAAAAGTGATCAAAGCAGCATGCTGACTTATGCCGTGCCATTAAGAAAAAAAGGGTTTTGGGGCTGGGGTGGGGGCAGCATGGTGGAAAGGCTCCAAAGTTGTGAGAAGGAGCTTCTTGATAAGATAGGTAGTTTTGGAGCTTGACTTGCATATATAGATGTAAGCATGCATATGAAAAAAGGGATTTATTCATCATAATTTGTTCATTTTGATTGAAGAATGAGGGGTATGAAACATAAGTTTAGGAAAACGTGTTGGTCTAACACCTATGTATCTGCAGACAAAGAACTTTTCTATAAATTGATGAAACAGAGTCTAATCAGTCTGGAGACCTCTCGCTCATGATGTGGTTTTGTTTTCCTTGCAGCTTGTCGAAAAATTTGGCATTGATCCTAGAAATGCTTTTGCATTCTGGGACTGGGTTGGAGGCAGATATAGTGGTAAGTGTACTTAAAATTTCATGTAAGATTTTATCCCTACCTTCTAAATACTCTGAGACAACTCTTATGAATAGTACTTGGACAATTATAACCTCATTGCGTACATTTTCAACAACAACAACAACAACAACAACAAAGCCTTAGTCCCAAAATGATTTGGGGTATACCCCAATAATAATTTGCTTACATATTTTCCCTCATTAATGCTGCCAACAACTAAATATGTAATATAAGGTCAAATCGAAAGAACTCCCCTAACATGGCTAGCTATGGTGTGCGCATTGCGCACATTAGCCACCAGAGTTCATATAAGTTTTCTAATGATGGATCTCTTCTTTCAGTATGTAGTGCAGTTGGAGTTTTGCCTTTGTCTCTTCAGTACGGGTTTTCTATTGTAGAGAAGTATGTTACCTTGCTCATATTTTCTTATTAGTTGTTTTTTTTTTTTCTTATATACATAACTTAATAGTTAATACCTTCTGATCTTTGGGCTCAAGGTTTCTGAAGGGAGCTTCAAGCATTGATCAACATTTCTATTCTGCACCCTTTGAGCAAAACTTACCGGTAACTGCCTACCTGCTAATATCCTTATTCAATTTCTTTTCTATTTTGAAGGATGTGCTATTGGCTCGTCATTGCTTGATACATTATGTGATTCATCTGCTCTGAATTGCTTGGTCAGATGGTATATTGCTGAATGTGATACATGTGTACATTTTCACTTTTTTCATGTGCTTCAGGTTCTTTTAGGTTTGTTGAGCGTTTGGAATGTTTCATTTCTTGGACATCCAGCAAGAGTAAGTGTTCACTGTCTACTAGAAGTACAATAAGTTGTGATTGGATTTCTGACTTGGATGTTTTCAGCAACTTTTACCATAATGGGAAACTTGACTGATGATTCCATGTTTTTCAACATTCAGGCTATATTACCATATTGTCAAGCATTAGAAAAATTTGCTCCTCATATTCAACAGGCATGTATATCACTTCCATTTTTCTTTGGTAGCAATTAATTCATGTTATTCATCTAATTAGTCAGTATTTCTACTCCTTGGAGTTCAAATTTTGTCTTTAATCAACACTCTTGAGTTGGACTTTTCATAGGTTAGCATGGAAAGTAATGGAAAAGGTGTCTCAATAGATGGTGTAGTGCTGCCTTTTGAGGCTGGTGAAATTGACTTTGGTGAGCCTGGAACAAATGGACAACACAGCTTTTATCAGCTAATTCATCAGGTTATACAATCTATATTATGCTGTATTATTATATTGGTCTAAGTTTCAAATTTTCATGAATTTTTTTTTATCATTACGTGCTTTATCCAGTTCTCTACTTCAATTCATACTCTTCTTGTTGACTGTGCTCAGCAATTATAAATATTGAAATCAAGTGTCATTGCCTGCCTTGGAACATGAAATGCATCCTTGTTTACCAGCAACATGAAATGTTGTGATAAAGCATCCTTCTTTACCAGCAATCTTTTTCTAACAAAAGTAAAACAAAAATTGGAATGCATTAGAGAAAAATAATGAAATATTGTGATATAGAGAAAAAAAACGATTGATTTGATGGAAAGAAGAACAAATAAAAATTGTTGCATATAATCCAACATACTCCCTCCGTGTTTTATAAGTGTTACACTTACCAAATCCGGCCGTGTTTTAATAAGTGTTACACTTCCTTTTTTGGCAAAAAACTACATTTAAATATTATATCTCTCTCCTCTCATGGTCCTCACCCAAACCCACTACTACTTTTTTATTATATCTTTCCTCTCACATTCATTACTTTTCAATAAACTATTGACCCCACTATCTTTCTTTTACATTTTTTTGATACTTCAACTACCCCACTTACCTCTTATTTTATCTAAGTCAATTAAATTGCCTAAAACTATGTGCCGTTCAAACTATAACACTTATTAAAACATGGAGGGAGTAGAAGTTTAAAGAAATTTTAGGACAGCCTAAAAAGATAGAAATTTGAGGGATGGAGGCTGCAAAATTCATTTCCCCCCTGTGTCCATACTGTATGAAAGCAAATAATTTTCTGGTTGCCTTACTGTTGGTGTCTCCACGTTTCAGCAAAAGTTTGCACATATGGCGTTGATAATCTTGATATCTCAATATTCCAGCCAAAGCTACCAAGATTGACCTTTGAAGATGCTTTCATGTTTGGTTAACTTTGTGTGTTAATGATTGACTAGTAATCTTGGAGAACGTAAAATAATATGTAGCTAGAAAATTGAGAAGGAATAATGAAAACATGCTCATCTCTTCTCATAATATGATCATACCTAGGAGAGAATGTCATTTACTGTTAGGCCCTTCTTGTCTAAACTACCAGAAAGGCCCTTTTTGGCTTTTACATGTAGCTTTCTATATCATTTCTTATACTACCTCCATTCATATTATTTGCAACATTTGCCAAAATGGATGTTTTTTTTTTTTTTTTTTTTCTTTCCTTTTTAAGTTGTCATTTCTCTCTATCTCTCTCCTCATCACATGCATGAGATGCATCTCTATCTTTTTCTCTCCATTTAACACTTCTAAACAAAGTTTGCTTAGGAGTCTTTGCGACCCTCCAAAGCTGTAAATAATAAGAAACAAAGGTAGTATTTTGAAATGGTTCCAATCTGGTTTGACAAGAAGCTTGATCCACCATATTTACGACTGATAACATACCCTGCTCTTCTGCTTTAAAGCCTTGTAATGTTACTTTGGGTTATGCTAATCAAAGATGAAGAAGGTAACAGTACAGATACTGGGGGGGGGGAGAGGGGTGAATAGATGGTAACATTGGGAAAACATGCATTGGTGCTACACTTAAAACCAGCAGCATCCAGGAAAAAAGGTTTTGCTTCCAGTGCCTTTAGTATACTTCTGTATCAATGTTTTATGAATACCCATATGGCAAAGAGGGGTATTTTTGGATTCTTGTTTGGTTGGTCAGCCCATATCAAAACTTTGTTGTACTATTTTCTTTTTAATTTCTATCTACCACCAAAAATATTTTATTTACATTTTGCAACTATTCATAATATGTGTCAAACCAAAATGAAAAGCTTTTAAGGTTTTAGGGGGCAATTTTAGTTATTAGGTATGAAGATGTTCATTAAGACATTATAATTGACTTTTTTCTTTATTTTGATGTTCCAACAATTAAAACTTTCCTTGCTGATGGTTTTACTTTCTCACTCTGCTCTGCTTATTGAATTTCTTCTGCTTTCTTGCTCTTATATTTTTTAATTGACTTTTAGACTTTTAGTTAAGAGAGTTCATAGGTAAGCATATGAGTACCATAATAGCAATGTCTTTGATACTTCTGGTTTTGTTACTTCAGGGACGTATTATCCCTTGTGATTTTATAGGAATTGCAAAAAGTCAGCAACCTGTATATCTCAAAGGTACCGAACTCCATATCAGATTTTAATTGTGTCAACGAGCTTTTCATTCCATTTAATTATTGAATGTATTATTATGTTGTGACTTTTACCTTCATTGATGGTAGCTTATATATTTCAGGTGAAGTAGTGAGTAATCATGATGAGCTCATGTCTAACTTCTTTGCACAGCCAGATGCACTAGCTTATGGGAAGGTTGGTTTTTAATTTACATTGGGAATTAGATCCACTTTTGGCCATACTTTCCATAACTCCTTGTCAAACTTTATATCTTCTCTCAAGGATTGTACTTGTTATATTTATTACTGATTTTACTTGAAATGATTTTTAGTAAATTGTCATAGATTTTATTGAAGTTGTGTCATTCATAGATCAAGTGTTCTTGTTTTCTTTTTGTACAAAGTATTGTAAAAATTACATCAATTATCTTCTGCTCTCTTGCCTTAAAAAATTTGCCACACTGTTCAATTGTGGAAATGGTTGGGTAGCTAATTGTTGTTCTGTTTCTTTAGACTCAAGAAGAGTTGCAGAAGGAGAACGTATCTCCACATCTTGTCCCGCACAAGGTGAATTTTCTGTTCATGTTTCTGTAATCTTTTGAGGTTGTGACACTATCTTTTCATAATTGATTGCCATTCTTCCCTTACAGACCTTCACTGGAAACCGTCCTTCTCTGAGCCTTTTACTTCCATCTCTGACTGCATATAATGTTGGACAGGTTTATGACCTTACCTCTTTCTAATTTATTTTTTTTTATTATTTGTTGTGATGTTGGACAGCTTGGATAATGTTGTGATCAATTTGTTAATTGTTGATCCAGTAGGATATTTTAAGCATAAATATTATATAATATCATGATTTAGCTGTTATTTATCTTGCAGTTGCTGGCCATCTATGAGCACAGAATTGCAGTTGAAGGTTTCGTATGGGGTATTAATTCTTTTGACCAATGGGGAGTTGAGCTAGGAAAGGTAATTTGCTTATATATGACACTTATTAGGGAGGCCATTGAATTGGCAATTTCAGGAGTAAACTTTGTGAGATCTTCCGTTTCCTTTGTTCCTTTTTTTAGAGTCTAAAGTTTTAAGCTGATTTCTTCTCTCTCATTTCTCCCAAAATCGTATTTCTGAGTATCTAATTACTTTTATGTTAATGCAGTCACTGGCAACTCAGGTTAGGAAACAGCTTCATGCATCTCGCACTAATGGAGAAGCTATCAAAGGCTTTAATTTCAGTACTACAACAGTGTTGGCAAAGTATCTACAGGTATAATAAGTAACATGCAGCTAATATTTAGTATATGCCTAGTAAGATTCCTGTTTATTAAACATAAGTGCTATATGTGGCTGAGGTACTCAATTCTGAAGTTGTAAGATTTTAAGAAGCAAATACATGCAATTAATTGCCCACAAGCCCCATTTAAAGCTGATACAGGCAATTGTATAGTAGTACAGTCTCATTTTTACTCCAATATTGTTGGCATATGTCAATGATTCAATATGAGAGTGTTTATAAATACTTAGAATCGTGATCAATAATAATTCATAGTAATCATGTAGCATGACTATGTACTGTGGTAACAGCCATGCCTTGTGATGTGGGGCAGGATAGCCAAATTAAATTCAGCACTATTGGGATAGAAGATGCTACCTGAGTATAAGTCTGAAGAAGATATACGGAGAGTAGAGTAGAGGAATGAAAGCAATGTAGCATTATGCACACTGCACAGAAGGTTTAGGGAAATTAGGTGGCCAGATGCTCTATTTGCCTGAAATGAGTGTGATCTATTTCGTCTCCTGAAGAGGACGGGACTTTGTTTATCACAGTTACAGAGTTACTATCATCATTTGTTATTCATTAGAGCTGGACAGGAAATTCTTCTGTTGCAAAGGTCCAATTTCAAAACATAAGGTCTGCTTTTGGGATGATGGAACAATAATATGATAACTACAATAATGACAGGAATGGTGAAGGTGTTCTGATTTGGCAAAACTTGAAAAAAAATTATAATAAAAAAATATGTAGAATGGTTATTTCCTATTGTAAAATAAATAAATAAATAAATAATAAAACACCTTTGTTATTCCACAGGATATTTAAGAAAATTTTTGGTTGATGTATCGTACGATTCCTTATGACAATTTATGTTAGCTGACCCTATATCATTTTGGGACTAAGGCTTTGTTGTTGTTGTTGTTTGGTTGATGTATTTCTTGTTTTATCTGTAATTACGAAGATGGCTTGTCGTCTATCTGTACTCTGTTCTGTGCATTTCTACTATTTTTTTTTAAAGAAAATTTTGAGAAGGACCACCCTAATTCATCCCAGTAGATGATTATATGAGGATTGACAATTTGTTGTGGATACTCTCACCTTCAATTGCCTCTCATCTTCATTTTCATTCCTTTTCACTTCATCTCCCAAAGGTGCCCGGTCGTTTGTAAGACTTATGCTATGTGAAGCAGCCCTGGTACAATTGCATAGGTTTTGGTATTAACACTCTGTTGTAGTGTTGGGTATTCTATTGTTAAAATATATATGCCTCTTCTGTTTTTTAATTGCTGGTCCAAATTATGTTATATGTTTGTAGTAGACTGATAATCTGATTTTGTATAATGTGCTAGCAAGACAAATTAATAGAGGAAAGCAAAAGATAGCTTGAGACTATTACTTTCTTTTAGTGACTTTAGGTCACCACTCTCAAAACAGTGACTTGGAGTCACAAATCTCAGGATTCACTCCAAAAAAATTGCCTACCTTTTCTTTTCCCCTCCCTCTCTATTTATTCTAAAACTAAAGACTGGCCTAATAATGCTGGATAATTCTCTGTTTCTCATTGTGAGAAACAATGGGGTATGTGTCAAGATTTGGGGCTCCCACTCATGGCACATGTGGTCCCCACCAGTGAAAAACATCACATTATTTTCCAAAATGCCATTATGAGAAACAAAAGTGTTTCTCATAATGAGGACTCCCTCAATAATGCTAGACTAACCATAATGCCCCTCCTTAGGTTAGTTTATCGCAATGTTTTACAGAATGAGTAGGTTTTGTTGATTGTGGCATTACTCCTCACAATCTTACTTCTGTAGCATTGTAAAGTTTTCATGGGGATAAAGGAAAAAAGTGAAATAATGGAGGAGTTCAGTGATGAGTGGATGACATGCTTTTGTCTAGCATGATGTCGATGCTTAGACAAATAGAAAGGCAATGTAGGGTGGTTCTGAGCCTTGTTTGTCGTAGACTTCAATTCTTTTCTACAACAAATTATCTGAGATTATACTGCTTTGATCTTAACATGCGTATTTCTTGCAGGAGAGTTTTGAAGTCCCTGCTGAGCTTCCGACCAAGCTACCACAGGCGTAGGCTTGTAGCTACTGGCGGAGGGAGAGGGGGTACAAGGGGGGACAGCTGTCCCCCCTCTTTGAAAAAAAATTAGTTTTTTTTAAAAAAATAAATAATGTAAGTAATTTTAGATATTTTCATCTTTATTTAAGTTTAATTGTTTAAATCTATCATCACTTGAAAAAAGGCATCACTCCTCCGAATGAGTTTGGCAATGTGTTGAAGGATATTCGAAGGCTAACAAGTGACTGCAGCTCTTTATCTTTCTCCTTCATCAAGAGATTGGGTAAGGTAGTGGCTCATAGCTTACCTAAATTAAGTTGCAATTTTAATGACTGTTGTATTTGGCTAAAAGAGTAAGAGGCTATTTGTAATGATCTTGCAAACTTGATGGTTTAATAAATGGCTAAGCTTTCGGTTTGTGTAAAAAAAACAAAACAAAAAAAAAAAATCCTAATTTTCAATTGTTTGAATATATATATATATATATATATATATATATATATATATATATATATATATATATATATATATATATATATATATATATATAAAAAATTATAGAAATTGAAATTTTATTAGAATGTTAGAGTTGTTTGGTTGCTATTAACTTGTTAATTGTATTAATTTGACTGACAATTTTGGTTGTATGATATCATAATTAACTTATTGATTCATATTTTTCAATAATTCAATTAGGACATGTCAAATGTTCTCCTAACTCAAATAAGTTCAAGGCAACTAGAAAATTACCCGATCTTTGACAATTAACCATTAAAGTCCTAAGGAAACGAACCCTTTATTTCATTTCCCTTAAACTCAACAAAATGATATGAAAAATTGGAAATAAGTGTCTCAAGTGTCAGTAATATACAATGTGCCTAGATTATCCCCAAATCAATGAGATGAGTCAAATTTTGTGCCTTTAGTGTGAATTGGTTCAAAAATAGAAATGGTTCAAAAAGTAGAAAAAGGCACTGAAAAAATCTTGACTTCCCTCAAAGATTAGTTGTCTGATTTATATAATTTTTTTCATCATTTTGGATTTTATGACTAAGTAATTTGGATCATTTTTTGAACACTTTTGTCAAATTATACGATGTCCATTTGTCCCTCTGATTTAAAATCCCTAGCTCCGTCGCTGACTTGTTTTGAACATGCATGTCCCCGTTTTGTCTGCCAATGACCTCTACTTTGAAGCTCACAAATAAACTCTCCTATGAGAATCCTTAATAATCAGATTTCGAGTTATCGTCTTGTTACTTGCTTTAATAGTGAGACTTAAGAGTTTATTGAAGGAATGGATCGCAAGCAATGGTTGCATATAACTCTAAAGCAACATGGTGGAGCTCTAATTTAACTATTTAACTCTAAAGCAATGGTTGTCTTCAGTCTTTAACAATCCGTGTGTGACTCTTTCTTCTCACGAATTGCTTCTGCAAAAGCTCCAATCCCTTCAACTCATTCTGAAAATGGAAAACCAAGAATTTGTGCAACCTTTTGACTAGAGCCCAAAACGGAAAAAAAAATCCCTATTTTACGCTCGTCTAGTTCCCACTCTATGACTACGAAAATTTGTAAGTACTCCCTCCGTTTTTAAATACTTGCCCTACTTTTCATTTTCAGCCGTTTTTAAATAGTTGCTTCATTTCCTTATTTGGAAATTTTTTACAATATTTAGTTCATTTCTCTCAGCTAGTGGAACCAATATTAATCATACGAAGTATATTATTAATTTCATATTCTCTCTCCTCTAATTTTTTCAACCACTTTTGCTTTTTATAATTTTTTATTCTTTCACTTACCCCACTACCTTCATATTTTATTATTTTCTCCTAAAACTCCACGTATGGAGAAATGAAGCAAGTATTTAAAGACGGAGGATGAACCTAAGAGTTAAACGTAGAAAATATACAATCAACCAAGTACTACTCCTTTCTTTTTGTTTCTAGGTACGTGCATTTCATACCTTTTATCACACTCTACTATAAGTAGGAGCTTTAGGTTCCTTTGTTATTCATAGTACTCTTAATTCAATTAGAAAAAAAAAATATTCTCTTCTTCTCATCACTCTACTTTATTCTCTTTCTCTTACACTTTATTCTCACTTCTTCTTTTGAGAGATACTCGTAGAAAATTAGAAAGAAGAAATGGGTAATTGCAAGAGTATTTAGATTTAAGGGGGTATTATTACCTTTTCAGCTTTCGCTCTCCAAATCATCGGCAACCAAACAGCTCCTAAATCTTTTGGCCCTCAAATAATCATAAAAGATAATCCACTCAATAGAAATGCAGGCCAACAAAGACAAAATAAAAGAGAAAAGATACACAGTTCAATGACAGCAAATTTGCAACCTGTGTTAAGAGTTCACTATCAGCAACAACCATAATATGGAAAGAACATATATTGTGAAGGGTTTGAATATTTTTCAAGGCACAAAAGAGGAAATACTCTTTGACTACGGAAAGAACATGTAAAGCTTACTGTAAATCATTAAGAAGCTCAAATCAACATGGAAGAATAGGAAATCTGTAAGTGTATGGGATTAAATGAAGACCTCTTAAAACGTAGAAAATATGGCTATAGACTTGAACCAAAAGGCTAATTTTAAATTGAATGCAGAAAGAGATTCTTGTACAAGGTATCTCCTTGATTATGTAAAAGGAAGAAAGTGCGGATATATAATAAAGGGTCTCAAACATTTTCATTTTTACTAACACATACCATGTCACCACGGAGGATTATATCCAAGTATGGTAGATTAACCTGAAGATCCACTTCTTCATACAATGCATATACTTCAGCAACGGTAAATTAAAGAAGTAAGCCCCAAACATATATTCTATCGAATTCCTAAATAAATAAAAATTAGAATGGATCCTACGAGGTCACACTTTGAGATGATGGATTGAATAAAAGAAGAAAGACCCAATGTTGAGCCCTATAGTGAGATGGCCGGTCATATGCATGGAGTAAATGGGAGGAGTTTGGGCTTGCTTAGGACTCTATTATATTTATGATATATAATAGAGGCTTTTCTAGGTTTTTCATACACTCATTCATAAGTTGATTGAACACCAAGCAATCTAAAAACCTTAATCCTCTCTCTTTCCTATCCCCCTCTATCATGCCTGTGGTGTGTGGTGGTGTTTGTGGCCGGGTTTTCTCCTCCTCTCCATAGAAGGTAGTTCGAAGTGTATGTATCCCATTCATTTTTTTATTTTTATTGTAGGCATGGGTTTTCTGGTGAACTTTACTACTGCAGTTTCAAATTACAATTACACGTTCCTCAGTAAATTAAGCATTTATTTGATTGCTTTTGTGCTATGCCCGATAGGGCTATGCAAATGTACATGAACCGATTATTCGTTGTTCTGTTTCGAAAATTGGGATGTCTAACCGGATTTTTCATTTTTGGATGATCTATAATAACCTAAATAAATATGCAAATTTATTGAATCACTGTTCATTGATCGAATGATCGGCAGTAGTGATGTTTTACCTTATTATTGCTCAGGCATTACTAGATTACAGTAAGCCTTGCCTATTCTCCCCCCTTTGCCATGGGGATAATTGATTAATTGTTCCCATACTAAGTGTATGTTGGCATGATTCAGTTGCCCATACAACAAATGGAAGACAAAACACGATTTGCAGAGTCTAATGACAATAATTATGCTCGTTTCTCATTCTATAACCAAAGAACAGCCCGGAAGTAGTAATTGTTTTAGTACTAAACTGAGCATCCGAAATCCAAAACACCTAGCTTGAAATGCATTCTTCAACCAGTGGTGAGACTGGTGACCTGATATACGAGGCATTATTTGACACTTTCGGAACAAATGAATAAACAAAGTTAAACGAACAAAATAAAGTAAAGGAACGGTATTGGTAAAAATACTCGATTATGATGATCAATGCTCTATCATGAGCCATTACTAGAATACCAAGTTCAAAGTACAATTAAACTACTAATATACGCAAAATGGATCACAGCATTCAGCAATTTCAATGCTAATTTCTAAGCCAGTTCAAACACCAGTAGAACCAAACCCACCAGCACCCCTGACAGTAGAGTCTAAATCTTCGACCTCGAAAACATCAGGAGTTATAATCTTCTCAATGATCAACTGTGCAATACGATCACCTACTTTCACCTCGAAATCGACATTGGAGTGATTGAACAGGATAACCCCAACTGGTCCTCTGTAATCTGCATCAATCACTCCTGCTCCCACATCAATGGAGTGTTTCCATGTCAGTCCCGACCTCGGTGCTGCAAATGTTACAAAATTAAACGAGTTTCAGACAATTTACATCATGGTTGAATTGAATGTGGGCAAATAAAATGTGCCATTTAATTAGGTTAAATTTGGGCAAAGTTGAGAATTTAAAATAAAAACCAATTGAGGTCCAAATACATACAATCATAATAAAAAAAATGTAAATCAAATTGGGATTTTTCATTTATACCAAAAGAGGCAAATAAGCAGTTGAAATGTTCATTCTATCAAAAGAAAAGCAGGAAAGTTTATCATATACACAATGTGTTCGACGAAATGCTTCAAAGAATAACAACGGAAAACAGAGATATTTTCAATCAAATTATCATGTGTATTTTCTGGGAAATTAAATGAGAGAGAAAACCTACCAACTCTGGCGTAAGTTCCTTGAGGAACAGCAATACTCAAATCAGTAGGAACCAGAGCTTTCCCTCTAGCAGGCACCTTCAATTCAACCGCACTGCAAAACCATTCAATAATTTCCCAGATTAAAAAAAAATGGGGGTTTCAAATCAATAATAATATCCTAAAGAAGAGAGAGAAACCTGGAGAGATCGTAACCAGCAGAAAAGGGGGATCCTCTAGAGGGAAGAACAGCCTTATCTGAGAGCTGTTAGGATTAGTGTGGAGATAGATAAATACATGGAGACATAAGGAGATTGCATAGAAGCTGCCTTATTGTTAAGGTTCGACCAAACTTGTGAAAAGTTCGGTCGAACCCGGTTTTAAGTCAGTAGGTGCACCAGTTTTCATTTCTAGAGGAAGAGTGACCAAACCCAAGGAGGTTCGACCGAACCACCCTAGGTTCGACCGAACTCTGGGTAGGTTCGGCCGAACCTCCCTGCTCCCTATTTCGTCGCTTCGTTTTCGGCTTGTGCGATTTGCTTTAATCTTAGCCGTTGGATTGTATTTTCTACCTAGACTATATATACCTTTTCTAAGCCTCTTTGTTGAGTATTCACAAACATTTAAACACATAGAGAGGTTTTGAGAGGGTTTGTGAGGAGCATTTGAATTCTATACAATTCATGCTTGTAATTCTTGAGTTCATTCATCATCAATATTACTCCATAGTGCAAGGGTGGGTTTTTTCTCCCGGTTCTCGGGTTTTCCCACGGTAACATTGTCTTCCTTTTACTTGCTTTAATTCCTTCAAAGTTGTTCTTGATTGTTATGCTTGTTTGTTCATTGCTATTGTGGGTTGATTGCAAGTTAGTTGAACACTTTAATCCTTACAAGAGCTTCTTGACCTTGAAGAAGGAGGAATCATCGCCATTTTCATGGGGTTGAAGCTTTTGAAGTTTGGTTGAAGGTTCCTTGATTTCTGGGCTTTGGGTATTTGAGTTGTTTTCTGCCATTTTTATTATGAGTTTGTGATGAGTGAAGTGACGATTACTACGGAAAAGAGGGTTTTGTAGTTTAAATAGGGTTTGGGTTTGGGGAATTTTATTCCAAATTATGGCGCCAATATTTCCCGCCATTTACCTGTGTTTTTCAGGAGAAGTTGGTATGTACTCGATTTAACAAATCGGATACTGATGAGTTGTTTATAGGGCTGAGCATTTCCGAAAACCGCGAAAATGGTAATCTCCGATATCCAAATCCGATTCGAAAAGTTTTGATATTTTATAGATTGAGTATAAAGTACAGAGCTTTGCTAAATTAGCTTATTAACAATTAACTTTTACTTATTACATACACTAAAAGAATTTTTTATTAAATACGAAGTATATCATGTACTAAAAATAAAGGTTTTTTTTTTTTTTTTTTTAAAGATAAAAATAAAAGTTTTGAATTAAATATATTACTTTTCCTTTTTGTTAATAAACTAGTTTTAGCCTTTTAGGTTCGGGTGATACTCTGGTTAATACATACTCTTTATTTCCTATTTTCTACTTTCTACGTTTTTTTAGTTGACACCATTTGAATCAGCCCTCCAAAGTCTACTGCTATTTTGCTATTGTGGTAAGTTTAATTATTGTCATTAAGCATTTGAGCTAAAAAGTACTTCTGTAACAATTTTTTTCACATAAAGAAGCCATATGTTGCTATGTAAATCTATAAGCTCAAAAGCAACAAATTGCACCTTACTGATCTGTTGGGATCTTAATGTATGGAGCTATGATGCTAGGTGGATGTTCGCAACAACATCTTTGGTTTATTAGCTGCTCATCCCACAACACCACTCGTATCACTCTCACATTTGGAAGAAGTTAACCCGATATTCCCAAATATGTCAACAACAAAGCTCTTCATCATCTCTTCAAATCTGTGACTGGTGATCCTGAAAGGATTCTGTAGCAGACTGTGTGTTATGATCGCTGGTTTTCGTGGACGATTTCAGTTTTTTGGGGTTATGCAGTAGAGGTGTTCAACCAGCATATCCACTTGTCTGATGCTATTCGTATACAAGATACATTCACTCCATAGAAAAAAGGAGCAGCAGCAAACTACCTATACAGCACCAGGCCTCTTCATCCTGACCCATGTCGAAGATCTACGATTTTCTTTTGCATCAAGTACATTCAGAAAGAACAAAATTCATGACAAAATACAAAAGAAAATTACCTGAGAACTGCACTTATGATCCAGTAAATTCAACCAAAAAATTACAAGAGATTGTAGTACTCTCACAAAAAGTCAAATCTTAGCATCAACCAGGTAAAATAGACATCAAATTTAGCTAAAAACTTTAAATCATCTTCCTATTTTTATTCAGTAAAATGTTAGTATCAAAATGGTGAACAAAATTCAGTAGTATAAGCAAGCTGATAAAATTTAATCATCTTCCTATTTTTATTCAGTTGCAAGCACCAAGAAGGTAGTGCTGTGATGTATTACCTCCCACAACAGTTTCGAGATTGGAGCTTTCAATTAGGGAATGCAGAGACGACGAGCTCATAAGAATAAATGTATAGGATTTATAACTTCCTTATATTTCTTCCATTGCAACAAACGGTGAGGGGTTCGGTTCATGTATGGATTATAGGTCATAGGGGTTCGGTTCATGTTTTCGTGAGATGTTTTATGGATTATAGGATGCCTGTTATTCTAGGAGACGAAGCCTCGACAGATTTATAGCGGGTAATTCCTTGTTTCTCCTATTGATTAACAAGTTTTGTTTCTCATGGTGTATGTGTCAAGATCTGAGAGATCCACTCATTACACGTAGGCGGTCCCCACAATTGAAAAACATCACATTATTTTCCAAAATGCCATTATAAAAAACAAAAGTGTTTCTCATGAAAAGCAACTGGGACTCCCTCATTTATGGCTCAAGGGTTCTTGTTGCTGCCCTGGTGCTGCTGACACTCCTACTGTTGCTGCTGTTGCTCTGCTGGATCAAGAATGTCTTAATGTTGTAATTTTTGTATGAAAGTGTAATATTACAGCCATCTATTAATAAAAATATACAATTATATATATATGTTAATATTTGTATATTAATTAAAGTGAAAAAATGCAAATTTTTTATTTTTATTTTTTTAAGATTTTAAAATGGGCAGCGGTTCAAGCCTGAACCGCTTCCCATAACAGCATATGGGCAACGGTTTCAGGCATGAACCGCTGCCCATAAGAGGGCTTTGAACCGCTACCCAAAATCTAGGGAATGGGCAACCCCTTGATCCCCAGCGGTTCAATTGAAAACTGCTGCCCATTAGTGGTTTTGAACTGCTTCCCATTTGATATTTCATACTAGTGTATTATGGAAAGCTTATGTTAATAAGTGTCTACGAACACGAGGTGAATTTTTATTAAGGTCTTAATACACCGAGGGATAAGAATTGAGGTGCTTATGCACTTAAGGTATTTCTACACCGAGGTAGTTTAAAGGATTCCACATAAATATTGTTTGGTCACTATTTATTCAAGATTAATTAAATTGATGTGCCTGGATAATTATGTTAATCGATTGATGGTTGATCGTATTGAAATTATGTTTTGTTATGAGTCTCACCAAATAATTAAAATGTAAATCACGTAAGGTGAAATAAGATACGCACCAAAACTCTTCGAACATATATACCTTGAGTATTGAACATATGGGGGAAGTTATGGGGTTTTATATTTAACCATGGCTTCCTTAGGGGGTACAGGGCGCTGTACTTTTTTTATTTATTATTAAGCGCAGGGACATCTGCCACATACGTGTGGCCAGGTTTGATACTAGCACGAGGGGCATGTTTAGATGGAAACTCGTTCAATGCGTTATCCAGTAATTAATTAAATTGGAATAAGTGATGTAAATATTGTTTGTGAATTGTATCGATGTCTTCGTGTTGGAAGCGAGGGACTGCTTTTGTGCTTGTATCACCATGGGCCTGTGATGAGAAAACAGGTAAGAGTGTGTGGAATTGCTAGGATTAATATGTTAGTGTGGTGTCCTGTTATGTTTATCAGTTTATGTACTCCAACTTTGCTGATACGTGTTTTGTTTTTGTTTGTCGGCCTTGTTTACTACTAGAAAACAGGAAAATTCCGACGGACTGGTTCTGACGGACACGAAATTCCGTCGGAAATAAAATTTCCGACGGATTTATGTTCCGTCGGATATTTCCGACGAATTCAACAAATCCGTCGGAAAATTCCAACGGAATTTTACTTCGTCAGAATATATGTGCGTTCCGATGAAATTTTCCGACGGAATTTACAATTTCCGACGAATTTATAGTCTGTCAGAAAAAAAAATCTTTTAAAAACCCTAAAATCCGGACCCTTATATTTCTCCTTTTCTCTTTCCCTCTCCGCCTCTTCCCTTCTCTTTCTCTCTCCTTTTTCCCCTTTCTTTTTCTTTCTCCTCTTCTCTTTCCCACACCGCCTCTTCTCAATCTCTTAGTGATCTCTCCTTTTTCCCCTTTCTCTTTCTCTCTCCACTTCTCTTTCTCCTCTCTCCTCTCAACATCAACAACGACAACCACAACAACCAGCTACGCGTCACCTCTTTCCACCACAACTGCATCACCTCCAGCCACGCATCACCTTCAACAACCAGCCGCCGCTTAACAACCAGCCGCCGCGTCACCTCCAGCCAACAACAACATCAACACAGCCGCCGCATCAACAACCAGATCTACTTTTAATTTTGGTCAAATTTTTTGTGTATAACTTTTTTTTGACATGATAGTATATTGAATGTATAATATTTGAGATAATTGTATAGTGTAATTTTTTTTTTTGTTAAATTTCCAATTTGGTGTTGATTTTAGATCTTTTTTTTTTTGGAAGGGTTTAGATTTATTTATTTAATTTTTGGTTTGGTGATAAGGGTTGGGATTTGGTTTAGGTAGGGGTTTTGGTGGGTGGTGAGGTGGGTTACGGTTGGTGGGGTCTGGTGGGTTAGGGGCTGGTGGTGTTTTGGTGATAAGGGTTGGGATTTGGTTTAGGTGGGGGTTTTGGTGAGGTGGCGAGGTGGCTTACGGTTGATGGGGTATGGTGGGTTAGGGTTAGGTGGGTTAAGGTGGTGGGTTTGTTGGGTTAAGGGTTAGGTGGTGGGTTTGGTGGCCGGGTTAGGGTTAGGTGGGTTAACGTGGTGGGTTACGGTGGTGGGTTAGGGTTCGGTGGGGTTTTTTTTTATTTTTTTTTTCAGCATTTTTCGACGGAATTTCAGTCGGAAATTTCCGGCGGAATTGTGTCCGTCGGAAATCAAAATAAAATAGTCGTTACATCCAAGCTGTAAAACATTTTAAAAACATTAATTAAAAAGAAAATAAATAAGTTCGGAATGTATCTAAATTGCCTTAACTACGTGATTATTCTAACATCTCCTCACACGTAACCAAGTACTCTTTTACCAACCTGCAAAATAAATCAAAAACAAGGAAAGAGAGAAAACTCCCAAAATCAGATAAACTGAGTAATTCCAACTCCATCCCGTAAAATACATAATTTTAGTTCGAAAAACATTTTACACAACACAATTTCATCGACATTATAATACTAAGCCAAAATCAAGTTGTCACATAAAAATTTATTCCTTTAGTTAAGAAAGGGAAAGAGAACGCAATAAGCCGGGACTAGTCTTTGTCACCACCTACTTTAAAGAGGGTCGCGCGTAACCCCAAATGACCATTAATTAAACAGAATGTCCCTAGTGTGCACACCCCTCACTAATACCCATTGATTAGGAGGAAGACTAAACAGCAAAATATGTTAATTTAAACCAACTAGTAGCAACCATAACTACTAGTGGGCAACCTGTTCTTCACCCTTTCGGGTTTCATTTCCTTTCTTAATTTTACTGTATATTTAATAGATTAAATTGTCCAATCACATTGCACACAAGTATTGCACAAACCAATTTAATCCCAAGTAACAATGTTTCAATTTCAGTATTATTATAACATAGTCATTCTACATGACATACTAGTTACAACTCGTTTCCCAATAGGCTTTGGAGACCATCAATTACATATAATCAATCATCTTGTTCCCAAGATTTTAATTATTTTAAAAAAACTCATACGATACTAATCAATCAAATTTTCGAAAATACTTATACTAGTACACAAAATATAAAAGTATCAAAAATATGACCCCATAGTATCATACGATAATTAATGCACTCATCACATACAAGCACATACAATAAAGCGAAATAATTTTCCTAACGAGATTCTAAAGATGATGGACATTGAAAATTATCTTGAGTTGCGCTTAAATCTCAAGGTAAGTAACCTCCGAAACGTTCACCTAGTAGCCTTCGTCAACAAATAAACAGATAATATTACTAAGTTAATAATACTATAGCCTCCAACTTGTTTACATATGTAGTACGAAAGATTTTTTTTTTTAATAAAAAAAAAACGAAATGAAAAGGAAATTAGTAACCAAATGGTATGGAAAATGTAAATGGTAAGGAAATCAGTAGTGCGCCCCTCTCTCTCCTATTTTATTGAAGTCAACTAACTCTTTCAATGAAATGGTATGGAACTCCACCACCATTTCTACGGGATTGCAACCAACAATTCAGGTATGATAACTTGCTTCCCCCCTTCGCCCCTTTATTATTACTCACTTATCTGTTATTATTATTATTTTTTTAGAAAAAGGATATATACTAAGAGCAGTTTGGTGAATTTGGCAATTTCAGAAGAGGTTGTGCTAGTACGGCAACGGTGTTGACGGTATGGGTTGAAGCTATGGTGGTCTAAGATGGAGACAAGAAACGGATTCAATTTGAGTGCCAAAAGGTCGGGTTCGTCGACGAAGTTACGGGTTTAGCAATGAAAGGTGTTAATTAATAAAGATTACTAAGTCGTAAAATTGAAGCTTAATTGACTAGTTAAAGTCATCTAAATAAAGAAGGGATTATGAGTTAATTGAGCTCTCATACCTATCAATTAATGGATATGAAGGGTGGAAGAAGAAGAGTAGTTTTTGTGCCCCCCCCCCCCTGTCTCACGGTCAAACCATTTATAAGGTGGAAATTTGGGTGAGATTGAGGTTTAGATTGATGTAACTAACTATGATAAGATTAAAATTCAAATTTTTAGATAAAGTTAGCTTTCAAATGAAATGGGATTGAATTACATGCTGAAATCAGTTTCTGGAATTTATCCAAAAATCAATTTTTTTTTTTTTTTTTTTTCTGAAAATAAAAATAATAATTATTAAAAAAATTTACTATAACATTTTGTGAAAAGTTGTTTATTCAAATTTAGTTTTGAGGATGGCTAGCATATGAAGCATTAAATTAAGTAATTAATTTTCTCTCACGCTCAAAAATGCAGGTGAAGCTTTAAGCCCCGTCGCAGCTCCAATGATGTCACCGGGTATTTACCTTTTTTGCCAATTGAATTTTTGTAGAATGGAGAAACTTATATTCCCTCCATCCCAAAGTTTCCAAGACGTACTCTTTGAAAATTTAACTCAATATAGTGCATATATCATTTTGTACAGTTTTCAATCAAGGCGTACTCTTTGAAAATGTATTAACATTAAACTGACATAGTTGGATAAATGGTAATTATAACTGAAAATTCTATGGTAGTCATCTTTAAAATGACTATCACCGTACTTAATTTTAATTGGCTGATTTTTTTTAAAATTATTTTTTTTACTAAAACTAATTTTCTAAAAATCTATTTTCTTTTATCAATTTTCGAAAAAATGAATTTTTTAATAAGTTTGACCAACAAAAAAAAAAGATAAAAAAATAATAAAAAAAATCAAATTTCAGCCAATGAAATTTAAGTATAGTGGTATCAGTGTCTACCATAGAAACAAGTTACAACTAATTGTACAAGTATTACATATTTACATCAATGGTACAAAATGTTGCAAACTATATTGAGTTTAATTTTAACAAAATTATTATGTATACAATTGCAGGTAATTCTTAAGATTAAATGACGTTTCTCACAAGATTGCGATGACAGGCCATAATGTTGAGTTATCTAGATGGAGGTTTCTGTCCATTAATTTTTTATGGAGTAAAATATATATGTATAATCAGGAACGTGCTATTGGACCTTCTAAATAAAGATTTGTGTATTTGTTTGTGTGAATTTTCATAATAAGGAACGTACGAATGAGAGTTTGTATCACTTTTTACACAGAAATTTCATTATCATCACTAGTTCTCTACTGTACAGCGAGAGATTTTTTTTTTTTTCACTAGCACTAGTAGAAAAAATGAATTAGGCACCGCACTTTTCGCACCGATTCTTGAAAACCGGTGGTAAAAGAAATGGACGGGATTGGGAAAATGACTTTTCGCAACGGTTCCTATTAAATTGGTGCGAAATTGTAATCCCCCATATTTTTTTTAGTAAATAATAATTATATATATATTTATGTATACGAATATTTTTAATAATTATATGTTTATATAAAAATATTTTGGAAAGATTTCACAAAATAAAAACGAATTACTTACTTTGGGCCATGACTACCATTCTAAAAAAAAAGAGCCTATACCCTCATTTTTTTAATTATGTAAACTTCTTCCCCAAAACCCTCCTATAAACCCACCTACTGCTTTCCCTACTCCCTTTCCCTTGCTTCCCTGCCTCATTCACGACACACACACACAAAAAAAAAAAAAAACTCACCTACGCTGCTGCTCCACCGCTGCCCAGCCTGCTGCCGCCGCTGCCCTCAGCCGGAATTCACCACCGTAGCACCACCGGCGACCTGTGTTGCTGCCCGGACCGCCGCCAGTCGGTTTCCACTTCCCCTTCTCTTCTATCTTCCTCTCTTTTCTTGTTTAAATTCTTCAAAGCTTTAATCTTTATACGAATTTTTCGTTGATTAATATTTATTATAGTTTGATTATGTTTTTGAGTTGTGAAAGATTGCAAATTTATCGAGTTTATGATATATTAAGCATATAATTAATTACAGATTTTATTAATTACGAAATTAGGGTTTGAAATCTTGATTTTTCGTAGTTTTGGGCATAAAACGTGAACGATTGATTTAATTAGCTACCTTGTGTTTAAAAATATGATCCTAACTTTAATTCTTGATGAGTATAAATAATTTTCAGATTTTCAGAAAAACTGATTTTGGGTTTAAACTGTTCAAAACTATATTTTTAGAAGTCCTATTTACACTATTTGGCTATCATAATTAAATCATGCAATGGGTTGTTAAAATAGCATGTTGATGTTCTTCAATTTTATATATAATCTGAATTTTTATTGTCTTAGTATCAAAAGTAAAACTTTTGATGTTTCTAAGTGTTTATAAGTACTATAACAGTAATACAAGTATGGATTGTTGATTTCCAACTACTAATAAAATTAATTTTCAGATTTGAATTATATTGTTTTAAGGTTCAAGTCGTGGGAATTTGAAGGTTTAATTGAGTACTCATGAATCTAATTGAATCCTAATCATATATCCCAAGTTTAGATTGTTGTATTCTTATATTCTACTATTAAACTAAAATTTCAGATTTTTAATCTTAACTTTAAAGGTTTTAAACCACGTTTTTATGATGGATTTTAGGTTCTCAACATACTAACGTACCATATAATGATTATTTCAAGTGGAAATATTTATGAAGTTGTTTTATAATTCAAAACTAAATTTTCAGATTTATTATCCTACTTTAAATTTGCTGAAATTTTGCTATAAATTATATTTTCGTGATTTCAACTTACAAACTTGAAATTTAACCTTGAATTATTAACTTTGACTATCGGGGAACAATTTAAGAGCATCATTTCATTGACTTAAAGGATTTTAAAGTAGTTTGGTATTGCTGTAAAATTATATTGTTTGGATATTAACTGAGCTATTGTTGTTCTGTTTAGGAGAGGACTTCGTAGAAGGTGACTTTGGCCAACCAATTTGTGTACTCAAGGTACGTATAAGAATACGAGAAACCTTGATTTTAAGAGCATGTTTAGGGACTTGAAAAAACCTAGAATCATGCTAGGGAACTTGTGGATTGGTTGAAATTGTTTGGTAATGAGTTGTTTGATGATAAATGTGATGATTGGTTTAATTCATGTGTGAGAAATTTGCATTGATTTTTCCTTATGAGCATTATTTATGCAATAATTTGCAAAACGGGCTTAGAGGCAAAGTTACAAGGATATATATGGAATGAATTATTTTGGTTACTTGTTCATTTATATTGAAATGGAATGAGTAAAGGAAGAATTAACGTCTTATAAGACAAGGTTGAAGATTTGAGGTGCCTTATGCACTTAAGGTGTTTATACACCGAGGTAGTTAAAGGATTCAATAATAAATATTGTTTGTCACTAATAAATTAAGAATTGAATTGGAAACTTGAAAGGTCTAAATGATTGATGTATGATTGGTTGTGTTGTTTTGCATTTGAGTCATCACTAAGTTAAAAACTAGTAAATCACGTAAAGTGCAAGAAGGATGAGCAATAAAACTCTGGATTTGTGCACATCTAGAGTAATGACAAACAGGGGTTGGAGTTCACGGGATATTAGCCGTGCACTTTTCAGAGGTCGTCGTCTGATCTACGAGTCTCTTGTTTTAAATTCTTTTAAAATTATAATGAGTTAGATGAGATCTCATACTAGCTATGGACACAGAGTCGCGCCCGTGTGCCATTGGATGTTTATTAATGTCTTCTGAAAGGAGGCATAGGGTTTTCTTTATTAATGTTCCGGAATGGAGCATAGGGGGACAACCTGGTCTATTTCTTAATCCAATCAAATTAATGAAGTGATCAATACTATCTAGAGAAACTTAGTAATGAGTAACAATTGAGTCATGTGTTCGAGTCAATGATTACATCGTGAGAGTATGGAATGCTTGTTAGTATCATGCTAAGGCTCTTTACTATATTTCATAACTTATATGTACTCAGCGTTGCTGATTGCGTGCTTTTGTGTATTTCTCTTGGTCATGGCATTCGCCTTCAATGACCCTGTAATGATCCAATTCTTACACTTGTAATATTGGGGAGTAGTTTAATCACAGGTTTTGCATAAACTGACTTGCATCAGGGTGATGGGATTTGAGTGGAGCGTTGGTTAATCACTTAGCTTATTTCATTTCATAAGCTGATTTTATTTTGGCTCTAATTCTATTTGCTTCCTATTTTACTGGGTTTTGAATAAGGGTCGTTATGGTTCCAACTTGTAAGTCTAAATTTGGTTTTGATTATCAGTTTTGAAACTTACATTTTCTTTTAAAACTAAATTAGTTTTCCACTGCTGATAGTTGAAACTAGCCATAACGTTTGAACACGTGGCGGTAGCACGCTAGTAATTCTCTCACGGGTTATTAAAAGTATTTACAGGTTAATACAGGTTTTAAAGAGAGAATTATTGGGGTGTTACAGAAATCATCTTTTTCGCACCGGTTCAAACCGGTGCGAATTATAAACGAGGAAAAAAAAAGGGAGAAAGGGATTTCGCACCGGTTCAAACCAAACCGGTGCGAAATTCAAAACGGTGCGAAATTTAAAAAAAAATCGGGTTGCGTGCATTTCTTTCTTTCTTTCTTCTTCCTTTCTTTCCCCATACTTTTCCATCTCCTGTTTCCCTCTCGTTTTCCCCTTCTCTTCCACCATCCCGAATTTCCACTCCATTGAAGCAGCACCTCCTTCTCACTCCATTGAAGTGGTTTACGAGCTTTCTCACTCCATTGAAGCAGCACCTCCTTCTCTCTCCATATCTCTGGTCTCCATTGAACTCGCCGTGCTCTATATTCTCCATTGAAGCCAATTATGAGCTTTCTCACCTCCATTGAAGCAGCTTCGAGGTAAGATTTTTCTTGTGGTCTACTTAATCCCTTGAATTCATTCGCAATCTAGGGTTTGTCGTTGATTTGCTTTTCAATTTAGTAATTTTAGGGTTGTGGTAATCTAGGGTTTGTCATTGAAGCGCGCACGGCTCTACCTCCACCAGAACGACCTCCTTGTCACGGCCGCAGGGCCTTCTTTTTCTAGGGTTTATCGTCAATTCCCCCCTTTTCTTCGATTTTTTTTGTTTGATTTTTTTTTTATTATTGAAGATTTCTTGTGTACTGTGTGTGCTAGTGTGTGACTGCTGTGATTTTTGTCGTCGTTATTTTGCTGGAGTAATTTGCGATTCATGCTATGATAGAGGTGAGCAATCAATAATTGTGTTTGTTTGAGTAGATGTAGCTCTATTTTCCTGTGATTGTTGCAAACAGAACTATTCTTAGTTATAGAACATTTTTTCTAAAAAAAATAAATTGTTTTAGGATTTAGATCTTCAATTTCTAGCAATATTGTTGTTATTGCGGATACATTGATTAGTTTTAGTTTCCTCACACGTCTGATATCCAATAACTTTTTTCGTCGTGACACTTGATTGACGATTATATATTGATGTTATTGAAAGATAGGAGGAGATATTTTAATCTTTGATGTTAATAAAGATAGGAGGATATATGTTGATCTTTTGATGTTACTCTAGGTTCATTTTCTGGCTAGCTACATATGCGCTTGTAGCAATGTCTCATTATAGTGTATGTGCTGTTAATTACTATGTGAAATTCTCTAGAGGTTTGTGTACCGTTCATGTGGACAGTCTGGTTGTTGTCGTTAGAGCCAAATCTTCATGACCTCAGTGCAACATATTGGTTTCATTCTAAGTCAAACCTTATCCGGTGAATGTAGCTTAAGGTGATTGCCAAGTTTCCAACTATCCCTTCAGATCATATGGCATTCACACGTCTAGCAAGTACATATTAGGCTCCTATTTCTAAGAGTATTATAGTATTCCTTAATTCATTTTTGACTGACTTATATGTGGCCACAGCATACTCCATTACACCATGATGTCTTCAAAAATTATGATTGGTTGTAGCATTTGATTCTGAACTATAATGAAATTTGTATGTCCCCAAAAGTATGTCACTTTAGGCGCTAAAGTCGAACTTGTATTGCAGAATTTTTTTTAATAAAACTTGTAGTAAAATTTTGGTTTGATTAGTGGAGAAAGAGTTAAGTATTTGTGATAGGTCAAAACATATATTTTACTCTTGTAGGACAATGTGTTCCCTTTATTGGACTAAAGTGCGGATGCCCAAAAATAGATAATGATGCTTTAAGATGGAAAAAACTGCAAGTCGCTGGGTTTGTAGCATCATATAATATGGTAGATTTGACATCTTGAATTCTTCTTGTTGAACTATGATCCTCAATTTACTTAAAATACAGTGCAATTAGGTTATTTCATCATCTCAGGCTTCTTACACTAGTAGAACCTGTTTTCATTGCAGAACCTAGTTTGTGCCAAGAATTTGGTGATAGACAAGAGCATCCAAACAGCATACATTGAAGCAATCAGATCTGCTCAACATTTCATTTATATAGAAAACCAGTATTTCCTTGGATCATCATATGCATGGCCAAATTACAAAAATGCTGGTATGAAATTTTCAACTTCCCTTTCTTATAATCTTGCTGTTGAAGTTGTTTAGAAAATGTGAATGTTCCTGTTGGATTCGATAGGTAGTGTTCTTAATGATAACGTACTATCATTTGATACCTATGGAGTAGGCACTTAAATTCCTGGTGATGGTGATGGTGATGCTGATGCTCCACTTCCACTTGCTACTTACCCGTTTCGTGATTGCACTTCTCTGATGATCCGTAACATCCCGATTCGCCTTAGGTACTATCGATTCTCTTTATTTATTTTTCAGGTTTTATTTACAGATTAAAAGCAAAGATTAATTTATGCAGTCGGGGTGAGCTGCTACGGCTGTTAGACGAGCATTGTCGTGAGGAGAATGAGAAGCGTCGGAGTGATGCTGAGGCTCGTTCGGAGTTTGACTTCCTTTATCTTCCTATTGATTTCAAGTGCGTCTTTATTCTCTATATTTTCTTGTCTTTTTCAGGTTTTATTTCCTTTAATTGAATTTGGTTAATTAACATAGGAGGTAATTTGGGGTATGGCTTTGTGAATTTTACGACATGGGAAGGAGCTTCAAGGCTTTATAATTCTTGGAAAAGAACCACTTCGAAGAATTGCTCCTATAATTCAAAGAAGATCAGCCCAGCTAAATTTCAGGTACTGTTAGTTTGTTTAATTAATAAAGTTTGTAGGTTTAGGGTTATTGTTTGTGTGTGGAGTCAATTAATGAATTAGATCCAGAAGATTTTCTGGGTAGGAAGTGGAGATGATTTTAACACTCCAGGAAGAATGAAGAAGAATGAAAGGGAAATTGGGATTTAAAGGACCAGGAGTGCAAAAATCATTTCCCATGTAATCTCACTCAACTGATCCCCCTGATTTTACGTGTTGCAAAATCTGGGAGTCTAACTGAGATTCATGTTTCATCAATTTTTATGTGATAGTAGGAGTACTGTACTAATGGTGTAGTGGTTGTTACCACTAAACAGTAGTGTTACTGATGGAGTGTAAACTTAACCCAAATCCTTCTCCATTCCATCTTACTGTATCTCCTTCTTTCTTTGTATTTTATCAATCAACTATCTTCATTAACCACTTTGCTTTGCCTTTATTATTTATTTTCATTTAAATTGTTATTTCTCTATTTATTATCCTTCTGTATACTAGATCAGATCATATTAGTATTGTTTTTGTTACTTGTCTCTCAATCTCTTCATATAGCCAACTAATCTCTTGATGACTTAAAAAATACGTATGGTATCACATGCTAATGATCTTTCTTGACCCGGATATGATTTTATGAAATTTTGATACCTTTGCTTGATCTGAAAGCTCCTCGATTCAGTTATCTGTTTGAGCTGATAGATATTATAATAAAGTCTTCTTATTACTCCAGTCTACTCGGAGCACCCTGCTGTAATTTACTCCTACATATATAGTGTGTTTGTTCTGATTCTTTTTCGTGGTTCTGCATGTTAATTCAGCAATGGCAGCAGCAGCATAACCAAAGCAGCAACAACAGTACAACCAAGAAACCAAGACACAATGTTTGTGGATGGATTAAGAAAATGGGTAGACAGTTTCCAGCTTGATTCAGGTAGAGTTATGGCAATCTAGCTACTGTTAAGTTGTCATTTTCAACCAAAGAAATCAGGATTACTCTGGCTATTCACAAGAGAACTTGCTGGCTGTTTTTTTCTATATATAAAGATGTTGTAAATGGCATGTTCAGTTAGCCTCCTAGCCATTTCATCTTTATTTGATTTATGTCATCATCTGTTTTGTTAACATTTAGTTATGCAAACTTATGGAACCTACCCCTTTTGTCATGGTTATGATTTTCTTCAGTCAGTTTCTTTTTTCATTTGATCTACTGAATATGGAAGCTGAGTGATTATCTGTAGTTGCTGATTCCTTTCCAGAAGTTAGTACTACTGGTTTTTCCACAATATTAAACCCTGTTATGATTGCTGGAAGAATCTTTGATGTTGACAATGTTATGATCTGGTTTGCAAGGTAACTGTTAAGGTATTGCTGATTCTTAAATCATTAGAATCTTTGCTGTTGAGGCAAATTAAGGAATGACAATTGAATTTTTTTTTCTTTTAATATATAGATTTATTTCCCTTCCATTTTCTAGAACTCACAACTCGATTCTTTTCTTTTAATTTCTGTGAGAAATGATATGCATACTTTGCTATGAGTTAATTAATATTATCTCTTATCCAATTTGTGAATGACAGCAATTAACTAAATTGGACCTATCTTTATTGTTGAAATAGGTATCGTGCCATAACTAGGGCCTACTATCGAGGAGTTGTGGGTGCTTTGCTTGTGTATGATGTCACCCGGAAAGCTACATTTGAGAATGCTGCAAGGTGTTTGAGAGAGCTACAGGAGCACACTAATCAGAATGTTGTGGTCATGCTAATTGGTAACAAGTCAGATCTTCGGCATCTGGTTGTTGTTACTACTGATGAAGGGAAGGCTTTTGCAGAGCAGGAGGGTCTCGTCTTCATGGAGACTTCTGCTCTTGAAGCAACCAATGTGGAGCTGGCTTTCACTGAGGTTAGATCCATTGTATCGTCAGCAAGAAGGCTTTTGATGCTGGTGATGCTTCTGCATCGGCTGTTCCATCCCAAGGAGAGAGTATAAATATAGAAAATGAGACCTCAGCTTGGAAGAAGATAGGCTGCTGCTCATACTAGTTACTTACTATAGTAAGTCTTTGTTGTCACACCTTTTTGTTTCGCTGGGAAAAATCCTAACTGGTTGAACTTCTGCTGGTCAGTTCCGTCCCTTGAAAGAAAGAAAGAATAGGAATTTTCATTGTCTATATTATATTTTATTTTTTAGACAAAAATTGTAATATTACAGCTTTTTTTAATGAAAATATGTAATTTTATATATATGTTAGTGTTTATACATCAATTTAAGTGAAAAAAATGCAAAAAAAATAAATAAATTATTTTTTATAGGCACTTTTGGCACCGGTTTTGGAAAAGAACCGGTGCTAAAAGTTTTTTTTATAAATATTTTTGGGGACTTTTGGCACCGGTTCTATGGGAAAACCGATGCCAAAAACTGCGGTTTTGAACCGGTGCGAAATCTATGGGGTTTTAGCACCCCCAAATTCGGCCCGGTTCAAAATCGGTGCGAAATGGGGGTTTGAACCGGTGGGGAATTCGTATTTTCGCCTAGTGTAGGAAAATGACTAAATTGAATAACTCTTATAATATAATTATATAAGTCATCCAATGTTGAGTCATTGGCGGTGGTCGCAATCCATCTTACGTATGTGCTCCTAAAGAATTGGCTGCCTCCTTGCTTGCTTGACCTAGCATATATAATAAACTTATGACGAGCGAAGCATGTATCATGTTCATGAAGCGAGCCGGCAAAATACTAGTATTATACAAAACTGGTGGCCGGCACAGACCATGGTTTATATCTACGTGAGGCACACTATCATATAATTCGTACTTCGTATGTATATACAACGATACATGTATATAAGTTCTCATATATTAGACTTACCTACCAAATGTACAAAACATACGTTAAAAATTCATATCATATATACAGAGAGAAAAAGATGAAAGCATACGTAGGAACAAAAATGGTTATTATGATGGCGGGGATTGTATTGTTCATGTCAATGCAATTTATGCACTCATTAGCACAACAAAACAATCCGTTTTTCTGGGATAGGATCCAGACTTGCCGTCGAGGAGCCGAGACACCGATGGAATTCCAACAGGTGTGTTGCCCTGTCGTGTTACAAATTGTATCAAATGAGATGTCGTGTTTCCGCAGCATCAAGTCTAGTCTTAATGCTACCGATGTCGATGGCATCTCTATGCTTCTCACTGTATGCAACGTTACTGCTTCTTAAAACACAATTTGCCTGGTGGTATGTTTTCCTACTATTCTTTTATTTTGTGCCATTGTTGTATGGTCTATTTTTCACAACTAATTAGGTTTCAACCAAGTAACTTTTGTTAAGAAGTTTAATTATATATGGAGTATTTAGATTTGTAGTTAAAATTGATCTATATATACTACCCTAGTGGTGTACTACCTCCGTTCTTTTATATTCTACTCACTTACTATAAATACGCAATATTTAAGAAATTGTTAAAAAATGTGGACGTGCGGGTGTAAAATAAAGTTAGAGAGAATGTAAAATGATGAGTTTGTGTAAGAAAAAGGTAAATAAAGTAAGACACAGAGTATGTACATGTGCAATTATTGTACGTTAGAAGAGATAAAATGGTAATAATAAAAGGTATGCTTTAAATAGAAAGGATAGTGAGTATTGTATTACTTTTTTTTTTTTTTTTTTTTTTTTTGAATAGGAGTATCTTTCTCCATTATGATTAATGGAGGAATGCATGGTTTTTTTAAAGGAAAAGGGGGGATCAGACAGGGTGACCCTATGTCCCCATTGTAGTTTGTGATGGTCATGGAGTACTTCTCCAGGTTAATGAGGAAATTGGGGAAGCTTAGGAAGTTTAAATTTCATTCAATATGCAAAGCTACTGGGCTAAATCATCTTATGTTTGCAGATGATTTGATGTTATTCTGCCAAGGTGACGAGGGGTCAGTTCAGCTGGTTTGAGAAATGATAAGGACCCTGAAGACATTTGAGAAATGTGCTGGTTTGAAAGCAAATTCTGATAAAACTGCTCTCTATTTTGGTAATGTTCCTGATGATATCAGAACTCAGGTGCTGGAGTACTCTGGATTTGTGGCTGGCAGCAACCCTTTTAAGTACCTTGGAGTTCCTTTAAACTCAAGATACTTAAGAATTGCTGATTTTGATGGGTTGGTGGATAAAATGCTAGCTAGAATTACCTGTTAGTCTTAGTAGGAATTTGTCCTACACAGCAAGAGTTGTGCTCATTAATTCAGCTTTACTTAGCTTGCACACTTATTGGGCTCAATGCATCTTATTGCCTGTTGGGGTGGTGAATAGAATTACCCAATTTTGTAGAGCTTATTTGTGGAATGGTGATGTTTTGTCTAAAACTCCTCCCATAGCTTGGGATTGGGTTTGTAAGCCTAAGAAAGTTGGAGGGTTGGGCATTAGAAATTGTGGATTGTGGAACAAAGCAGCTTTTGGAAATTTTGTGTGGAAGATTGCTAAAAAAGAAGATAGTTTGTGGGTGAAGTGGGTACATTCTTTTTATATCAAGGAACAGAATTGGTAGGATTACACACCTAAAAAATCAGCAGGCTGGGCTTGGAGGAAATTATGTGCAATAAAGGATGAACTGAAGACTGGTTTTGAGGTCTGTGGTTGGCTGAATAGGGAGTATAAAATCTCTGAGGTGTATCACCGGTTGCAGGGTGAGTTTTCTGATGTTGACTGGCACTCTTGGGTCTGGAACTCCTTCAATATGCCCAAACATACTTTTATTGCATGGCTTGCCATTCAGAATAGGCTAAAAACAAGGAAGAAATTGATGAACAGAGGGGTGTGTGAGGATGCTAGTTGTCTGCTTTGTTGAGGACCAGAGGAGGACAGGGATCATCTATTTTTTGATTGCCCTTATAGCAAGAAATGCATCCAGGCTATAAGTGCATGGATGGGAATCACAGAGCACCTGTTCTCTATAAACGACACTTGGAAGTATTGGGGGAGTGTAATACAGGATAAAATTCAAAAAAAGTGTGCTCAGGCTGCCTTGATTGCTGCTGTGTATCATATATGGCTTGCCAGGAATCATGCTTACTGGAAGAAGGCTATCATTCACCCAAAGTTCTTGTGCAGAGCTATACAAACAGAGTTAATTAGTAGATTTAAGAAGTTTGTTAATAATTCTTGGAGTAGAAAGCATTGTAAATGGCTTCATCAACTTAGCGTTTGTAAGTTGATAAGCTAGGCTTGTTTTTGCTGTTTTGTTCGTTGGTGTTGTTTTAGCCTAGTTTTGTTTGGTGGTTTGTTTGGCCTGTGAGGATGTTGTAGTGTGGGTGAGGGCTTGCCCTCTTCGTTTTCGGTAATAAAGCTGCTTACTCACCAAAAAAAAAAAAAAAAAAAGTAGTGATTGAGAATGCTTGAGAATGTGATAGAAAATGAACAGGAGACTAGAAGAATAGATAGAGAGATAAGTGAACCTTGATGGTTCAAGGATTATGTGGTGGAAATACCAAGCAAGAGGAAACAGGAAAATCAAGATAATCAGCGACATCTTCCTTGACATGTACCAGAATTGCTGACTCAAGTTTATACTCTTGAACTCTTCATAGTACACTGCTTCTTTAAACAATGTTCTAAAGAATGAAGAACCAACATGCTATGATGGAGAGAAGCTATGAGCAAAAAATTGAAGGCTCTAGAAGATAATGAAACTTGGGACTTGTGTGGCATCCCTGAAGGATGCAAAGCAATAGACTGAAAATGGGTTTAAGTGATATTCAGACCAGATGGGAGCATAGAAAGACTTAAAGCTAGATTAGTTGCCAGGGGAGATAAGCAAGTGCAAGGAAAAGATTACAAGCACACATTTTCTCCTGTAGCTAAATTCACTACTATGAGAACTTTGATAGCTTTAGCCACTGCTCAAGATTGAAAATTACCTCATTTAGACGTCAATAATGCGTTCTTGCATGGATAGTAAGATGAAGAAGCTTACACGAAGCCACCACTAGAGTGTACGAAAGTAGAGAATGGAAAAGTACTCTTTGTTTTGCAAGAAAAGAGAAGGAAAGCAACTGATTATTTTGGCATATGAAAAACAAAAGTTGAAGGAACAACTAGACAAAATTTATAGTGAAAATTTTGGGAGATATGAGATACTTCTTAGGAATAGAAGTGTCAAGAAACAAAAAAGGAACACTATTAAACCCATAGGGAGTTCATCCTTGACATTACACAAGACACAGGAATGCAAGACTGTCAAATAGCTAAATTCCCTTTTCCAAAGGGATAACTTGATCAGTTCTACCAGATCTCGAGGTTTATAAAAGACTCATTAGTAGGCTTCTTTACCTCAATTTGACTAGGCCAGACATCTCATACTCTGTGCAACAACAAGAAGCCACATATACAAGCTGCTCTGCATGTTATCAGATATGTGGCGGTAACATCCGACTGTAGTCTTATTTATCCCAAAACTTTAGAGTTAAATCACGGCCTATTGTGATTCAGATTGGAGAAGCTGTGTTTTTAGCAGAAAATCTCTTACGGGATGGTGTGTTTTCTTAAGAGATTCTTTAATCTCTTGGAAAGCCAAGAAGAAGAAGATAATCTCAAAATCTTCTTGCGAGGCAAAGTATAGATGCATGTCTCTCAGACAACCAGTGAGCTGAAGTGGATCCATGGAATCCTACACAGGAATTGAAATTGAGACACCTATTGATCTTATGTTTGACAATAAGGCAGCCAATTATTTAGCTGAAAATCCTATATTCCATGAGAGAACAAAAGCATCTTGACATAGATTGTCACTATGTCAGAGAATGTTCAATCAGGGCTTATCAAGAATGTTCATGTCAAATCCTTTTTGCAACTAGCAGATTTGATGACTAAGTTGACAAAGTCCCTTAGTTAACATCAACAAAATCACTTATCTTCCAAGTTCGGACTTCTTTCTAGAAAAGCTCCAACTAGAAGGGGGTTGAAGAGAATATGTATGACGACTATGATATTTTTACCTCTAAAGACTTAACCTAATGAGCATGACCAATTAAAGTAATGATTTATGAGAGAAACTGTAAAACTAACCCGTTTATCCCCTAGAAAAAAAAAACATAAAAAATTGGTAGAGCAATATAAAATATAGGATAGGTATAAAACATATGAATAAGAAGCAGCAAAGGATATGAATAAGAAGCAGCAAAGGATTAGGAACTCACAGAATGGAGGAAAGTGTAACACCCCAAGAGGGGGCCAATACTGGAGTAGGTGGATTGGAAGAGGTAACCAGCAGAATACAACAAGTCTGTTGATATGGATTCTGGTAGCGGTCCCTGTATCTCCCGGAAAACCCGAATAGAAAAGAAGCGGCGATACTGATCCAACATAATTCCTGGAACCCCCGGATCATGTAAAGAGCCAGTGACTACTGTGCAGAAAAGGGTGTCCCAAAGGTGGCAAAACCCACTGGTGCTTTCATAATAATCAGCTCCACGGAGACGGAATAATAGTTGTTCATCCTCTTCTGTTAACTTCTGCCGCACCACCCAGTCATCACGCTGCGAGAGCCCATAGTAGGTGTCACCAAGGAGAATGCGATTGGGCATATGGCGGCGAAGTTGTTGAAATTGGGGATCATTGGAATGCTCTGATTCCCATTCGTAGGAGTCCAGATGGAAGGAGAGCACAACCCCAGATGTGCCCTCCCCGACAATCCGCCCGTAAACGTACACCCTCCGGCCCACCACCACTGAGGAAACCCAGATGGTGGGAGTGGTGACGGGTGGGTCATCCAGGAGGGTCCACTCGTTGGTGGTGGGATCAAACACCTCGAAGAACCGCATGGACGAGGAGGCTAAGCCGGTGGGCCACAAAAAGGCGTAGCTAATCAGACTTGGTCCGCCGCAACTACCCAGGACGAACAATTTTCCATCCGCCGCGAACGCCACCGGGCTGGGCTTACCTGTATTCATCTTCATCCCCACCTCTAATTTCTGGGTCTTCTGCTGTTCATCAAACACATACACATCGGGAGGATATTTCTGATTGGCCTCCAACTCCGACTGCCAACTGTCGCGCTCTCCGCCCACGAAGTAAATCCTGGAACCCAGTTGTGCACTGGCCATTACTAGAGGGTATTCTGGGGCCGGAAATTCTATGATTGGCTCTATCCTTCGATTTTTCTCATCACCATTACCATTACCATTACAGAGGTCTATGGGGAAGGCGAACAAGGTATGAGCCATGCTGCTTCCAAAATGACCCATAAAAACGTACACAGTTAACAGTTTCCATCGCCGCGGTGGTTTTCACTTTTCACAAAGAGAGAGAATCCAGCTGGAAGAAGAAGAAGATTTAGACCTTTTTTTTTTTTTAAGAAGAAGAAGCAACCTAGGGCTACGGTTATTCTCCGGCGTTATGGCCGATAATCTGGCAGAACAGTGTGCATCATTAACCCTAAGCGCAGAGGAAGAAGATGTAGTGGATGTTGGAAGCGTAGAAGCAACGGATCACCAAATTAGTTGTTTGGGTCCAATTCAGCTATTACTAATTGGGTCAGTCCAAATAATTTAATTATAAAAGTCTAAAAGTAAGATTCAATCTTCTAAAAGCATGCTAAGTCAACCAAGCCCAGTCAGCATAGCAAGCCCATCTGACCTCAAGGGCCCAGTTCTCATCAATTGAGCAAAGGTATAAAAGTCATCAATTGTCTCCCCTTACATTCACTAGTTGTGGACCCGCACGCGTTGCGTGCGATTCCCCAAGTTATCGGTATTAATTAGAGTGTAATTATGAAATAATTATTTGATGTATTTGTATTTATACATAAGTTATAAGTAATTAATTTTAGAAATCTTACATCTTGTTCAAAACACGTAGCTAATCTGCCTTTATTCCGAATATTGCATTGGTATGTATAAATCAATTTTAATTTTGAGTCCCGTGACATGCACGGTAATTTTCAATAATTATTTTTTAATTTACATTATATTTAATAATAAAAATTAAGTATAACTAAGTTAATAATTTGTAAAATGAGTTTATTATGAAAGTCTATTATTAGCAAAACATATATTTGTGTGATAAATTAGGTTAAGGAGTTTATGGTATCAATATATATTTGGAAGGATATATTAAATCTTTTCTAATCTTTTTTTTTTTTGAATGAAAATCTTTTGCAATATTTTATTTATGTATAATATTTGTTTCCTATATAGGTATTAAAAAAATAATAATAATTAAAGGACACACCAGAAAATGACATGTGTCATTGCTGGTGTGTCTTTTAGTATATAGTTATTGATTATTTTATTTCCTTTTTTTCCCCTAATTTGCTTGTCGAAAATGATTAATTTGCAGAATACAAATGTGTACCTTCCTTTACAGTTCCATATACATATAAGGATCAGCATACAATTTCGATCCTTGAATGAAGTCGATGACTTCATTTACTTCGGCTGTCACTCGAAAAGGCTACTTAAGGGGGAAAAACCGGTTGATAATGTGAGTATATCTTACTAAATGAAGGTGGCTAAATCAGTTGGTATTATCATTCATAATTATTGTTTGCTTATGCAGTCTGCAGAAGCTAGCACTTCCAAGTAGGGCTGAGCATTTCCAAAAACCGCGAAAATGGTAATTTCCGATATCCAAATCCAATCGAAAGTTTTGATATTTTATAGATCGAGTACAAAGTACGGAGCTTTGCTAAATTAGCTTATTAAACAATTAACTTTTACTTATTACATACACTAAAAGAACTACTTCACCCGTATTTTATTAAATACGAAGTATATCATTTACTAAAAATAAAGGTTTTTTTTTTAAAAGATAAAAATAAAAGTTTTGAATTAAATATACAACTATACAAGTATTACTTTTCCTTTTTGTTAATAAACTAGTTTTAGCCTTTTAGGCTCGGGTGATACTCCGGTTAATACATACTCTTTATTTCCTATTTTCTACTTTCTTAGTTTTTTTAGTTGACACCATTTGACTTTTACATTATTCACAAACTACACTTTGATTAGCTTTTGTGATTTATAGCTACGATAAAACATAGTCAGGTGAGATCGTGCTTGAATCGTCTCAATTTATATTTTATTAATATCCACTTTTTTTATAATTTTACAATCTCGAAAATTAGAGATATTAATCGTTAAAATAGTGCGTTGACAAGCATGATAAGAGAAAAGTGTCAACTAAATAAAAACGGAGGTAGTATGTCAAAATCTCAAAGTGTCAAGTTTTCTTTAGTGATTCAATAATACTCTTAAACTAGTTTTTTTAACCAAATTATCACTCATTTTCTGATTTCCGGTTTGCATTTAAATATGGGGTATTTTTTAGGGTTAAATCATTCTTTTTTTCTTTCTTTTTTTACACAAGGGATAAATCATTCTACTATTAGATAATGGGGTATTTGTAGGTTAAAGAAATACAATAAGATATTGGATTGAACCAAATTATTTGATTTATTTGGGCCAATTAAAGACCTGGGGCAAATTGGTTTACGTGGCCCTTACAGGCTTACAACATGCAAATCCTTGTACACTATGACACTATGTAGTCCTAGACTCCTAGTCCATGATAATCTAGAACAATTGTGTAAGGTTTTTTGTGACTGCTTTGGTGCTTTTATTTAAAGTTTCGGTTTACCTGCTTTGTCCAATTTCTTTAGGAAATTGATCTCCATTTCTTAATTATTTTGTTTAGTATATACAGAGAATTTTAGATTGTAAGGTCAAAATTAGGCATTGTCATGTGTCGTTCTAAGTTTAATTTTGTCAATTATTTAATATGGATAGAGTATTCAACATTTTGCTTTGCCATATCACCTACATGCATGAAAATAATTAATATTAGTTACGTTACTATATGGTCTATATCTAAGCATTATTAGTAAATGTAAGTCATTGTTAACAACATGGCAATTACACCCTAAGGAATTAGTGGATTGTCCTGCCCCTAAACAACTATGTGATTTATAAATTTGTCATATATATATATATATATATATATATATACACACGTGGATAAGTAGATAAATACTTTTTCTTTTTTTAATTGAAAAAAATAGAGTAGATTGATTAGTACTTGTATATTGTATTTCAAATTTTTTTCCACAATCACAAAATTGTCTAGCCCACTTACTGGGTCCAAAAGGACCTAAGAGATTTCAACTACGTAGGATCCTTCTTCTTAATCCTTAACAAACAAAAACAAAATGTTGTACGTAGTATTTCAATTTCAACAAAAAAAATAAAAAAAAATGAAGGTGACCCCGTCAACAAAGAAATAATAAAATATAAAAAGATCGACCTACAAAAATGGCAGTTGGAGTTGGAGTTGGAGCAGTTTCACTTTCTGCTTCTTCAACCTCTTCCTTCAAATTGTGCTACTTTCATCATCGTCGTCGTCATCATCATCGATCATCTCCATTGTGTTTTCCAAGCTCTTGGTGAGTTTCTCGCTCAAACTGTTAATGTTCATATTTATGCAATTTTGATGATTAATGCTTTCAATTATTATGATTTTTTTGTCTATTTTATTGATGATTTGAATATCAATTTTACTTAATTAGGTTATTTTGATCGCTTTCCGCAATTTTTCTTCTGATTGTGTAATTTTCTTTGGTCATTTTTTTTTTTTGGGATGAAATTCGATCATTGTTAGTAGTTACTAATTTACTACAAGTATACTATTCTAATGCAAGTAACATAATGTTTTTATGATATCTATTTAAGGTTATATAAGTTGGTTTTTTTTTTTTTTTTTTTTTTTTTTTGGTACTGAATTTCTTAATGGAGGAGTATTTTTAGGTCCTTTTTGGCTGAAAGGATTTAGCTGGAAAAGAACTGAGGTGTTGAAATTTTGATTCCTAGCCACAAATTACTGACATGGATTTCAATAATTTTTTTTATTTTTTTACTATTTTTAAATTATTATTTATTAAAATAATCTATGATGATGGTTTTATGCAACATTGTTACTTTAAATGTTTGAGTCTATAGTTTCTCAAAAAAAAAAATGTTTGAGTCTATAGTACTACGCATATTCAAAATTATAAATAATGTAATTTACGTTACATACGAAGTAACTTTGTGAATGTGAATGCTTAGCGAGTTATCAAGGAGCTGTTACACACAATAGAAGGAAGTGTGATGATCAGGGATTGGTGTGTTTCTGAGTGTTTTTCAATGATTGAGATTTTTAGAGCATGCTTGATATAGATAGTGTGTGCCTGTTTGGTTGAAACTTGAAAGTAGTACTTACCACCTTTCCTGGCTTTTTGTTATGCTTTTTAACCTATGGTAACTTAAATGTCTCCCTTCTCAACCCCCAATTTGATACACGGGTCATAGCAAAGTTTGCACTTGAATTGGAATGAAGTGCTCGAGTGTAAGGGATTAGGAAGTGTTGATGTATTTGCCTCCTTTGTTTCTATGTCTGTTGTTAAGTCTTCGTAATTAGTTACTCCGTAATTGAAAGATTGTACTGCAAGGTAGAGATTTGTAAGAGATGCTTATGTTGACAATATCAGCTTTTGTTTGCAGGATCAAGAAAAGCTGTTGCTATAAGCTTGCTTGTAGCATGGAGGGAATCGACAGGAAAGGAATGACGAGTGATGTCTGTTCAGGAACTATGATTTATGAGCCTATATTAGAAGAAGGTGTCTTTCGATTTGACTGCTCATCTGATGATAGAAATGCAGCATTTCCTAGCCTGTCCTTTGTAAACTCTAAAGTCAGAGACACACCTCTGATGAGTGACAAACTTCCTTTCTATATACCTACATTTGAGTGCACTCTAGGGCAACAAGTTGTTCAGCTTCAGGTTAAATCCTGTTCTCACTATTTTCATGCTTGCAATCTGGGACATGTTTTTTTTTTACTTCTGTTCTATTTGAATGATTGGTATATTTTATCTGAACCCAAAAGTGAAACCATGTAGATGACCTTAAAGAATTGAAGATATTGTAATTTATCATGCCTTCTCCTCTCTCTGTTGGTGTCAAACATTATCTTGAAATTTATGACTTAAATTTTGATTAACTTCTGCTAATTCTTCCACCTAAAGTTTTAAATTTTCTACTACACCCCGTCTTTGTTCTCTACAAGGTGAGTTATGACTTCACTTTGGTGTTTGTTTGAATTGTTATGCTCTTATTTTTCACTATTACAACAGTTTGTTTTCAAACTTATTTCTGTCATTGCAGCTCCCTGTTGGTACATCTTTTTATGGAACTGGAGAAGTCAGTGGACAGCTTGAGAGGACAGGAAAGAGAGTAAAGTTTCAATCCTGGCATTCTATCCTATGTGAATCACTTAGTTTTTATATATTGGATCTTCACTTATTCTTTCTGCATTAGGTCTTTACCTGGAATACAGATGCTTGGGGATATGGTCCTGGTACAACGTCCTTATACCAGTCACATCCCTGGGTTCTGGCCGTTTTGCCAAATGGGGAAACACTAGGTGTGCTTGCTGATACAACACAACGCTGTGAGGTAAAATCCTCATTTATTGTTTCTATCTGAAGTCCCTGATTTTATAATTTATTAATGTTCACAGAAAATTTATGACTGGCTGCTTTTCTTGCATTTACTCCCTAAATGTTTATTCTAATCATCTTTCAAGTGCAGATTGATTTACGGAAGGAGTCTACCATAAAGTTTGTTGCACCATCATCTTACCCTGTTATCACATTTGGTCCATTTTCTTCCCCAACTCAGGTTCTGGTGTCTTTATC